ACAGACTTTCTTTTTCTTTTTTTCTTTTTTTGGTTGGTTGTGGGGGTTGAACTCTGGGCCTGGGCACTGTCCCTCAGCTCTTCAGCTCAAGGCAAATGCTCTACCACTTGAGCCACAGCACCATTTCCAGTTTTTTTCTGCTTATGTGGTGCTGAGGAATTGAACCTAGGGCCTCATGCATGCGAGGCAAGTACTCTACCATTAAGCCACCCTCCCAACCCTATTGTTCTATTTTTATACATGCTCTCACCCTAGTTAGCCCAACTCCTCCTTAGTACCCCCCCTTTTTTTGTCAGTTGTGGTTGAACCCAGGGTCTAGGCACTGTCCCTGAGTTTTGTTTTGTTTGCTCAAGGTTGGTGCTCTACCACTTTGAGCCACAGCACCACTTCCAGTTTTCTGCTTGTTAATTGAAGATAAGAGTGTCATGGGCAAAGCACCAGTGGCTCATGCCTGTAATCCTAGTTACTCGGGAGGCTGAGATCTGAGGATTGCAGTTTAAAGCCAGCCTAGGCAGGAAAGTTTGAGACTTATCTCCAATAAACCATTCAGAAAACCAGAAGTGGTGCTGTGGCTCAAGTGGTGGAGCACTAGCTTTGAGTTGAAGAGCTGAGGGATAGTGCCCATACTCAGAGTTCAAGTCCCACCACTGACCACAAAAAAGAGTCTCTAGGCTGCCTTTGAACTGTGATCCAGATTTCAGCTTCCTGAGTAGCTAGCATTATAGGTGTGAATCATCTGTGCCTGGCTCCTCCTCTCTGTTTTTTTTTTAATATTTTTTTTATTGTAAAGATACTGTACAGAGAGGTTACAGTTACGTGAGCAACGTAATGAGTCCACTTCCTATCAAGCATTGTTATCCCCTCCTTTGTTTTTCCCCTACCATCCCTTTCCTCCCCACCTTCCCAACTCCTTCCCACCCCCTTAATTTTAGAGATAGTTGTGCCTAAGTTGTGTGGCTGGTAGCTCATGCCTGTAATCCTAGATACATAATCAGAAGGCTGAGGTCACAAGATTATGGTTTGAAGCTAGCCAGGCAGAAATGTTCCAGAGACTCTATTTCCAATTAACCATCAAAATGCTGAACTGTAGGCATGGTTCAAGTGTTAGAGGGTAGAGCACCAGCCATGAACAAGCAACCTGAATAAGAGTTTGAAGCACTGAGTTCAAGCCCTGAAACTGGAAGGGAAGAAAGGTGTGGGGAGAGTCCTCCTTACTTCCCAGAGTGTAGTAATCATTTGGGAAAACCACCAAGGTCAGAGGAAGAGAGCTGCTCCTCTGTAGTGTATGTTTCTTCTTAGTGAGGGAATGTGAGGCTTAAAGCAAAGACAGTGCTGTGAGCCTAGTTGTTCACTAATATAGTGTTGATTTCTGAGTTCCTGGATGCTGCTTTCTGTTTTTCCAGGACAGGGGGTGAAGTGGGAGAGGTGTTTATGAAAGAGGGATAATATTTGTTTATTGAACAGACTAGATGTGCTGTGCTTTGATGATATGCATCTTCTCAGTTCTAGGGCATGATGGGGGTTCTATCTTGTTTGTGTCATTATTGAGTCTATCAGATGCCAGGTACTGACTAAACAACAGGAAACCAAAATTTCAGCAGTTTAATTGCCTAGAAGGCCTATCCTCAAGGAGGGAGGGAGTCTCAGTAGTGCTCATTGAAGTCATAAAGACAGGGGAAGAATGACTAGACCAAGGAGGGAACATGTAGCTACCCTGGAGAGAAGAGGTCAAGGAAGATTTTGTTGAATCATCCACTGTGAGCTGCTTTTGAAGAGTGAATGGGAATTTACAAACAGGATGGATTGGGGTTCAGAGCTGAGGGGTAGGTCCAGTGTGAAGAAATTGGGGCCTTCAAGGTTGGGAGTCTGTGGTTGGCCCTGTTTGTTGGCTGTTTTCTGTTTCTTCATGGAAATCTAACCCCCCCCCTCCCCCATGAGATTCTCTGCTGGGATCACTCATGAAAACGACCATATTTGACTCAAGAAAAGTCTCTGCTTGTTTACATTTGCCAGAGATAATATTGGGGAAAGACTGATTTTTAGGAGTGGGGTGTCCTGAGGGTTACAAGTGGAGTGTGGGGAGGAAGGAATGACTTTATTTGTGTCCCAGGACATGAGCTGACAGTGGAGGAGGAGGGTGGCGTGAGGGGAGACTGAGGAATGAGGGAGGAGAAGGAAACCAGATCCAAGCTGTTCCTGAACATTTAAACATTGTCTCAGACATACTAAGTTGAAAATGCAGGCCATGAGGGCATTCTGAGAAAAAACATAACTAGAGTTAACACTAGTTGACAGCTGAGATTTTTAAAGAGAGAGGAGAATTTGGTGAGGTTGTTTTGTTTCTGATAATTTCTGAAGTAATACTTGTGTGCTTCCTGATTAAAGAAAACCTTTAGTTTAAATTGTGCTTTATTAAGGCATAGTTTTTAAAAATCACCTTTGGTATGATGTTTTAGTATCTTCGGTCATTCTGAGTTTGTTGTTGTTGTTGTTTTGGTTGGTGATAGTGTTTGAATTCAGGGCCTGGCCACTATCCCTGAGCTTTGTTGCTCAAGGCTAGTGCTCTACTTTTGAGCCACAGCCCACTTCCAGTAAGAATCTCAGGTACGGGGCTGGGAAGGTGGCTCAGTGGTTGAGTGCTTGCCTTGCATGTCTGAGGCCCTGATTCCTCAGTACCACACACACAGAAAAAGCTGGAAGTGGGTGCTACGGCTCAAGTGGTAGAGTGCTAGCCTTGAGCTGAAGAGTTCACAGTGCGTAGGCCCAGAGTTCAAGCTCCACGACCAGCAAAAAAAAAAAGAAAGAAAGAAAAAGAATCTCAGGTACTTTACTGCCTGGGCTGACTTTGAACCATGACCCCCAGATTTCAGCCTTCTGAGTAGCTAGGATTATAGGTGTCAGCCACCAGCACCTGGCTGAGATTTTTTTTTGGGTCCGGTCATGGGGCCCTGGGCACTGTCCCTCAGCTCTTCAGCTCAAGGCTAGCACTCTACCACTTGAGCCACAGAGCCACTTTTTTCTTTTTTTTTGCTTATGTGGTGCTGAGGAATCGAACCCAGGGCCTTTTGCATGCATGGCAAGCGCTCTACCACTGAGCCACCTTCCCAGCGAGATTTTTTTTTTTTTAAATCAGACATTTTTTTACTTTCTCATCCATTTTTTTGTGATTCAGGTCATTTGATTTACTGCTACATATTTATTTCCTCAGCTAGCTTTTTTTTTTTTTTTTTTTTTTTGTCGGTCGTGGGGCTTGAACTCTGGGCCTGGGCGCTGTCCCTCAGCTCTTCAGCTCAAGGCAAGCGCTCTACCATTTGAGCTACAGCGCCACTTCCTCAGCTAGCTTTTTTTAAATGAATTGGATTTTTAGTATTTTTGTTAGCAATTCTGGAACTTTTTACGCATTGTGATTAGCCATTTGTTTGTAATAAGAGCTTTAAATATTTTCACGTTTGTCTCCTTCCTCTCCCCCCCCCCCCCCCCCCCCCCGAACTGGGGATTGGATTCAGTATTTAACCAACTTCTTGCTGTTTTGTTTAAAAAAAAAAAAAAAAAAGCTACTCTGGAAGCTACATTCTAAGACTCACACTTCTAAACTATCCCAGGGAAGAAAGTATGAGATTCCGATTAACCACCAAAAAGCCAGAAATGGAGCTGCGGCTCAAGTAGTAGCACAATAGCCTTAAGCACAAAAACTGAAGGACACCACAGCACACATATACTCGATTGTTACATTTATATACTTGAATATATCAATGTATTTTGTGATGCTGTTTTTTTAGAGATTTATTTTGGTGGTACTGGCTTGTGAAATCAGGGCTAGGCAAGTGCCCTCCTATCAAGCCATACTTCTATTCCTTTTTTGTGCTGGTTATTTTGAGATAGGGTCTCCTTCTCAGCCAGGGTATGTATCTAGACTGTGAGCTGACGGTTTTAAGGTTTCTCTCATACCTGGCCTGACAGGCATGCACCTGTGTCCAGTTTTCGTCTGTTGATTGAGATGAAGTCTTGTGGACTTTTTTGCTTATGTTAATCCTGGAGCCTCAGTCCTCACAATCTAATCTGCTCACATTGCTTAGGATGACAGGTGTGCTACTATGCCCAGCAGCTGGTTAAAAGGGATCTTAAAAGTTTTCTGCCTGGGCTGGCTTTGAACTGTGATCTTCCTATTCTCAACTTGAAACTGTAATTTTCCATTCTCAGCCCAAGTACCTATACGATTTACAGGTGTAAGCCAAAAGAAGCTGTTGTGATACTGGTTTTTGAGTTATAAAGGACTTCTTTGTTCCAAGGTTATAAAAAGAAATAACCTAGGTTTTCTATAATTTTTTTTCTGAACTCTGGGCCTAGGCGCTGTCCCTCAGTTCTTCAGCTCAAGGCTAGCGCTCTACCACTTGAGCCACAGCGCCACTTCCATCTCTTTTTTTTTCTGCTTATGTGGTGCTGAGGAATTGAACCCAGGGCCTCATGCATGCAAGGCAAGCGCTCTACCACTGAGCCACCTTCCAGAAATAACCTAGATTTTCTATAATTTTTATGGTTTTGTGATTTATATCTAAATAGTTGATCTATTAGGAATTTTGACAGTATATAATTTATGGTATGAATCCAGTTTTTTCTAAATGAGTGTTTCATTGCCCGAACATCATTCACTATGTAGTCTTTCCCCGGCTTGACTTTGAAGCACTTTGTTCATCATTTGTCATTGTTTCAAGGAATTGTATGTTATTTGGGGATATCAATTTGTCCTAATAATCTATTTACCCACTAGTTAGATGTGGTTTTCAGGCTGTATAACATTTGGCCATGATTTTTTTTTTAATAAAATTACTTCTTTTAAAATTTTTAAGATTTGATTTTCCCTTATTTTTCACATAACTTAAGAATTAATCTACAGTGTAGACATTTGGGAAGGGTGATGGTAGAGGGAACATGTTAAGATTATAGAGTAATCTCTTTATGTTAAGGGATCTAAACTGTCATTTTAATCTTTTCTTTCACAGATGATATTAACCGTGTTCTTGAGCAACAATGAGCAAATATTAACAGAAGTTCCTATAACACCAGAAACAACCTGTCGAGATGTGGTAGAGTTTTGTAAGGAACCTGGAGAAGGCAGTTGTCACTTAGCTGAAGTATGGAGGGGAAATGGTATGTATCAAGTTCTGTAAAGATGAGTAAGTACAAAAATTCAGCACTTATCAAATGAAAACAATGCTTTCTGGTTCTTAATTCTTTTGGTAATGAGGAATTGAGTAATTAAAATGAAAATTTCTATTACATAAGGATAGGATTTTACAAAGTAGCATTTGTAAAATGAAATATGTGATTTCACTCCAACTATAGCCATGTAAGATAAGCAGGGTGACCAGGCGCCAGTGGCTCATCATGTCTGTCATCCTCGCTACTCAGGAGGCTGAGATCTGAAGATTGAGGTTCAAAGCCAGCCCGGGCAGGAAAGTCCAGGAGACTCTTATCTCCAATAAACCACCAGAAAACCGGAAGTGGCGCTGTAGCTCAAGCAGTAGAGCACTTGCCCTGAGCTGAGGGACAGCGCCCAGGCCCAGAGTGCAAGCCCCACAACCGACCAAAAAAAAAAAAAAAAAGAGATAAGCAGGAGAAGCAGATTCAATTATTTTTCCTATGTATAGGTGCCAGTCCTGGGGCCTGAACTGAGGGCCTGGGTGCTGTCCCTGAGCTTTTGTGCTCAAGGTATCTCTACCACGTGAACGATAGCTTTACTTCTGGCCTTTTGGTTTAGAGATTAGTCTCATAGACTTTCTTTCCTTGGGATAGCTTTGAACTGGGATCCTCAGAACTCAGCTTCCTAAATAGCTAGGATTACAGGTATGAGCCACCAGCATCCAATTCTTGTCACCGCTTAATATATGAAAGCTCCGAGTCTGAGCCCTTTCTGTGTTTTACCTAACTTGTGTTGAGTTGACCAGCAACTTTTTTTTTTACTGCTTTAGATTGTTTTGGTTTTTCAATGCTAAGGATAGAACCCAGGGCCTCATCCATGCTAGATATACACCCTTATCACTGAGTTACATACCAGCCCCTGTTCGGCAACAGTGTTTTCCTCTTCTGACATCATGAAGGCAGAAATGTTACGTTCCCCCTTATGCAAAACCCCATAAAATAGCAAGTCTCCCATTAGAAATATTATACTGAGAAGTATAAAATCTTGGCTCATAATACTTTTTTCAGCCAGCAAGGCAGAGGACATTATTGGAGGTAAGATAATTACCAAATACAGTAAATTGCAAAAATTATACTCTAAAGAATGGGTTGAATTTAGATAGGATAGGGTTTTCCAAGTAAGAGAAGTTATGAGAATGAAGGAAAAGGAGGGAAAATCAAACCCAGTGTGCTGGTAAGACAGCTACAGGCCTGGGGTGGACAGGAGGCAGGCAGCAGCACCGAGACTGGTCGAGCTCATGCTGGGCTTTCAGCACCAGAGATGTAGGCCTTGGTTGGCATGTAAAAGGAAGTGTGTATAGATTTTAAATTGTGCTTAGAGAAAATACACATGGTAGTAGCCAGGCTTTTATGGATCTCTATTCGATAGTAAGAAAATAAATCAATTGAAACATGTTGAGTTTGAGGTGATAATTAAATAGGTATCCAAATGGGAACTGTTTTGTTTTTGCTGTTAATAGACTTTGAAATCAGGGCATTAGGCTTGTGAGACAGGTGCTCTACCACTTAAGCCACATCCCTAGGCTCCTAATGGAAATGCTTAAAATGCTCTTAGTTTTTTAAAAGTCATTCCTGTCTTCTTCCAAATAAACAATCCACAAACCACACAATGCATTGACTTAAAAGTATACAATTTAGTGGCCTTAGTATAATCAGAATTGTACAGCCACCACCACAGCCAATTCTAGATCATTTTCCTGAATGCCATCCCTATTTGAGACTCCCTTCCCCTCAGCTGTTTTATCCATAGGTAACCACTAATCAGCCTCTGTCTCTGGATTTAACTGTTCTATATATTTCATATAAATGGGCTCATATAGTAGTATGTAGTCCCTTTTTTGTTGTTGTTGTTGTTGGGTGTGGTGCTTGAACTCAGGGTCTGGGTGATGTCCCTGAGTCTTTTGTGCACTCTACCACTTGAGACATAGAGCCCCTTTTGTTTTTTGAGTGGTTAATTGGAGATAAGAGTCTCATAGGGACTTTTCTTTTCTGCCTGGGCTGGCTTTGAACCACATTCCTCAAATTTCAGCCTACTGTACTAGGATTACAGGGGTAAGCCACTGTTACCCGGCCATAGTCCTTTTTTTGACTGGCTTCTGTTGTTTGTTGCTGGATAATATTTCCTTGTATAGATGTACTATATTTTATTTATCCATCAGTTGATGGAGTTGTTTTCATGTTTGTTTACTGGGACTGCTGCTGCTGTGAACTTTTATGTACACATTTTTTTCCCCCAGTCCTGAGTTTGAACTCAGTACCTGGACACTGTCCCTGAGCTTTTGCTCAAGGCTAGCACTCTACCACTTGAGCCACAGTGCCACTTTTGGTTTTTCTGTGTATGTGGTTACTGAGGAATCGAACCTGGGGCTTCATACATGCTAGGCAAGCACCACGTTCCCAGCCCTAGGTACACATTTTTATGTGGACTATATATTTTCATATCTCTTACATATATTCTTTGGAGTAAGTAGAATTGCTAGGTTGTATACTAATTCTTTGACCTTTTGAAGGACTGCCAGGTTGTTTTCTAAAGCAGGTCTACCAGTTTTCATTCCCAGCAGCAGGATAAGGGTTCCCATTTCTCTTGCCAACAGTTGATAATGTCTTTTAGATTTTAGCCATCCTACTGTACATGAAGTACTATCTCATTGTGGATTTGGTTTGTGTTTCCCTAATAAGTAATGACGTAGAACATCTTTACATATGTATATCTTCTTTGAATAAATATCTGTTCAGGTCCTTTGTCCATTTTTTTTAGTTAGATTGATTATATTTTTGTTGTTGAGTTGTAAGAATTCTTCATATATTCTAGATACCAGTCCCTTAATAAGGTATGACTTACAATTATTTCAGAGTCATATATTTGTTATCCTTGGAAGTCAGAGTAAAGACACTAAAGACACATTGACTAAAACCTGACTGACAGGCATCAGGTTCTTACTGAATTCTCAAGAATACAGGTCATCAGTTACTAGCCTTAGGACAGCTATAGGAAAACAGGAAAGTTAGTAATTAACTAATGTTATTAATGTTTCCTGGGGGAACCAATGTTAGAAGCTGGTTGAAATTCTACTTTTGTCCCCTAAACTCCTAGCACTTTTGCTGTTTTTACTTGTCTCTGTGCTAGTCCTGGTGCTTGAACTCAGAGTCTGCGTACTGTTGCTAAGCAATTTTACTCAAGGCTGGTGCTCTACCACCTGAGACACAGTTTCACTTCTGGCATTTTGCTGGTTAGAGATAAGAATCTCATGGACTTTCCTTCCCTGACTGGCTTTGACCTCAGTTCTCAGATTTCAGCCTCCTGAGTAGCTAGGCTGACAGATGTGAGCCACCAGTGCCTGGCCACCCTTTCTTACATCATGGTAACAGGTTGTTCCTTGCCCTGTTTGCCAGTACTGCCATGGTATTTACCAAAGAGTATAGCAGCTTTCATCTCTCTTGTTGGACTAACATTCCTAAGGGTAGGAACCTGTCTGTTATCTATCATATCTCCAGTGTCCAGCATAGTGCTCTCTCTCTCTCTCTTTTTTTTTTTTTGGTTGGTCTTGGGGCCTGAACTCTGGGCTTGGGCACTGTCCCTGAGCTCTGCAGCTCAAGGGTAGTGCTTTACCATTTGAGCCACATCGCCACTTCCGGCTTTCTCTGCTTATGTGGTGCTGAGGAATTGAACCCAGGGCCTCATGCATGCAAGGCACCACTGAGCCACCTTCCCAGCCCCAGCATAGTGCTCTTAATAGGCTTTTAGTAAATATTTAAGTCAGTGATTCAGATGAGGAATTAAGAGGTTTTCTAGTAGGTACAATTCAAAGGGAAGAGGAAGATTTTGTAACAACCCTTCTCAGTCTTTTTACCCTGGAAACCTTCCAAGTGGTTTTAGGTCTTACAGAGTGTTTCCATAAAAACTACTGCATCTGGGGGCTGGGAAGGTGGCTCAGTGGTAGAGTGCTTGCCTTGCATGCAAGAGGCCCTGGGTTCGATTCCTCAGCACCACATAAGCAAAAAGAAAAAAGCTGGAAGTGGCGCTGTGGCTCTAATGGTAGAGCACTAGCCTTGAGCTGAAGAGCTGAGGGACAGTGCCCAGGCCCAGAGTTCAGGCCCCACAACCAGACCCAAAAAAAAAAAACCAAAAAAACTACTGCATCTGTAACTCATGGTATGTTAGTATATGCAATAGAAATTAAAATCCAGTGTTGATCAATACTTCTGAGTAAAGAATATTTCTTAGTTGGGCACTGGTGGCTCACGCCTATAATCCTAGCTTCTCAGGAGGCTGAGATCTGAGGATCACAGTTCAAAGCCAGCCCAGTCAGAAAAGTCCATGAGATTCTTACTTCCAATTTAGCATCAGAAAACTGGAACTGGTGCTGAGCCTTAAAGTGATAGAGCACTTGCCTTGAGCTAAAGAGCTTAGGGGCAGCACCCAGGCCCAGAGTTCAAGCCCCATAACTAACAACAACAGCAAAGGAATATTTCTTTGTGGATCTATGTATTAGTTTGCCAAATTTTCCATAACAGAGTAACCTAGAGTGAGTAGCTTAACCAACGAAATTTTTTCTGCATAAGTCTAGAAACTACAACTCTGCAGTCTAGATGCTAGCTCCTTTGGTTTCTCCTGGGGTTCTGTCCTGGGCTTACAGCTGCTGTCATCTCCCAGTGTCCTCGCCTTTCTCTTCATCTTGCAAGGACACCAATTATAGCAATGAGGATCTCATTTAAATGTGTTACCTCTTTTTTTGGGGGAGGGGGGGGGCGGGGGTCCTGGTTGTGGGACCTGAACTCTGGGCCTGGGCGCTGTCCCTCAGCTCTTCAGCTCAAGGCTAGCGCTCTACCACTTGAGCCACAGCGCCACTTCCGGCTTTTTTCTTTTTGCTTATGTGGTGCTGAGGAATCGAACCCAGGGCCTCATGCATGCAAGGCAAGTGCTCTACCACTGAGCCACCTTCCCAGCCCCATTTGTGACATTTTAATGAATGATGGTATGGCCAATTTGTTTCATTTCTTTAAAGAATGGGAAATATGGGCTGGGAAGGTGGCTCAGTGGTAGAGCACTTGCCTTGCATGCATGAGGCCCTGGGTTCGATTCCTCAGCACCACATAAGCAAAAAGAAAAAAGCCGGAAGTGGCGCTGTGGCTCAAGTGGTAGAGCGCTAGCCTTGAGCTGAAGAGCTGAGGGACAGCGCCCAGGCCCAGAGTTCAGGCCCCATGACCGGACCCAAAAAAAAAAAAAAAAAAAGAATGGGAAATATGCCTCTTTGTGTTAAGTAACTGGCTTCAGGTTTTAATGGGGGAAACGGGGGGACAAGCTGGTCCTAGAGTTTAAACTTGGCTTGACCACTGTCTCCTGAGATTTTTTATTCAAGGCTAGTGCTCTGTCACTTGAGCCACAGCTTGTATTTATTTTATTTTTTATTTTATCTTTTGGTATTTAATTGGAGGCAAGATTCACATAGACTTTCCTACCTGGGCTGGCTTCAAACCCTGATCCTCAAATCTTAGCTTCTGGAGTAGCTAAGATTACAGGTCTGAGCCATGGATGTGAGGCCTATGATAAGTATCTTTAAATGCATGGCTTTATTGCTCCTAATTAATGCTACCAAATTACTTGTGATTTTGTTTTCTTGAAGCAGGATTTTTTTTATATATATATATATATATATAAAACCATATAATAATATATATATAAAACCGTATAATATATATTATATATCATATATATGATATATAACTATATAATATATATTATATATATATCATATATATCTCCCAGGCTAGCCTATAATTCCCAGTCCTCCTGCCTCAGCACCACATTGGACACAAAATTACTTTTATTTATACTTCTTTTATTTATGTGTTTTCTAATTATTTCCATTCATATTCCTACTTTTGTACATTAAAGTTAAAATTTAGTGCTTGGAGTGTCCTTGAATTCTAATATTACATACATGTGTGTGCATATGTACATTTATTCAAGTTTATTTTTGTCTTGGGTTGGGTTGTTTGTTTGTTCTGAGCAGTATATGGTCTTTTTCCTAGAGCGCCCAATACCCTTTGACCACATGATGTATGATCACCTGCAGAAGTGGGGGCCCCGCAGGGAAGAAGTGAAATTTTTTCTTCGGCATGAAGACTCCCCAGCTGAGAGCAGTGAACAAGGTAGAGACTCTTTCTTCTCCATTTGTTAACCTTTGGCATACAAGCTAAATTAAGAAAATTTGTAGTAAATGCCAAGGTCATTCACATGTTTCTTCTCTTTATTCCGAGTAGTAGGTCATTGCATGCTTGACTTCTCTTACTGCAGGTTAGGGTTGTGTCGCAACCTATAGGCATCAGCCTTTATTTCCTTCTCTTGTCCCTGAGTTGGTTAGATACACAAATAAAGGACTTACTTTATAAAAGGATTGGTTGTTTTTGGAAACTACCAGATTTTCAAAGAAATTTAAGTATGAAACTGTTAGAAAAGAAACTGTGGGAAATATTTTAAAAACTTTTCCAGAGCCGGGCGCTGGTGGCTCACGCCTGTAATCCTAGCTACTCAGGAGGCTGAGATCTGAGAATCGCGGTTCAAAGCCAGCCCAGGCAGGAGAGACCGTGAGACTCCTATCTCCAATAAACCACCAGAAAACCGGAAGTGGCGCTGTAGCTCAAGTGGTAGAGCGCTCGCCTTGAGCTGAAGAGCTGAGGGACAGCGCCCAGGCCCAGAGTTCAAGCCCCACGACCAACAAAAAAAAAAACAACAACTTTTCCAGAGTGGGCCAGGCCTTTCAGAATAATATTAAACCATAAAATGGAAGACTGATGAATTATTTAAAATGAAACAAAGTCTATGTGAATGAACATAAACATCCTAACCAAAGTCAAAAGGTAGTTCATGCTAGGCACTAGTGACTCACACCTGTAATCCTAGCTACAAAGGCTGAGATCTGTTGATCAATGTTCAAAGGCAGCTGGGGCAGGAAAGTCTGTGAGATTCTTTTCTCTAATTAACCACCAGAAAACCGGAAAGTGGTGCTGTAGCCTTGAGGAAAAGAGCTCAGGACAGTATGTGGGCCCTAAGATCATGACCCATGAACAACAACAACAACAAAAAGACAGTTTATGTAATGAGAAATAGTAAGGAAAGCCCATACTGCAGATGGTTGTTTTCTTTTTGTGTAAAATTTCCTAAAAATTGATTATAAAAAGAAGCTTGGTAGGAAAATACAAACAGTTCACAGAAAAGGAAATATGTTTGGTCCTAGGACATAGGACCTGTAAGGATCAGCCTTACTCCTTCCATGAGAAACGTAGGGACAACTGTGTGGAAACAGTTCCCTCTGTTGTAGAGGCAAGGAGTCACACTCCTTCCAAAGCCAGCAGAGTGCAGAGGACAGTTACTTTTATATCTAGGAAGCAGTAACCTCGAACAATGAAATAACTTCATTGCCTGCAAAGAACCTGAACCTGGACCTGGGAATAGGCTTACAAGAGGGGTCACATAGGTTCATTTTGAACCTGCCATTCACTGAGGGTAGGACCTTGATGAACCTCACTTCCATGTACCTCAATTTCCTCATCTATAAGATGCACAGTTGTGTTGAGGGACAATGAGATACACTTTGAAGGGCTTAGAAAGGCCTTAGAGCATCAAGTGCTCACTTAACGTTATCTTTTTAGTTTGTATTTTCTGACTCTGAAGTGCAAGATCATTAAGTTGCATTTTGTATAATTTTAATGCTCTATTCTAATAGTATTCTAACTTCTTGGTAGTTTGCTTCTTACAAGATGTAGTGATTGAACTACTGTTAATCCTACTGCTGAAAAGGTATGAGGCCAATTATGCTACATAGTGAGTTCAAGGCCAGCCTGGATTATATATTGAGACCCTGTTTCAGCAAAACAAAAAAATTAACTGAATACCTTGTTCGTTAAAAAATGCTGAAGAATAAGAATTTAACTTGGCCTGACAACTGTTAGATGTCATAGGTCCATAAATTTTTTAAAAATGCCTCTGTAATAAGACATTTTGGACACTGCATTTTTTTATATCATTCCTTCCCCAACCAGGTACGCCTTATACATGTTTATGTACTATCTATCTTTGCTTTGTGCATAAACCATAAGGGTTTTTATTTAACCTCTTAAGAATCAACTTGTGTCTTTTTGAGGCCCTGTCACCCTTGTTGGGAATGCATGGTTTAAGATGAAGTAGTACATCCATAATACAATTTTTCTTCAAACTTTTCAAAGTAATAGGAAAAAAAATAGAACAAAATGTCTCCTTCTTTCTTCTTTCCCTCCCTGACTGCTTCCTTCCCTCCCTGTCATTGATTAGATCCTTGGTCCTTTAGGTCATGTATTTCATGTGCTATAAAGCAGGCCTGGGGATGGCTGTCTCCATAGTACCAGCTATAAGCCAGGTGGAAAGAGAAAGAGCAGGTCGGCAGCACCTCGGAGAGCTCTGGCTCTGCAGAGCCACCTGCTGTGAAGCCCTCACCACACTTTACTTTGTCTGAGAATATGATAGGATTATTTCTTAAGGAATATGACAAGATAAACAGAGGCTATTTCCAGATTAAATTAGTGGCTTTTTTAAAGAAAAGATTTTTTTTGTGTGTGTGGGGCTTGAACTCTGGGCCTGTGCCCTGTCCCTCAGCTCTTTAGCTCAAGTGCTCTTGAGCTAAAGTGCCACTTCTGATGGTTTTCTGGTGGTTAATTGTAGATAAGAGTCTCATGGACTTTTCTGCCCAGGCTGGCTTTGAACCTCAATCCTCAGATCTCAGTCTCCTCTGTAGCTAGGATTACAGGCATGAGCCACTGGCACCCTGCTACAAAAAGTTATTGTTATTTTTTTTTTTTTTGGTCCGGTCGTGGGGCCTGAACTCTGGGCCTGGGCACTGTCCCTCAGCTCTTCAGCTCAAGGCTAGCACTCTACCACTTGAGCCACAACGCCACTTCTGGGTTTTTTCTTTTTGCTTATGTGGTGCTAAGGGATCGAACTCAGGGCCTCAGGCATGCAAGGCAAGCGTTCTATCACTGAGCCAACTTCCCAGTCCCAAAAAGTTATTTTTAACTATGTTAAATATATAGGACATAATATTGACTATCACTGCCATTTAAAGTCAATTTCAAGAGATAGAATATAAAAAGAAAAGATTTCAAAATTTTGGAAAATGCGAAACATTTTCCAGCTGTTCTCAGTTTTTAATTTCTCAGCCTGCTATTTTGTGTGTGCTAATATTTGAATGAATGAAGAAATGGAGACTTAGTAAGCTTAGTCCTTTCATCTCTTTAGGTAGCCGTCAGACCCAAGAGCAGAGAGCTCAAAGAAGTGTAATGAGTGTACCCGGAGAAAAACGCACTGAAAATGGGGTAAGTGATGGTAAATGAACTAAAATGAATTTTAATTGCCTTTGAGGTTCTAACAAGTTTGGACTGTGACTTATTTGTAAAAAGTTATTTAGAGGGATTTAATATCCTTATGTAAAATGCTTGACTTAGAAGTATTTCAGTTTTAAGAATGTTTCAGATATTGGAATGTTTGCTTGGACTTTACTGGTCAGCATCTTAATCCAAAAATCAAATTGATACTTGAAAAGTTTTGATTTGGGGGTAACCGTAAGCCTTGCCACAAATGTAAATCTGTCTCTTTCTCTCTCCATCGCCAGCTCTCTGTCTCTCCCCCTCCCCTTACCCTTTTCTGTCCCCTCTCTTTTTTCTACCTGGCCCTCTAGTGGAATTTTGAGTGCTAAGATTTATAGTGACCTGTATTTGAAGGCTGATGACATAAATGTATTAAATAGGCAGTGTGTTGAAGTGAGTTGTGAAGTGTATGGGGCCTCCCATCCCCCCCTCAGTCTTGAACCCAGGGCCTGGGTGCTGACCCTGAGCTCCCCCCCCCCCCCCCCCCCGGCCCGGCCCAAGGCTATTGAGGGACAGTGCCACTTCTGGCTTTTTTGGTGGTTAATTGGTGACAAGAGTCTCATGAACTTTCCTGCAGGGCTGGCTTCAAACTGTGATCCTCAAATCTCCTGAGTATCTGGGATTACAGGCTTGAGCCACTGGCACCCTGCAGTGTGTGTGTATCTATGCTATATAGAGGGGACTCAGAAGGAATGGATTCCGATGATATACTAAAGGGAGATGGCTAGTTTGGATGTGATAGGTCTGTAATCTTTGTTTCCATGATAAAGTTATGTTAGCAGGAAGATACTGTGTTATTTTAAGAGCAACAAAACTAAAACCTGAATCAAACATTTAAAATGCATTTGTGCTCTTTATGTGAGCTTATAATTAAAGGAAGATATGAGACCTAACCTAAAGGAATAAGTTTGTGCCAGCTATAAGTATTACATCAAAGACGTTGCTGTATTTTATAGCTTACGGACCTGCCTTTTAAGCCTAGTAATGCATTACTTTGTAGGGTACTTTTATTGTCTACAAAGCACATTTTTATGCACTTTAAAGTAATATGTTAAAAGACATACTTCTCCAAAAAGGTTTTTGTGTATATCCTGAATATAGGGTAATAACACGCTAAGCTTCTGCCTGTGGGCTAAGACCACTAACAACACATCACGGAGAGCTGTGAGGGAGGAAGGGTGTGTGGATTGGAAGAGTAGGGCAGGATGCCAAGATGGTATGATTCATGCCTATTACCAACGGCTGAGGTAAGAGGATGAGCAAGTTATGCTCTGAAAATTGCAGGTCAAGAAGTCAGGCTAATCTGTGGCAGCTTGATTCTCACATTGTACATTGCTGTGTTGGAATTCCCAGGTTCCATGATTTTCTAGGAAGACACACAGATATAATTTAAAACAGAGGGTAATACACAGTCCAGTCAGCAAGGGAAAGGCAAGTTTTACTTAGGTGTTCTGGAAGCATTTTGTCCTGTTTGCTTAGCCAGCCTGCCTAAGTTCAGTTTCTGTTATATTCCTTATGCCTACTCTGTTGCCAAAATTGGGGGTCCTGCCTCCTGAGTTTTCTATATTTAGGTCTATGATCTATTTTGAGTTCATCCCCAATAGGGATTCAGATTCATTCTATTGTTGTTGTTGGAGGTGGTGGTGGTGATGGTGAGGCAGTCCCTGAGCTTTTTTGTTCAAGGCTAGCTAGCACTCTACTACTTTGAAAAACAGCTCCACTTCCTGTTTTCTGGTGGTTAATTGGAGATAAGAGTCTCACAGACTTTCTTGCCTGGACTGGCTTTGAGCCACAGTCCTCAGATCGCAGCCTCCTGAAAGGCTGGGATTAATGGCACCTGGCTGATAGTAGCTGAACTCAAGGCCTAGTACTATTCCTGAGCTTCTTTTGCTCAAGCTAGCATCTACCACTTGAGGCACAGCACCACTTCTGGCCTTTTCTGTTTATGTGGTACTGAGGAATTGAACCCAGGGCTTCATGCATTCTACTCAAGCACTCTATCACTAAGCCACATTCCCAGCCCCTGCAGCTGTTTTTAATATCTACAAAAATCTGGTTCTAGTAGCCTGGATTTCTAATATTCTTTACTTTGGTAGTTTTCCAAGTCATGACTTGGAAATGTGAGATTTACATGGAGAATAAGCCTCCAGCTTTTGGTGAATCTGGTCCTAGTACATTCTCTTGACTTGTCAATATACCATTTTTTTAATAGTATCTTCTTAAAAGGTTACCATTTGTTTGAAAAAGGGTAATTAGAAGTTGAATATATCCATCCAAAAATATTGGAGCAGTCTCTGGTCTTCATTAGAACTTACCACAAACACAAGGCTACAGTTTACCATCTGCAATAGTCTGTGAAACCAAACTTCCTTACCTTGAGTGTTAAAGAAATCACAAATCCAGAATTCTCCCAGAAGCCCCTGCTCTTCCTCTTCCTGTAAGCGGCCAGAGGTGACCTGTGAAAATGGTTCGCTACTCTCTAGACCCAGAAAACCCCACAAAATCATGCAAGTCAAGAGGTTCCAATCTTCGTGTACACTTTAAGAACACCAGAGAAACAGCCCAGGCCATCAAGGGTATGCATATCCGAAAAGCGACCAAGTATCTGAAAGATGTCACGTTAAAGAAGCAATGTGTGCCATTCCGGCGTTACAATGGTGAAGTTGGCAGGTGTGCCCAGGCCAAACAGTGGGGCTGGACACAGGGTCGGTGGCCCAAAAAGAGTGCTGAATTTCTGCTGCACATGCTTAAGAATGCAGAGAGTAATGCAGAACTGAAGGGTTTAGATGTAGACTCCCTGGTCATTGAACACATCCAGGTGAACAAAGCACCTAAGATGCGCCGCCGAACTTACAGAGCCCATGGTAGGATTAACCCATACATGAGCTCCCCCTGCCACATTGAGATGATCCTTACTGAGAAGGAGCAAATTGTTCCTAAACCAGAGGAGGAGGTTGCACAGAAGAAAAAGGTATCCCAGAAGAAACTGAAGAAACAAAAACTTATGGCACGGGAATAAATTTAGCATAAAATAAACGCAAATAAATCAAAAAAAAAAAAAAAAGAATCACAAATCCAGTGTCTTAAGCACTTAAGTGGACTGTCCATTAATTAAAACCCATCCTTCCAATCCATACATCTCTCCTGAGCCATTACCCCATCTTGATGAAGCTGCAAGGAGCCACCAACTGAAGATACAGGAGATTAAAATTCCAGCAAATCCTGGATCCAAATGCATAAATCCCAGGAAAAGATCACGAAATTCATAAATCAACAAGGACACGTCTTCCTCAAAAACCAGTAACACCACAATAAAGGACTCAAGTGAGTGAAAAGGAAGAAAGTCCAAACAGTAGCTCAGTAAAACAATGGTAAAATGGTTAATGAAATAAAGGATACAACAGATGCTTAGAAAACTGGACAAATTCCAAGAGGATTTGAACAAACAGGAGAAATTGAGTAACAAGTAACAAAACTTCTTCTTTTTCTTTTTTTTTTTCTGTTGGTCATGGGGCCTGAACTCTGGGCCTGGGCACTGTCCCTCAGCTCTTCAGCTCAAGGCTAGCACACTACCACTTGAGCCATAACACCACTTCTGGCTTTTTCTGCTTATGTGGTACTGAGGAATCAAACCAGGGCCTCATACATACAAGGCACCTTCCCAGCCCCTGGTCCTGGGGCTTGAACTAAGGGCCTGGGCACTGTCCCTGGGCTGCCTTTGCTCAAAGCTAGTGCTCTACCATTGGAGCCACAGTGCTACTTCCAGCTTTTTCTGAATAGTTTATTGGAGATAAAGAATCCTACAGACTTTCCTGCCTGGGCTGGCTTTGAACAATGATCCTCAGATCACAGCCTCCTGAGTAGCAAGGCTTACAGGCGCGAGCCACCGGCACCCGGCTGACCTTTCATAACTTAAAAGGATAAAATATATGCATATATATATTTTTTTTTTTTGGTCCGGTCGTGGGGCCTGAACTCTGGGCCTGGGCGCTGTCCCTCAGCTCTTTAGCTCAAGGCTAGCACTCTACCACTTGAGCCACAGCGCCACTTCCGGCTTTTTTTCTTATGTGGTGCTGAGGAATCCAACCCAGAGCCTCAGGCATGCAAGGCAAGCACTCTACCACTGAGCCACCTTCCCAGCCCCTATGCATATATTTTTGATGTTGTTAATCTTAAACAGCCATAAAAATGAGAAGATCAAATTTCATTTGTGTCCGTGTAGGGTATTTTTATTTTTTTTCGGTCGGTCATGGGGCTTGAACTCTGTGCCTGGGTGCTGTCCCTTAGTTCTTCAGCTCAAGGCTAGCACTCTATCACTTGAGCCACAGCACCACTTCCAGTTTTCTAGTGGTTTATTGGAGAGGAGAGTCTCATGGAGTTTCCTACCCAGGCTGGCTTTGAACTGTGATCCTCAGATCTCAGCCTCCTGAGTAGTTAGGATGACAGACGTGAGCCACCAGCGTCCAGCTCTGTGTGGGGTATTGTGGGATAATATTTTTGGAGGGATTTCTTTGAGGCCTGGAATGGTAGTATACAGAAGTGTTTGCTTCCCATTTAGACTCATTGTGTAGACTTGGGAGGCTTTATGAAATATCTTTTGTTCAGCCTGACAGTCCCCATCGTGCTTGGATCCAGGGTGGCTGAGTGGCACAGTTAAATGACTACTCGTACATTGTTCATGAGGTCTTCCCATGTAACAGCCTGAGTGGTACACTCATACAAGAACATGTGACCACATCCTCATTGCCACCCTGGGAAAGGTTCTCAATGAAAATAAAACAGGAGCCCAGTTTCTGATACTCCGAGTTGAGTAGATGAGGAACGTAATCATGTCCTATGTGAGCATCTTCTCTTGCATTATAATAGGGGAATCACAGTGGGAAAATATGTAAACTACTGTGAGTTCAGAATCTAGGATTATATCTGGCATCTAGAAGTTAAATGAATTGTCACAGTATTGTGTTACTGAGTACCACAAAGTAATTATTCCCCTGACACGTTGAAGCTTGTGTGTGGAGCACCTTGGTCCTGCCCTCTGTTTTCAGGTTGCCTTGCTCCTCAGCACATCATTTAGAAACTTCCAAAGCATTACTGCTCATGGCACTGTGGGCAGACAGGACTTAGAAGTCATGGTTAGAGGGAAGTGATAGGAGCCAGAAACAATTTGTTAGTGAGATGGTAAGGAGATACCTGGGGCAGAGCTGAAATAGCGAGGAGGAGGCATGCTTCACATAGAAGTACAGAAGGAAAGAAGTCAGGCTCATATGTAGAGGGACTGGACACAGGAGAAATCACCAAACGTCTCAGGAGGAGATGCTGATTCAAAAATTTAAAATGTATTTGTGCTTTATATGAGCTTATAATTAGAGGCATCTGACAGTTGCCTGTTGTTGATACATCTCACAGGCACAAAGCCTGGTGTTAGGTAACTAACTGGTAGAGAGCTTTGCTCCAGTAGTACTGATACACGTTAGCGAAGAAAATCATTTTCTTCCTTGTAGGTACCAGTATTGGGTTCAAACTCAGGATCTGGCACTCTTGCTTAACTTTTTATGTTCAGGAGTGACACTACCACTTGAGTCACACCTCCACTGCCAGCTTTTTTTTGTTTAATTGGAGGTAAGAGTCTCAGGGATTTGTCTGCGTGGTCTGGCTTCAAAATCCTCAGAGCTGAGACTCCTGAGTAAGAGTGCAGGTATGAGCCACCAGCTCCTGGCTGGGAAGAGAATCTCTTATTTTCCCATTGCCATAGTAGGTCTATAGGGGTTGGAGGAGTGGAGTGACCAGAGGAGTGATCACACGGGCTAGAGCGAGGCCTTTGCCACTCTGCGCAGGCTGGGATTGGGTGGTGTCAGTGTCAGGCGGAAGCAAACCTGGCACTTGGGTAAGGTAACTGTGTGTCTGGAATCCAGAGCTCAGGGGTGAAGGCAACTTGGAAGCAGCCCTCACTGGAAGTGCCTTTGGAGAGAGGTTCTAGTGCATCTGCAGTCCAGGAGCCATGCTGCAGGAGCTAGATCATATCTGGACTCCACCAAGGATGTGATGCTGCTGCTCCTCCTTCATGGAGAGATACCATGAGATCACAGTTCTTCTCTGGCCAGCTGCGCCAGAGACTGACTCCAGTTAGTCTCGGCAGCAGTATGCATAGACCTGATGTTTTCTGCCCACCAGGGACTGACATCTGCCTACTACTGTGCATGTGGAGAGGAGTACTTCCTCAGTACACTGTGCACTGAATACCAGATCACCAGGATGCTACTTGTGCAATCTGTGGTCATTCTTACGACACTCTTGCCCCAAAGTGAAGGAGGAATCATAAATACATGACAATTACAAGAAAAAAGGAAAGAAGAAATACTGTTTGTTGCAGTGATTGCAAAATTGTAATAGGTGGAAATTAGTAATCCTTTATAACTATTAAGATAGAAACAGTCCTTTGGCCATTTATACTGTACTGCCAGACCTTTTTTCTTTTTCTTTTTTTTTTTTTGTCGGTCCTGGGGCCTGAACTCTGGGCCTGGGCGCCATCCCTCAACTCTTCAGCTCAAGGCTAGCACTCTACCACTTGAGCCACAGTGCCACTTCTGGCTTTTTCTGCTTATGTGGTGCTGAGGAATCGAACCCAGGGCCTCACTTATGCAAGGCAAGCACTCTACCACTGAGGCACTTCCCAGCCCCGGACCTTTTCTGTTTTTAGTAGAAGAAGCCAATTTCTTTCTAGTGGAAGCATCCATAACTAGGAAGCTTAAGAGAGACTGGCTCTACTTAGCTACCTTAAAACCTTTAGATAAAACAGTGGTTCCAAGTAAGACTGATGAAGGAATGTTGGTTCTGTTTTCCTACAGCTGAGATCATGCTCAAATACTATAAAAGTTGAGTAAGCCATGGAGCTAGAGGAGCAGGGATTGCAACTGACTTAAAAGTGTAAGAACTTTAAGGGTGACAGAAGTGAAGGGGTTCTGAGGGCATATAGAAAACAAGGAGGAAGAGGTGCAGAGGGACTGGAAATATCCATGGTTACACCCAAAGGCTTCAAAAGAGCCAAGAGTCATTAGAAGGGAGCTCTGCTGCTTTTATGAGCCACCTCTTGGCATATTCCTTTGCCTCCCCCAGAGGAGCTCACATTCCCAGCATGAAGACTTGAAGAACATGGAGCTTGGTGCTTGAAACCAGCCAGCATACCAGAAGTATGGCTTGTGCAGGAGAGTGCACAACACATACAGTTGACTCTGTATCTGTGTTCTGCTTCACACAAGCAGTTCCATCTGTAAAACAGAGGTGCTGGGTTGGGTACTGGGTGGCTCATGTCTGTAGTTATAGCTACTCTCCTGAGTAGCCCAGGCAAAAAAAAAAAAAAAAGTTTTCAAGAATCTATCTTAAAAGCCGGGCACCAGTGGCCTATGCCTGTAACCCTAGCTACTCAGAAGGAGGTTGAGATCTGAGGATCGCAGTTCAAAGCCAACCCCAGGCAGGAAAGTCCATGAGACTCTTATCTCCAATAAATCTTATCTCCAATTAACCACTCAGAAAACCAGAAGTGGTGCTGTGGCTTAAGTGGTAGAGCCCTTGCCTTGAGCTGAAGAGCTCAAAAAAAAAAAAAACATCGTAACTAGTAGCTGGGTATACCTGTCAGCCCAGCCTGGGTAAACATTTCAAGACGCCATCTCAGCAGAAAGTAGTCAGGTTGATGGTGCATGACTTGCTACCCTGGTTGTAGTGGGAAGCATAAAATAGAAAGATGTAGTTCAGGCCAATCTGGCAAAAAGCAACACCCTGTCCCAAAAATAATGAGAGCAAGAGGGCTAGAGGTGTTGCCGAAGCCTAGCACGCATGAATCCCTGAGGTCAGACCCCAACCTGCCCTGCAAGAAGAAATGGAGCCAAATGCTGGTGGCTCATGCCTATAATCCTAGCTGCTCAGGAGGCTAAGATCCAAGGATCATGGTTCAGAACCAGCCCAGACAGAAAAGCCCTTGAGACTCTTCTCTTCAGTTAACCACCACAAGTGGAGCTATGGCTCAAATGATAGAGCACCAACCTTCAGTTAAAAAACCAAGCAAGAACATAAGTCACTAAGTTCAAGCCACCCCCCACCCACATACACATATGAAATTGAGTGTCATAGCACCTGTTTGATGGGCATAAAGCATGTAGTTCAGCCCATGGCCACAGAGGTGGGAGATAGCCAGGTGCACTCCTCTTCACAGTTATTTCACACACATGATTCTTTCAGATAACAGGCCATTTTTTCCCCCTTAGGGTGTATTAGATATTTAATGGAGTTGTTGTATTTTAGAATCTGGCAGGGATTTTAGTTTCCCCCAGAACAGGTGGCAGTGAGATACTTGTCTTGGGAATACCCTCTATATCCTTGGTTGTATTTGGTTGTATATCCTTAACTAGTAACATCCCCATTTGCTCAAATACACCTATCTTCCAGGCAAAAGAATACCAGTTATAATACACATTTTCAATGTTTACATAAATCTGAGCCCCATATTAATTATAATACCTGAAGTTTATACAGGACCACAGCTCTGAAGGTAGAGTACTTGTCTAGCAAGTACAGGCTCTGAGTTCAAACCTCAATACTGCCAAAAACAAAGAAAGAAATGAAATAAAAAGGAAAGGGTTATTTAGAAAAAAAGTGAAACCTGTTTTTGTTTTGTCCCTTTCCCTGCTCACTTCACCTGTGTAGGACTTCCCAGCAGTTAGGATGACAGCACAGGCCACTGCGTCCAGCCCTGGGCTGGCCTTGAACCATGATTCCCAACCATCTCAGTTTCCAGAGTTGCTAGGATTGCAGGTATGAGCCACCAGCACCTGACTGAAAGCTGTTACTTACACTTAATAAGTGGTCAACACTTTAAAAATGTTTTATGGGAAAATAACCTAATTTGTGTTCTTCTAAGTTCTAGGGATCCTGTCTGAAATCCAGACATTTGTGAGTGCCAACCTAGAGGAAGATGGCTATCCTGATGAACACAGATACGATGAGTACTTTTGTTCTCTATAGGTTGGGAATCCGCGTGTGGAACTTACCCTCTCAGAGCTCCAAGACATGGCAGCCAGGCAACAGCAACAAATTGAAAATCAGCAGCAAATGTTGGTTGCCAAGGTAAGTCATAATAGCACAGGCAGGTTGCTTCAGTACTGTGTTTTCCAGCTGTGCTTTGAGACTGCGTGATCAATCCAGATAGAGCCATGCCAGTAAAGTACTCAGTACTCATTCCCTCTGTGTCACCCCTCCTGTAGCGTCAGGATGTTAGCCAGGCATCAGAGCAAGAACACACACACACACACACACACACACACACACACACACACACACACACAAGAGAGAGAGAGAGAGAGAGAGAGAGAGAGAGAGAGAGAGAGAGGGGGGGGGGAGGGGGAGAGGGGGGGGTGGAGAGAGAGAATATTGGCACTTTCCCGATTGTAAAGAAAATCTCAGAAGATCTTCTGTTACCTCTCTGTTCCCTGGCTGCCTCCTCTGCCATGTGTTTGGTGTGAGTGTCCTGGAGGAAAGCAGCAGTCCCTGACCCTGGGCAGGGACCCTGGGGATGACAGCTGGCTACCAGGCTTTCCGTGCGTCCTACTGTGCTAAACACGTTAGCGTGATTACAGTGCACACCGTGTACACTTGTAGTTGAAACTGTAAAGTAGGATTTGGAATTTTTCCAAATTATGGTTTAGGCATACTTGATAGACTAAAAAAAAATCAGACCTATTAACCCATGCCTGCTGGAAACGATTCATGTTGTGAATGATCCTAAAGTGTTCAAAACCAGCTTGGAAGAGGACTGCTAATCATTTCCAACCTAATTCTTACTGCTCTCTTCTGCAGAGAGGTTTCCTTTTGGACCAAAGAGCTAATCCAGTTTTCTCATTTATCGAATGACTGTGTAGTTCATTGTATTAGCTGCTTTTATGAAATATTTTAGTTGACTTATTTATAAAAGTCTCATAAAGTTTATTGGACATTTTTTAATTCTTAAGATTAGTAAATATTAATATACTCTTAAGATGAAATATATACAGTATATGTAATAAAGATTTCTGCCAGGCTCACGCCTATAATCCCAGCTACTCAGGAAACAGATCTGAGAATCATAGTTCAAAGCCAGCCTAGGCAGGAAACCAAAAGTGGAGCAATGACTCAAAGTGGTAGTAGAGTGCTAGCCTTGAGCAAAAAAACTCCGTGACAGCGCCCAGGCCCTGAGTTTTAAGCCCCATGACCAACTAAAAGAAAAATTTCTGGGGTAGGAATGTGGCTTAGTGGTAAAGTACTTGCCTAGCATGCATGAAGCCCTGGATTAAAGTACTTGCCTAGCATGCATGAAGCCCTGGATTTGATTCCTCAGTACCATATAAAAAGAAAAAGCCAGAAGTGGCGCTGTGGCTCAGAGTAGTGGAGCACTAACTTTGAGAAAAAGAAGCTCAGGGACAGTGCCTAGGCCCTGAGTGCAAGCCCCAGGACTGGGAAAAAAATTCTAATTCTGTTTCTTTTCTTTTCAAATATTGGTCCAAAAATATTACTGCTAAAAAAAAACTTCACAGATAGCTGGGAGCCAATGGCTCATGCTTGTAATCCTAGCTACTCAGGAGGCTGAGATCTAAGGATTGCAGTTCAAAGTCAGCCCGGGTAGGAAAGTCTTTGAGACTCTTATCTCCAATGAACCACCAGAAAACCAGAAGTGGTGCTGTGGCTCAAGGGGTAGAGCACTTGCCTTGAGCTTAAGACCTCAGGGACAGCGCCCAGGCCCAGAGTTCAAGCCCCATAACCAACCAAAAAAAAACCAAAAAGCAAAAAAACTTTACAGATATTTTCAATAATGTGATTTTTTTTAATGTTAAGCACACCCTTGCCCTTAAAGTATCATGTGTGATATTGGCTTCATCATACGTGAGTTTCCTTAGTAGTTTTTGTTTTTGTTTTGTTTTTTTGGTTGGTCATGGGGCTTGAACTCTGGGCCTGGATGCTGTCCCTCAGCTCCTTTTGCTCAAGGCTAGCACATTACTGCCTGAGCCACAGCACCACTTCTGGTTTTCTGATGGTTAATAGGAGTCTCATGGACTTTCCTGCCCAGGTTGGCTTTGAACCACGATCCTTAGATCTGTCTCCTGAGTAGCTAGGATTACAGGTGTGAGCCACCAGCAACCAGCTGGGTAGGTATATTTTATGAATCCATATGGAACCATATTTAATGTTGACTGTTACCTTCCAGGTATGTTTTATATTAATAATAGAAGCAGGATTTTGCGTTTTTATTTTAAGATTTTGTGTTCTAAAATGTTTCATTTTTGAAAAAATTAGTCTTAAAGGGAACAAACTATCTTTGATTTCTCATGTCAGTTAAAAATGGACATTTAGATCTTTCACACCTTTTTCCTTGTGTATAATATTCTGTTGGTGCTCATTTAGGAAGTTGAATAAGAAACCTTATTAACTGAAGTTAGCTTAGAGACACAAAGGATTCCTGTTTTATCTCATATGTAGCGGACACAGCCATATTATAAATATATATATGCAAATTTACAAAGTCCTATGCATTTGTGCACAAACATATTAACAATGGTATATGGAGTGGAAGATTCCAATGGTGTGACTCCTTTTAGTTCAGTGAATACCAGGAAGCAGGAGCTTGTGGTGTCGGGAGGGGTGAGGTCAAGGGGAGGCGGGTGGGAAGAACAGTCATAATATTCAATTGATATGTGTGAAATGGAACCAGGTAACTTGAGGGGGGTGAGGGGGTTGGAGAGATGGAGGAGAATTATGAAAAGGATGACATTGATCAAGATGCATTGTACTCATTAACAAATAGAAAGAAAACCCTTTGTACAGCTACTTAAAGATATTTTTCTTTAAGAAAGAAATCTTGGAAGTGCTTTGTAGTGGGAGGAAGTGTGTTCCAACAGCAGGAAACAGAGCTGGCTGCACTTGGCAGCTGTGCTAAGTGCAGAGATTGTAGCTGTAGAGGTTCCCACGGTGAGCTGTGTAGAGCAGATGAGTGTGGCGGTGAGGGCACTTCAAGTATCCCCACACTTACCATGCCACACGCACACGCATATGCCTTGTGTGGACCGATAGGTGCAAGGTTGTTCTAGTGTTATTCAAGATCGGTAATAGTGTGCACACACATCTCTGTTCTGAAGTACAAAGGTAGTTGTAAATTTCAGTTTGAAAAGTTTTTCCCTCTTTGTCAGGAACAGCGTTTGCATTTTCTAAAGCAACAGGAGCGACGCCAACAACAAACTATTTCTGAAAATGAGAAGCTTCAGAAATTGAAAGAGCGAGTTGAAGCACAGGAAAACAAGCTGAAGAAAATTCGTGCCATGAGAGGACAAGTGGACTACAGCAAAATCATGAATGGCAATCTGTGTACGTGTTGCAGCCCCTGCGGCCATGGTCGACCCTGTTTGACTGCCTGTGTGCTACTGTGTGCCGCCCCCAGATGCTTTGTGCCGCCCCCAGATGCATTAGACAGCCGGCTACCTGGTAGTTTGTTACAAAGTCACATGGAATTTTGCAACAAAGTGCACTAAAACTTCATTGCATCTAAGAGGACAGAGTTGGTTATAACGTGACTTTTTAAAAAAACTGTACATCCCACCAACCCCTGGGAGGAAAAAAAAAAACTTACGTAAAGCCAGTGAAGCCCTCAATTAGATTTTGTTCCACTTAATATCAATTTCCTGATTTTTTAATATAATTTTAATTGTCTATATTTACAGGGTACAGCGTGATAATTTGATGCATATTATAACATGCATTGATCAAATCAGGGTAGTGTTTCTGCCACCTTAAACATTTTAAGATTTTTTTTTTTTTACCAGTCCTGGGGCTTGAACTCAGGGCCTGGGTACTGTCCCTGAGCTTCTTTTGCTCAAGGCTAGCACTCATACAGCACTTGAGCCACTTGCAGCTTTTTCTTTTTTTCTTTTTTTTTGTCGGTCATGGGGCTTGACCTCTGGGCTTGGGCACTGTCCCTGCGCTCTTCAGCTCAAGGTGAGTGCTCTATCACTTGAGCCACAGCTCCACTTCTGGTTCTCTAATGGTTTATTGGAGATAAGAGTCTCTCGGACTTTCCTGCCCGGGCTGGCTTTGAACCGAGATCCTCAGATCTCAGCCTCCTGAGTAGCTAGGATTACAGGCGTGAGCCACTGGTGGCCTGGCTCCACTTGCCGCTTTTTCTATGTATGTGGTAATGAGGAATTGAACCCAGGGCATCATGCATATGCTAGGCAAACACTCTACCACTAAGCCATAGTCTCAGCCCCGACATTTTGGAATATTTTGATGAACACATCCTAAGTGTGTATATTCATAGGGGCACATAATGCAGTTTCAGTACCACTCGAAACGGAGTGGGGGGATCCTAAGCCTTCTGACCCTTTTTGCTGCTTGGGCTGCTAAGGCTTCCCTCATCGACAGTCTCTGTTGTCACTGAGTAGCTTGGGTCTTACCTATGCATTAAATGAGGTAAGGCAAACAGTGGACTGGGTCTTTTTTTTTTTTTTTTTTTGGTCGGTCGTGGGGCTTGAACTCTGGGCCTGGGCGCTGTCCCTCAGCTCTTCAGCTCAAGGTGAGCGCTCTACCACTTGAGCTACAGCGCCACTTCCGGTTTTCTGGTGGTTTATTGGAGAGGGAGTCTCACGGTCTCTCCTGCCTGGGCTGGCTTTGAACCGCGATCCTCAGATCTCAGCCTCCTGAGTAGCTAGGATTACAGGCGTGAGCCACCAGTGCCTGGCACTGGACTGGGTCTTTTAATGAGTTCAGTTAGCACCTCTTCAGAATGGCTTAGCTAAACTGGCTTTGGGACTGATTGCTCTAAGGAATGTTCAGTAACTATTGGAGAAATAATTGTTGCTCTGTATGGAGTAATACTGTATGTTCTAGATGCTTGTGTTTGTTGCTGGATAGGGTACTCACTTGCCAGTGTGTGTCAGACCCTGGGTTCTAGCTGTAGCACTGAAAGGGCAAGGGAGAGGAAGAGTATGTGGGATTATGCCTACGCTTTAATCAGAGGTCTAGCATGAAATAGGAACAGAATTGGATACCGTGTGTACAAGTGAAGATCCATTAAATGACTTCTTTTCTTTGTGGACAATTACAGCTGCTGAAATAGAAAGGTTCAGTGCCATGTTCCAGGAGAAGAAGCAGGAGGTACAAACTGCAATTTTGAGAGTTGATCAGCTTAGCCAGCAACTGGAAGATTTAAAGAAGGGAAAACTAAATGGGTTCCAGTCTTACAATGGCAAGTTGACAGGACCAGCAGCGGTGGAGTTAAAAAGACTGTACCAAGAGCTACAGGTAATTCACCTGGGCCTGGGGGATAATTGTGTGAAACTCTCTCAGCTTTCTCCTTAATAGAAGATGGATATTCAGGAACTGGAAACAAATAGATTCTAATTTAACAGGAGACGTAAGCTATCTTCAGTACAAAATATTTTTGAATGGCTTCATTGAGATGAAATTCACAGAGCATACAATTCATTTAAAGTGTGCCAGAGTATCTTTACAGAGTTGTACATCCTCTGCCACACAAACTTTAGAACATTTTCATTACCCCAAACCCCCCTCGATAATGCCCTTTAAGAGCCAGCAGCCAGGAATCTGCCTTTAGTCTGTGTGGAGTTGTCTGTCTGGACCTTTCATGGCAATGGAGTTACCACATGTGGCCCTTGTTGACCAGCTTCTTCACTTAGTGTGTTTTCAGTGTGAGGACTTGGGCTGGGAAGGTGGCTCAGTGGTAGAGCGCTTGCCTTGCATGCATGAGGCCCTGGGTTTGATTCCTCAGCACCACATAAGCAAAAAGAAAAAAGCCGGAAGTGGCGCTGTGGTTCAAGTGGTAGAGCACTAGCCTTGAGCTGAAGAGCTGAGGGACAGCGCCCAGGCCCAGAGTTCAGGCCCCACAACTGGACCCCCCCCAAAAAAAGAAAGAAATTCAATGTGAGGACTTAGTTGGCAACATAATGAAGCCTGAGCATTAGTCTTGACACATTAGTTGCCACCTCTGAAATCCTTGTTTCAGGCTACTGTAACAACATAGCACTGATGGGCGACTCAGAGAGCAGGCGTAGACTCCCCCTGGTTCTGGAGGTCAGGGAGTTGACAGATTAAGTTCCTGATGTGAGCTATGTGTACTTAGTGTTCCCACCCTCCCTCTTTCCTTCCCTCCCTCCTTCTTTCCCTCCCTCCCCCACTCTCCCCTTCTCTTCCTCTCTCCCAGTTCTCTCTTCCTTCCCCCTCCCTCCTCTTACCTTTCTCCCCTTTTTGTTAATTTTCACATAGTCCCATGTTTCCCCTCAGGGCTGGCCTCAGACCACAGTCCTCCTGCCCGTGCTTCTGCTAGCTGGGTTGGTACGCGTCCACTGCTGAGTTTGGTTAAGATGGAGTCTTGCTGACTTTTTGCCAGAGCTGACTGTGAACTGTGGTCTCTGCCCCTTGAGTATAGGGATTTTATTTGTGAGCCACAGAGCCCAGCTTGCTGACTGATTTGCTTTTTATACTGCAGTTTGAACCCAGGGCCTTGTGTTTGCTAGGTAGGTAGGCCTGTACCACTTAACCCATAGTCTCCCACAATTTTGTGCTTTCAGTTGTTTTTCAGGTAGGTTTCTCACTTTTGCCCAGGGCCAGCCTCAGATCTCTTACCTATAGACTCATACAAAACTGGGATTACAAAATACTGGTGTACCTTGCCCATCTTACTGATTAAGATGGAGTTCTCGTTTACTGGTCTCTCTTCCTCTTTTTCTAAGGACAGAACTACCCATCCTATTGTGGGTGCTTGCCCTCTGACCTCATCTAAAACTTACCACGGAAAGAGGCTGTACCATACTCGGGCGTTGGTGGCTCACGCCTATAATCCTAGCTACACAGGAGGCTAAGATTTGAGGATCCCTATTCAAAGCCAGCCACACAGAAGTCAGTGAGATTCTTTATCTTCAATTAACCACCAGAAAAGTGAAGCTGTGACTTAAATGGTAGAGTACCAGCCTAGAGTGAAAAAGCTAAGGGACAGCAGCCAGGTCCTTAGTACCAGTCTACTACCAGCATGAACACACACACACACACACACATACACACACACCCCTACGTCCTTAGTACCAGTCTACTACCAGCATGAACACACACACACACACACACACACACACACACACACACACACACCCCTACGTCCTTAGTACCAGTCTACTACCAGCATGAACACACACACACACACACACACCTACCTCACTAAACATCACCCTGGGGCAATGTTGCGATTCTTCAGGGCTTTAGCATGTGAATTGAGGGCAGGGTCACACACTGTTCATAACAGTCATGACAAGTTCCCTGTCTCAGAAGTTGTCATTCCATGAGTGCCTTTTTAAGCAATTTTATTAGGACTTACTAAAGAAAGTCCTCTAGTATTTTATGAAACAAGAGTGTTTAGCTATGAAAATAAAATCACTTGTTTCTATTAAGTTCTGTTAACCTTCTTTTGCATGTTAGGCAATTGTTAAATGCTGAGGTATAATGAATAGGCGAGTTTATTTCTAACTATTGGACTACAGTTTGTTCGTACATGTTTTGCCTCCTATCTGGTGAGCACATGCAGATATTTGTGTACCTAAATAGTTTAGCACCTATGGGAGTGCTCCCTGATACTGTCTCTTCTTTCCTAGCTCATTTTTTAAAAATACTGATTACACAGCTTTGAGCACAAATTAAGAGACAGTGCCCAGGCCCTGAACTCAAACCTCCACCTCCCATACTGACACAATAATTAATTAATTTAAAAAATACTGGTTATAAATGAGTGAAATATAAAGGCCTCGTTTGGGGTTCCAGGTTATCCGTTGTGAGCGTCTTGCTGCCTCTGTGTTGTTTGCTCTTGGATGGCTGGGGTATAACGGTGTTTCTGGTGGGACAGGCACGCCTCCTGGTTCTGAGCGCCACTGCAGGGGCTGAACAGTGGTGGCATCCAGGGTTCCAGGCGTGGTCTCATTACCAGGGTTGTGCTTTAGAGAGGAGAGATAGTTGCAAGCATTTTCTGTTTCTTTATTTCGTAAGAACTCTGTTCTGGGACAGACATGGTGAGATTACAGACATGAGATCTGCAATCTAATCACTGAGGGAGCAGAGGCAGGAAGATCATGAGTCTGAGGCTATTCTGTGCTATGTAGTAAGACCCTGCCTCAAAAAGAGCTAGGAGCGGTGCACCAGTGGCTTACGCCTATAATCCTAGCTACTCAGGAGAGCAAGATCTGAGGATCATGATTCAAAGCCAGCCCCAACAGGAAAGTCCATGAGACTTTTATCCCCAATTAACCACTAGAAAACCACAAGTGGCGCTGTGGCTCAAGTGGTAGAGCACTCGCCTTAAGCTGAAGAGCTGAGGAACAGTGCCCAGGCCCAGAGTGCAAGCCCCACAACCAGAAAAAAAAAGAAAAAAAGAGCTAGGGCTGTGGCTCAGTAGTAGAGCACTTGTCTAGCACCGTGCTTGCCTGTTACTAATCTATGAACTATGTGGCGCACAGGTGACAGTGTATACATGTAAACATATCCAAACTTCAGGCTACTTTTTCTTTTTTTTTTTTTTTTGATCCAGTCCTGGGCCTGAACTCTGGGCCTGGACGCTGTTCCTCAGCTCTTCAGCTCAAGGCTAGCATTCTACCACTTGAGCCACAGCACCACTTCCGGCTTTTTTCTTTTTGCTTATGTGGTGCTGAGGAATCGAACCCAGGGCCTCAAGCATGCAAGGCAAGCGCTCTACCACTGAGCCACCTTCCCAACCCTACTTTTTCTTCTTTATCTCTTTGGCAAGAGAATTTGTTGGGGAGGGGAGAAGAGGGTGGTATTTGACTTTTTAATTAGTGAAAATCTTATGGTGTATTTTCTATTTTGAAGATTCGTAACCAGCTTAACCAGGAACAGAATTCAAAACTCCAGCAGCAGAAGGAACTCTTAAATAAGCGCAACATGGAGGTGGCCATGATGGACAAGCGAATTGGGGAGCTGCGTGAACGTCTTTATGGCAAGAAAATTCAGGCATGTAAATGAGAAAATGTCTGCGAGCTAAACTAATGTCAGTGGTTCATCTAAACTCCTCAGTGTCCTTGAATGACATTGAACTCCTACCTGTCACAGCTGATACAGCAACCCCTATAAGTGAGACAGGCAAGCGTCACTTGCAAGGCTCACTGCTCCTAGCGCGTGGGCAGAGCCTCATGGCCTGGCATTCAGCTTTCCATCTCCATCTTTCCGCAGCTCTGTCTCTTCTGCACTGGGGTGCTATTGGCCCTGGAGTGGTGGCATCCAGCCTTCATGTTTTAATAGTCTAAGCTGCCACTTGAAGCCAGTTCCTTGGCCTTTGTCTGTAGACTTGTGTCCTTGCTAGAAAGGCATCGGTCCTCTCTGCCCCAGGTGTTGTAAGGTTCCTAGGAGTAACTCATTTGGAGGGATTTTGAAAACTCTTGAGAAAGATACCACATAAGGGGTTATAATTTTTTTTTTTTTTTTTTTTTTTTTTTGTCGGTCGTGGGGCCTGAACTCTGGGCCTGGGCGCTGTCCCTCAGCTCTTCAGCTCAAGGCGAGTGCTCTACCACTTGAGCCACAGCGCCACTTCCGGTTTTCTGGTGGTTTATTGGAGATAAGAGTCTCACGGTCTCTCCTGCCCGGGCTGGCTTTGAACCGCGATCCTCAGATCTCAGCCTCCTGAGTAGCTAGGATTACAGGCGTGAGCCACCAGCGCCCGGCTAAGGGGTTATAATTTTTTTAAAACAATCCTTATGCTGGTTTTACTTATTTATTTATTTTTGAGCTTTATTTATTTATTGTTAGTGTCTTTTTTGTTGTTGTTGTTGTTTGTTGGTTGTGGGGCCTGAACTCTGGACCTGCATGCTGTCCCTCAGTTCTTCAGCTCAAGGCTAGCACTCTTCCACTTGAGCCACAGTGTCACTTCCGGGTTATGTGGTGCTGAGGAATCGAACCCAGGGCCTCATGCATGTAAGGCAAGCACTCTACCACTGAGCCATCTTCCCAGCCCCAGGGGTTATAATTTTTTAAATGTCTAGTTGGTAATTGGAATTCCAAAACTACTAAGTACCCACTGGACAAAACTTGAAACAAGCCAGGCACTGGTGGCTTATGCCTGTAATCCTAGCTACTCAGGAGGCTGAGATCTGAGGATCACAGTTCAAAGCCAGCCTGGGCAGGAAAGTCAGAGACTCTTTTTGCCAGTCCTGAGGCTTGACCTCCGGGCCTGGGCACTGTCTCTGAGCTTCTTTTGCTCAAGGCTAGCACTCTACCACTTAAGCCAGAGCGTCACTTCCAGCTTCTTCTGTTTATGTGCTACTGAGGAATCTGCACAGCAGGTCCTCAGCCTTGGAACTTGAGTCCTTCTTTCATTTCAAGGCCTTCCTCCACTGGGTGGATGAGATCCACATTATGGACCCATCTGCCTTTCTCAGAGTCTACTGATTTAAATGTTAATATCATCTCAAAAATGCCTGCACAGGAAGTGGCACTGTGGCTCAAGTGGTAGAGCACTAGTGTTAAGCTGAAGAGCTGAGGGACATCGCCCAGGCCCAGGGTTCAAGCTCCAGGACTGTAAAAAAAAAAAAAAAAAAAGGCAAAAAACAGGGTGGTAATGGTGGCTCAGTGGTAGAGTGCTTGCCTCGCATGCATTAGGCTCTGGGTTCCATTCCTCAGCACTGCATAAACAGAAAAAGCTGGAGTGGTGCTGTGGCTCAAGTGGTAGAGTGCTAGTCTTGAGCTGAAGAGCTGAGGGACAGCACTCAGGCCCAGAGTTCAGGTCCCACAACCGACAAAAAAAAAAAAAAAAAAAAAATTGAGGAAGAGATTATTATTTATCAGGCGCTGGTGGCTCATGCCTGTCTGTAATCCTAGCTACTCAGGAGGCTGAGACCTGAGGATCCATCGCAGTTCAAGCCAGCCCAGGCAGGAAAGTCTGTGAGACTCTTATCTCCAATAAACCACCAGAAAACTAGAAGTGGCCTTGTGGCTCAAGTAGTAGAGCGCTAGTCTTGAACTGAAGAGCTGAGGGACAGCCCCCAGGCCCAGAGTTCAAGCCCCAAGACCAAAAACAACAACAAAAATAACACTTGTAAAGCAACATCTAGATTGGTAAATAACTGAATGTCTAGGTACCAAGTTGATGCATAAAATTAACTGTAACAAATGGCTAGATCCATTCTATCTGTAACTTCAGGATCTACCTGAAGAACTTGGTGCTTCTGCAGAGATGTGCTTCCACTGAAGATCTTAGATACTTTAAGCGGTTATGAAAGCCCTGTACCCTCTCCCCAGAATGGTGTAGTATTGTACACAGAACCTTGCAGACAGTGGCAGAGACTATGACTCTCCACTCCGAAGCTACCTGGTGACCCTGAGGAGCAGGAGGTCCTCTAATTAGAGCTCCTTGCAGACTCTTGGTGGGATTGTGTGGCCGGTGTCCTCAGGCACCGTCAGGATCACAGTCTGTCCTGGGTACTTTGCCCTACATTTTTTTTCCTTTTTTGCCAGTCCTGGGGTTTGAACTCAGAGCCTGGGCACTGTCCCTTAGCTTCTTTTGCTCAAGGCTAGCACTCTACCATTTGAGCCATAGCGCCATTTTTGTTTTTTTCTGTGTATGGGGTGCTGAGAAGTCGAGCTCAGGGCTTCATCCATGCTAGTCAAGCACTCTACCACTGAGCCACATTCCCAGCCCCTGCCCTGCAGTCAGTCAGTCTCTCCCTCCCTCCCTCCCTCCCTCCCTCCCTCCCTCCCTTCCTTCCTTCTTTGCATTTCAACATTTCATTTATTGGATTTTTCAGCATGAAGATTTGGGGGTTTATTTGCCCTGCATTCTTTTTTTTGGTCCAGTCGTGGGGCCTGAACTCTGGGCCTGGGCACTGTCCCTCAGCTCTTCAGCTCAAGGCTAGCACTCTACCACTTGAGCCACAGCGCCACTTCCGGCTTTTTTCTTTTTGCTTATGTGGTGCTGAGGAATCTAACCCAGGGCCTCAGGCATGCAAGGCAAGCACTCTACCACTGAGCCACCTTCCCAGCCCTGCCCTGCATTCTTTACAGTAGCTCTTACCCATACTTCACGGACAGAGGCACAGAGGCTAAGAAAGGCTAAGTAAGAAAGGCCCAGAGCAGTGCAGGGAATAAATGACAGGGCAGGTTTTGAAGCTATATTCAGACTACAGACCTCTGCCCTTCTAGGGGAGGGAGAGCATCCCCCAGATGGGGACAAGGTGGTCCTTGTCACTAAAAGTGATGCTGTCTTCACATCAGCCCCTCACTCTTGCATTGCCAGTAGGTGGGTATTATTAGAGGAAGTGGCTTCTACAGCAGTGAACCGTGTCCTCTGCAGGCTCTCTTCTAGATGCCAGTCTCTCGGGGTGAGGGTCTGTCCAGTGAGTGCTCTGTGGTCTGAACAGGGAGTCGGGCTAAGTTGAGTTTGGAAGAATCTTGACTTTCATTTCTTGTTGGTTTGCAGCTGAATCGTGTGAATGGCACATCGTCACCGCAGTCCCCCCTGAGTGCGTCTGGCAGGGTTGCTGCCGTGGGGCCTTACATCCAAGTTCCCAGTGCTGGGAGCTTTCCTGTCCCAGGGGATCCCGTAAAGCCCCAGTCTCTCACCATCGCCTCCAGCGCTGCCCACGGAAGAGCAAAACCCGGTGAGTGGCCCTGCCCCTTCATGGGAAGGAAGAGTTTCTGGAAGCTCCTGGCCTTCTGGTATAACACTTAGAAAGCCAGAGGTCACCAAAATAACAAATTCTATTTACTGATCTGAATGTACCATAGCTTTTCAAAACACAAATGATGGCCACATGTAATCCTGACTACTTGGGAGGCTAAGATTGAGAGGATAAGAGTTTCAAGGCCTGTAAGAGCAGAAAAGTTAATGAGACCCTATCTGGTTGAGCTCTTGGTTGATAATCGGGTATAGTGGCACACACCTGCCATCCTAGCTACATGGCAGGCTGAGAGCAGGAGGTTCTTGGTGCCATTCAAGCTAGAAAAGTCTGAGATTCATCTCAACAGAAGCTTCTTGGCATAGTGGCACACACCTGTCATCCTAGCTGGAATGGGAAGCCTAAAATAGGCAGATCATAGTCCAAGCTTACACCCAGATAGGAAATGAGACTCTGCCTCAAAAAAGGGCTGCAGATGTGGCTCAGCGTAGAGTGCCTGCCTCTAATGCTAAGTCCTGGGGCTGGGAAGGTGGCTCAGTGGTAGAGCACTTGCCTTGCATGCATGAGGCCCTGGGTTCGATTCCTCAGCACCACATAAGCAAAAAGAAAAAAGCCGGAAGTGGCACTGTGGCTCAAGTGATAGGGTGCTAGCCTTGAGCTGAAGAGGCCCAGAGTTCAGGCCCCACGACTGGACTCCCCCCCCCCCAAAAAAAAAAAAAGTGCTAAGTCCTGAGTTCAATCCCCAGTACTGGGCCAGAGGATATTAAGGATATCTTTCTCATAGCCCAGGTTTACTTTTTCCTGAGGGTACTTGGTGGTCAGCTGTGGATTCCTCACTGGACTTGACTCTTCTTGGTCACTTGTCAGTCCAGCTGTGGCTGGCCAGACCAGGATCACCTCCCTATAGATAGAGCTCCCCACTCAGCAGTTTCCATCAGTCAACCTGGAATAGGGCGTGTAATAGAGCCTAGCATACACAAAGCCCAGGTTAAGCCTTCAGCACCACAAAAAAGTCCACAAACTATTCCTTTGCATTGTTGTGCTGTGTGATAACTCCAGCTCTGTGCTCAAGATAGCTGGCATTCCAGCTGGCACAGGACCAGCCCTGTGTGGAGACTACCATTGCTGCTTAAGCCAGACTTCCTGACCACAATCCCTTCCATGTCCTCAAATACTAAAAGTTGCTTCATTTATGGGAACAGTATTGCTGCTCCCCTACTGTTAGGCTTGTGTTAGATTACTGTTTCAGAATTGGTGACTGGTTTGTACTGGTCTTCATGTGTGTCATTTTCTCTCCCTTGGTACGGACAGTGCCTAGTGATGCATCAGCTCTTTTTGGCAGCTTAGGGGTCGAGCTGAGTCCTACAGGTCGGACCTTTCCTAGCCCCCTGTGTCCAGAGCCTGGCTCAGATCTTTCTGGTCACACAACAGTCACACAGGGGCTTTGGTCAGCATGAGCTCCTCTGCACAGTGGTCTTTGATGAGCTATTGTTTATCTGTGGTAGAAGGTAGGAGTGGCTAGTCATCTATGCAGATATTAGCGCAGCCAGCTTCTGCTGACATCATTATTAGAATGTCCAAGCTTAAAATGTCACTACTCTCCATGGTGGGAGTGTGCTGTGCTGTTTGTTGAGTTGGCAGAAGAAGCTGCCCCCAAAGAGCCTCCACTCTTCTCTCCACTGGAGGGTGAAGCACCCACTCCAGGAAGCCTGTGTCTGCCCGCTGAGGTAGAGCCTGGATAGCAAATCCCTGGTAGGGACACTTAACCCTTGTCGTTGGCTGACCTGGTTCTGTGTCACACAGATGGCCATGGTAGACCCAGAGTGAGCAGCATGTGGACAGTGTCAGACCTGGACATCGGGCCTGGCTGTGGCTCTTCACAGCACTCTGCAAACCTGCTTGTGAACCGTATGTCAGCTGCCAGGCGTAGGGGGGCACTTCTGATCTGTAAGACTGAATCAGCAATCATTTGTTTTCCAATCTGACAAAGGTTCCTCATACCTGGACATAAGCAGTGCTTTGAAGGATCAGGTGCCCTTTCCATCCCAGACAAACATCCCCCCAACACATACACATGCATCACACACACACACACACACACACACACACACACACACACACATTCAGAGAGGGTTGGCCACCAGGGGTTAGAATCTAGGACAAAAAGGTTTGCGGGGGAGTGAGGGAGGGTTGTTTTTCAAAAGTTAAGATGAGCTGGTAGGCATGGTATCAAAGGCCTGTAATCCTCAGTCCCCTGGGCAGGAAGAGGGAAGACAGCTGGACAGCTGCGCTCCACGGTTCATTATGAGGCTTTCACATTACCCATCATAATTAGTGAATGTCTCTTCCTTTATAATAAAAGGAAATGACCTTCCTTCTATACCTGCCGTGTCCTGAACAAAGAAAAAGATTATTACTCTTCTCCCAATAACTGGTTTCCATAGACCCGCCCATGGCCATGTGATTTAAAAAGCCACTGAAGCAAAGTGCTAGTGGCTCACGCCTGTCATCCTAGCTACTCAGGAGGCTGAGATCTGAGGATCGCAGTTCAAAGCCAGCCCTGGCAGGAAAGTCCGTGAGACTCTTATCTCCAATAAACTACCAGAAAACCAGAAGTGGCCCTGTAGTCCAAGTGGTAGAACCCTTGCCTTGAGCTGAATTGCTCAGGGACAGCGCCCAGGCCCAGAGTTCAAGACTCACAACCAACTTCAGGCTCAGAGTTCAAGCCCCACGACCGACCAAAAAAAAAAAAAAAGCCATGACGCCCAGGTGGCTTGGCCACCCCTGTGGGGCCTTGCTTTTCTGGTCAGCCTGGAGTTTTCAAGGCCTCTAATAAGTTTCTTGGAGCCCACGCTTACTCCAGGGCTAAGATTCACACATTATTGCCTGAAGAAGGCTGGCAGGCCACAAAGAACAAGGACAGTTGGCGCCAGGCCTTGGAATTCCTGGCTAGCACTGATGGCTGAACCAGCACTGTGTCAGAGCCCTCCTGTCTATAGTGACACTCAGCAGAGTAGTGATCAGGTGATCATGTGTCCTGTTGTCACATTTTGCTCACGAGCTCCATGTGTGCAGATGCCACACGCTAGGCCAGCTAGGGGCACCAGGGGCATCGAGCCCTCTCAGCACACCACTGCCTCAGCAGCAGGGCCTCCCTCTGGGTTGTGCTGGAGCTGGCTTGGGCCACTCACTCTCCTGTTTTATGAGACAAATGGTCTTCCTGCCACAGCTTGGATATCATCCTGCCTGTGGTGACTCCTGCTTGTCCCCACCCACTAGTGGGCCGCGGCTGCGGTACCTCAGGGCGGCTCTGCACCCGTGCCTGATGAGAAGCGGGAACCCCAGTCGGTGCACAACGCTGACCCACACGTCATTCAGGCTCGGGTCACCTTTCATGACCCCACATGACCAGGCATGACTGCAGTGCACTTGTCAGTTTGGAAAACTGTAAAAAATTCTGTCTTTCTGGGAAATGAGGTTTTGGCTGGTTTTCTAATCACAGCAACAAAACGACACTGCTTCTCCTGCTGCCCAGTCAGAGGGAGCTTGTCCTGACCTTTGGTCACAAAGGGACGGACTTCCTCCCATGAAAGGAAAACTTTTTCAATTATGGCGGTAGCACAGGTCAGACTTGTTACGAAGTGGAAAGATAAGTCCTCATTGCTCTGTGTGATTGTGTTTCTAAATGGCACTTGCTTGCACATCCATGCCCAGGGCTTGCTCTGTTCTGCGGTGGGGCTGCAGCAGGCCGGGCCTGTGCTCCGTGGACAGCATCCGTGAGCTGCACAGTGGCGGGCGGCAGCTGAGGCTCCTGCCAGGCCTGTGGTGGTGGAGCAGTCAGCAGCGTGGCACTCAGGTGGTGGCTGACTTCCAGACTCAAGGAACTCTTTCCTAATGTGAAATCCCAGTGTTATTTTTTATTTCTGCCAGGGGGGCTGCTCTCAGCTAATTGCAAGAAAAAAAAATCTATTTACCTTCTGTGTTCTTTTTAAGCTAATGATGGAAGCTGGCCAACATTAAAGCAGAATTCTGGCTCTTCAGTGAAGCCAACACAGATGTCCAGTGCGGACTGGAAGGACCCAGTGATGGAGGGGACCCTCAAGCAGGGTGCTATCTCAAGCCAGCCGGTGCCTCTGTCAGCTCTGGGAAGCACTGAGAAGCTGGTAGGCTATCCCCATCCTTAGCTGAGTGCCAACAAGTAGAAGGGCCTGGGTGAGGTACCACACCGCAGATGAATCTTGTTAGTGTCTGCCTGCCTTACCCCAGAGTCTTAGATAGCTACCAGACCTAGGAAGCTGAGCGGTACACAGTTGCAGAGCCTGTGGGGGCCGGAGGCTGAGCAGTACACAGGTGCAGGGCCTGCGGCTGGGGTTTTTGTATCTACTTTGCAGACAGATGATGAGCTAAGCAGGGCCTTATACCCTGGTCACATAACCACAGGCTGATTGAACGATTCCAAATCCTACTGGGTGTGGATATATGCTTATCTTTTTAAAGAGTGACTCTGTTTTTCTTCTTAATACCAAAACTTAGGGCATCGAGATTGGTAAAGGCCCACCTCCTATCCCTGGTGTGGGAAAGCCACTGCCTCCAAGCTATGGGACATACCCGAGTCCTGCGCCACTAGCCCCCGGCTCAACGGGCTCTCTGGAGAGGAGGAAAGAGGGCAGCTTGCCCAGACCCAGCACTGGCGGGCCCAGTCGGCAGAAACCTGCTCCGCTGCCACCAGCAGGCAGCGCCCCACAACCTGGCTCATCGCAGCAGATTCAGCAGAGGATCTCAGTGCCACCAAGTCCCACGTACCCGCCAGCAGGGCCACCTGCATTTCCAGCTGGTGATGGGAAACCTGATCTCCCACTAACAGTGGCTATCCGGCCCTTTCTGGCTGATAAGGGCTCAAGACCACAGTCTCCCAGGAAAGGACCCCAGACAGTGAATTCAAGTTCCATCTATTCCATGTACCTCCAGCAAGCCACACCACCCAAGAACTTCCAGCCAGCAGTGCACGGCACCTTAAATAAGTCCATTAAAGCAGGTACAAAGGGTTTCTATTCTTCACCTGGGACTAGGAAGTACTAATTTGTATCCTTACAATTGAAGCATGTGCTACTTAGGATGAAACAGTTCGACCAGGGGCCAGTGACTCACACCTATAATTCCAGCTACTCAGGAGGATCACAGTTCAAAGCCAGCCTGGGCAGGAAAGTCTATGACACTCTTATTTCCAATTAACCACTAGAAAGGCTGGAAGTAGAGCTGTGACTCAAGTAGTGGAGTGCTAGCCTTGAGCAGAAAAGCTCAGGGACAACAGCCAGTCCCTGAGTTCAAGTCCCAGGACTTGCACAAAAACCATAATTCTTATAAGAAGTATGGGCCCGGTTGTCTGTGGGAGGGGAATGAACGATGAAGTGCACAGAGCAGTTTGTAGATGGACCCCAGCTCTGATCTCCTGTCTGGGCGCCCATATCCTTGAACTGCTTAGCAAATATAGCCCCTAGAAGGATAAGAACAATTTCCTTTTCCCTCTTGCTTCGTGGTCACTTGTTCTAAGAGCTGTCCAGTGAGTAGGGCGGGCCTTGCTTCTGGGGCCTCAGGCCCTCGGGCCATGGCTGAGCTAGAAGAGTGCTGGGTATAGGTGGTGTGACGAGGGCATCTGCTGCTCAGAGGTCTCCCAGAGCCATGAGAAGCTGCTTCACACCTGTCTTCTGTGGGTGTTGGAGAAGGGCAGACAAGAGGACATAGCTTCTTTCCACATGCCCTGTGGAGGACAAAGGTAGTTCTCCCTGGCCAGAGGATCCTGTGGGCCAGGTCTGGGCTAGAACCCTTGACATCCTCGGCCGTCACCTGCAACAGCCGGATGTGTGGGCCAGGAGTCGAGGCGTGCCTGGCCACTCCCTGCCAAGACCTCTGAGGCAGAGTGGAGTGTCAACGTGTGGAGAGGCCCTGGCATCCAGGGGTCCGCCCCGCCCTCCCGAGGTGCCACGCTCAGATGCAGGTTTTCTGGTTTGTTTCTCTTGAACCAGAAAGTGAAGCAAGCTTGTTTGGGTCAGGGAATGTCAGGCCAGCAACTTTTTCTTTTATGAAAGCCTAATAGTGGGCGCTCAGATTTAAGATAGATGCATTAGACACACCTCTGTTAGGGTGTAGAGATTGGAAATCAGAGCGTAGGCATGTCAGGAGCAGGAGGTGGTCTCTTGTTGTTAAACCCCAATCCTGGCAGCCAGGCTGAAGCTGTTTTTCTTCTTCTGTCTCTCCAGTGTACGGCAAGCCTGTCTTACCATCGGGGTCCGCGTCTCCGTCCCCCTTACCCTTTCTCCATGGGCCCTTGGGCACTGGCACATCACAGCCGCAGCCCTCTTCAGAATGTGCTGACAAAGAGCCAGAGCAAGAGGGCCCGGCCGCGCCCGGGGACGGCAGCGCAGTGGAGAGCCTGCCGAGGCCGCTCAGCCCCACCAAGCTCACCCCCATCGTGCACTCCCCGCTGCGCTACCAGAGCGATGCGGACCTGGAGGCCCTCCGCAGGAAGCTGGCCAACGCGCCCCGGCCCCTGAAGAAGCGCAGCTCCATCACAGAGCCCGAGGGCCCCGGCGGGCCCAACATCCAAAAGCTGCTCTACCAGCGCTTCAACACGCTGGCTGGTGGCATGGAAGGCACCCCTTTCTACCAGCCCAGCCCCTCGCAGGACTTTGTGGGCACTCTGGCCGATGTAGATAACGGGAATACCAATGCTAATGGCAATGTGGATGAGCCCGCGCCCGCCCAGCCCACAGTCCCCCTCCCCGAAGAGCCCGCCCCTTCCTCCGATGCCAATGATAACCAGTTACCTTCCCCAGAGCCCCAGGAGCTCATCTGTCCCCCAACCACCCACCACACCGCAGAGCCCACCGAAGACAACAACAACAACGTGGCCACGGCCCCCTCCACAGAACAAACCCCCAGCCCCGTGGCTGAGTCCCCATCTCTGGGGGAGGAGCAAGTCCCTCCAGCACCCCTCCCTGCCGCCGTCCACCCTCCAGCTGCCTCCACGGTGGGTATCCTTGCTAACCAGAGCCAGGCCTCCCTGGCAGCTGTGTGGAAGGTGGAACCAGCCATGTCCTGGCTGCCACAGTCAGCCTGATAATCCTACAGACAAAGCAACACGAGGAGGTTGCACAGGAACCTAGTGAAGCACTGCTGAAACACAGAGGCTAGGCAAACAGGAACGAACCTTCTAGACGAGCCTCTGGGGAGGTCCAAGTGCTGACACAGAGGGGCAGAGCATTATCACAGGGAGTCTCAGCAAGACCATCCTGGGTGGGTTTTTACAGCTGGAAGAGCCTGTGGGGTGTCGGGTAGATTCCTGTGGCTGGCGTCTGGCGTGTGGCTCAGATGTAGCTGTTGGAACACACTCCCCTGCCTGAGCCTCCCACAGAGCAGCTCGAGGTTGGCCGTGCCCAGCCCCTCCCAGCCAGGAACCCCAGCAGAGCTCAAGCCCCCACAGATGCCCAGGCCTTGGTGGGATGTCCCCGGGGCTCTCTTGGAGAGCCAGTGGTTTTAGAGCTTCCGTCCTGCTGCTCCTTCCCCAGGGTGGGTCCTTGGCCGCCTGGATACTGACAGCACTCACTTCCTCACAGAGCAAAAGAACCAACCTGAAGAAGCCCAACTCCGAGCGGACGGGACATGGGCTCAGAGTACGCTTCAATCCCCTGGCGCTACTTCTAGATGCTTCTCTGGAAGGAGAGTTTGATCTGGTGCAGAGGATCATCTATGAGGTGAGCCACACACACCTGTGTGTGCTGCTGTGAGGCGGGGGTGGGGTGCCGCTGGCTGTGATGTGATTTGTGTCTTAGGTGGAAGACCCCAGCAAGCCCAATGACGAGGGCATCACCCCCCTCCACAACGCAGTCTGCGCCGGCCACCACCACATTGTGAAGTTTCTGCTGGACTTCGGTGTCAACGTGAATGCTGCCGACAGCGACGGATGGTGAGCACGCGGGCTGGGTGTGGAGTTCCAGGGCTCGTATTCCCTGCCCCGCAAGAGGAAAACACGTATTCTAGACAGTTGGGAAGCACGGAAGAAAGAATACCTCTCTCCTGCGGTTTGCTGTCTTTCCTGTCCTTTCTCTTAACTATTTTGGTAAAGAGAGCTGGGTTTTTCTTTTTTGGTCCGGTCGTGGGGCCTGAACTCTGGGCCTGGGCGCTGTCCCTCAGCTCTTCAGCTCAAGGCTAGCGCTCTACCACTTGAGCCACAGCCCACTTCAGGCTTTTTTTTTCCTTCTGCTTATGTGGTGCTGAGGAATGGAACCCAGGGCCTCATGCATGCAAGGCAAGCGCTCCACCACTGAGCCACCTTCCCAGCCCAAGAGAGCTGGTTTTAATGTCTTTAATGTGCCTTACAACATTGCAACCTGAGTATTTGGCGAATCATTTGCTCTTCCTCTTTTCAAATGTTCTGTAGGGAAATGTCTGAATTCTGTATATACATTCTATAGGAAAAGTACCTACATTAGACACTTTATTTATTAGACACTCCTTTATTAGACACTTAAAGCACTTGAGTTCGGTTTCCATTTGCCTTCAGATTCAGTGGGCAAATGGAGTAGGGCCATGAGTCTACTCCAGGGTTTTTGAACGTGCATACAACTCTAGTTTTTAATTGTGGTAAAATGGCTACGTTTTACCATTAGCCATTAGTAACGTGCATGTCGGCGAGTTACGCAGGTTGACGCTCAGTGCACTGAGCAGGTTATGGGCCATTACTTAATCTACTCCTTAACCTCCCTTCTCAACACTATATATGGTCTAAAGCAGTTTTCACGGAAACCATGCCTTTAAAAAAGCACTACAGCTTTCCTGGCACAAAGGCGTGGCATCCCCACGAGCATTCCGTGGAGGGGGTTCTCGTGCGGTTGGTTCCAGACCTCCATCTTCCCTCCTGTGTCTCCAGGACACCGCTGCACTGCGCTGCTTCCTGCAACAGCGTGCACCTCTGCAAGCAGCTGGTGGAGAGCGGCGCTGCCATCTTCGCCTCTACCATCAGCGACATTGAGACTGCTGCAGACAAGTGTGAAGAGATGGAGGAAGGCTACATTCAGTGCTCCCAGTTTCTCTATGGTACGTGTGTGCCTGTGGGCCTCGGCTTCTTCCCTGGTTGAGTGATGGGGTCTGGGTAGCATTGTACTGGCCCAGAACGTGAACTGGTGTGGTGCTTACCTCCCTCTCCTTACTCCGAGGACATGTGCGAACCATGCTGTTACAGGAACGAGAACGACCTCGATGCTTGTGCAGTCGTGCGCTGGGAGTAGCCAGTCAGCTCTGCTCTGTACACTTGTTTCTGGGGTGCACTGGACTTGAAGCAGAGCCCATCCATTCATCCACGTGCTAGCCTAGGGTTAGCCATTTGCCCCAAGCCATTTGATGAGTCAAGTTCATGCTACATTACTGGCTGCCATCCCAGGTCCCATTTTCCCAAGGATTGGTCACGCACACGCTACACAGAGCTCCCACAGCAGAGCTGGTAGGGCGGGGCAAGCCAGAGCTCTGAGGGTGGAAGGCTGACAGGCAGTGACCACACCGGCCCCTCCCCAGGGCACCTCAGGTAGCTGCATGGCCGTGGTCCACTCAGATGCACAGTCTGCAGCACACCCACCACCCCGCCAGCCACAGCTGCTTCTCACTTCTGAAGGTTTGCGCTAGATCAAAATTCCAACTTTTCCCTTAAGGACTGCCTTTATGTCAGGAACCAGTGTCTCATGCTTCCATTCCTAGCCACTCAGGAGGCTGAGATATGGAGGATCATAGTTCAAGGCCAGTCTAGATAGAAAAATAACAACACATCTCCAAAATAACCAGCAGTCTCCAAAAAACCACCAGTGCTGGCCAGGTGCTGGTGGCTCACACTGTAACCCTAACTACTCAGGAGGCTGAGATCTGAGAATCACAGTTCAAAGCCAGGCAGAGATGTCCATGAGACTCTTACCTGAAAACGGGAAGTGGCACTGTGGCTCAAAGTGATAGCAAAAAAGCTCAGGAACAGCACACGGACCTTGAGTTCAAGCTGCATGACTGACCAAAAAAAAAAAAAAAGCAATGTTGGAGATAGGGCTCAAGCGGTAAAGCGTCAGCCTAGCAAGTACAAGGCCTTGAGTTCAGACCCCAGTGACGATGAGGAAGGGGAGGGAAGAGGGAATTGCCTTTAGAACCACAAACCTTTACATAAAACCTAGAGCAAGGTCTCAGTCAGAGCCAGGCACCAGTGGCTCATGCCTGCGATCCAAGCCACTCAGGAGGAGAGCAGTTTTAAGCCAGCTTGGGCAGGAAAGTTCATGAGATCTCTATCAACTACAAAGAGAAAAAAGCTGGAAGTGGGGCTGTGGCTCAAGTAGAGCACTAGCCTTGAGCACAAAAGCTTAGGGACAGCTCTTAGGCCCAGAGTTAAATAAAAGATTTCAGTCAGCTCTTCATGTTTATGGGTTCTGAAGATGTGGATCCAAACAATTACTTAGAGTATTGGACAAAAATTACTGGCACTGAGCCGGGCATTGGTGGCTCACGCCTGTCATCCTCGCTACTCAGGAGGCTGAGATCTGAGGATCACGGTTCAAAGCCAGCCCAGGCAAGAAAGTTTGTGAGACTCTTATCTCCAATAAACTACCAGAAAACTGGAAGTGGCACTGTGGCTCAAGTGATAGAGTGCTCGCTTTGAGCTGAAGAGCTGAGGGACAGCGCCCAGGCCCAGAGTTCAAGTCCCAGGACCAACCAAAAAAAAAAAATTACCTGCACTGAGCACCTAACACTCTTCTTATGCTGGTTCCTAAACCATTCCGTGTACGATGGCTTACACACAGCGAACTAGTTTAGGGCATGAGGGAAGGCAAACGTAGGCTCTGCACAGACAACACACAGTTTTGCAACAGGGATGAACATCTAAGGGTTCGGGGATCTGCAGGATCTGGGACCCCTTCCCACATAGACACTGAGGCTGCTGTGCTCTTGCAGGGACTCGGGAAAGGGTGCGCACATTAAGCTGCACCGCAGCAGCTGGGTCTGGGGCAGCAGCTGGGTCTGGGGCAGCAGCTGGGTCTGGGGCAGCAGCTGGGTCTGGGGCAGCAGCTGGGTCTGGGGCAGCAGCGGGCTGTGTGGCCCTGCTCTCCCATCTCAGCCATCAGCCTTGGCAGGTCTCGCTTGTGCCTTTGTGGGGCTCCTTGCTGTGAACTGTCTTCTGCAGGGCTCTGATGGTTGCTCTTTGATCTTAGGGGTGCAGGAGAAGTTGGGAGTGATGAACAAAGGCACGGTATATGCCCTGTGGGACTATGAGGCGCAGAACAGCGACGAGCTGTCCTTCCACGAAGGGGACGCCATCACCATCCTGAGGCGCGAGGATGACAGCGAGACGGAGTGGTGGTGGGCTCGCCTCGGGGGCCGGGAGGGCTATGTGCCCAGAAACCTCCTGGGGGTAAGTAGGCACTCCGCGCAGTCAGCTGGCCTTGTTAGCATGTGCCAGAGTCACAGGAAACCCTTGTGGTATGGGACCTGGTTCTGCAGGAGACCAGAGCACGCGCCAGCAGCTGCTCTGCCTGCAGTCAGAACAGGAGGCTCAGGCAGGATCCCTGAAGGTGCCTGGCTATACCCATACCCAGGGAGCGCCGAATCTGACAGAAGCAGAGCACCCGCTAGGGGCTGAGTGCTTTGCTTGGGGTGACCTTCAAAATAACAACTAGACAGCCAGGTGCCAGTGGCTCATGTCTAATCCTAGCTTCTCAGGAGGCTGAGATCTGAGGATCACGGTTCAAAGCCAGCCTGGGCCGGAAATTCCCTGATACTCTTATCATCCAATTAATCACAGAAAAAGCCAAAGTAGTATGATAATTCAAGTGGTAGGGTGCTAGCCTTGAGCAAAAGGAGCTGAGGGACAGCACCCAGGCTCAGAGTTCAAGCCCCTAGACTAGCAAAACAAAAAAACACAAAAACAGCTGGGTGCCAATGGCTTACTCCTGTAATCCTAGCTACTCAGGTGGCTGAGATCTGAGGATTGTGGTTCAAAGCCAGCCTGGGCAAGAAAGACTCTTATCTCCAATAAACCACCAGAAAACCAGAAGTGGTGCTAGCACGTGGCTCAGGTGATAGAGCACTTGCCTTGAGCTGAAAGGCTCAGGGACAGCTTTCAGGCCCAGACTTCAAGCCCCACAACAAAAACAAAACAAAAAAACCCTAGTTCGTGCCTATCGTCACACCCTGATCTAGAATTTTCCGTAGTGAGGTATAATGGTTTACACATGTAATTCCAGCACTCAGGCGGCTGAGGCAGGAAGAATACGAGTTCCAGGCCAACCTGTGCTAAATAGTGAAATTCTGTTTCAAAATACAAATAAATCTCTAGGTAGGCAGGAGGGGGCTGCGTCTTGTCTCCTCCCAGGTGCTGTGGTAGGGCTGGCCTTTGTGAGTCCCTCGTTCGTTTGATAGGCCTTTCTGAACACTGAGGCATGAGCCCAAGCGCAGGTCCCTGCGCTCAGGGTGCGCTTACGTCCTCATGTGGGCCAGCAAAGTGACACTCTCGGGTTTGGTTTGGTGTCCCGACCCGCAGGACGTCAACGAGGGCAGTGAACCTAAGCTAGAAGGAATGAAGGGACAAGAGACACGAAGAATGACAGCAAGACAGGGATTCTGATCAAGCTGCTCAAGCTGCTGCTAAATTTTATTTTTCACACAGCTGTATTTATATGCTTGGAATAAGAAAGCTTTTTCATTGGCCGAAGCAGCTGTAGGATATTTGCTTAGGGCAAGGTGAAAAGGTGGTCGGTCTTTAGCAGCTGCAGGGTGTTTGCTTAGGGCGTGGTGAAAAGGTGGGAGTCTGTAAACTCAGCCTCAAGCAGTTCCAGTGAGATAGTTAAGCCTATTATGTTGAGAGACTCAACTTTTGGCTCCCAACAGTTTGGGTTGTATGTGCCAGTCCTGGGCCTGAGCACTGTTCCTGAGCTTTTTTTTTGCTCAAGGCAAGAAGTGTTCTACTAATGGTCACTGTTCCACTTTGGGTTTTTTGGTGATTAATTAGAGGTAAATCTCACACTTTCCTGCCTGGGCTGGCCTCAAAACCAGTCAGTCCTCAGCCTCCTAAGTAGCTAGGATTCCAGGTGTGAGCCAACAGCACTGGCAGTGATGGAGTTTTTAGGTGGTGTGAAGTGCTGAGGGAAATGGGAACGGGAAACTCAAGGGTAGATCAACTCTTAAATGGAGGGTGGGACGCCTCAGGCACTGGGGAGACCAGCCTTGCCTCTGGGTAGTGCCGGCCCCGCACCTGAGGCCAGTTCCTGCTCAGAGGCTTCTCTGTCCTAACTGGCCCTACTGCTTTCCAGTTGTATCCACGGATCAAGCCCCGGCAGCGGACGCTCGCATAGACCCCCCCGGAGCACCTGTCTCCCAGCCTCCCCGGAGCTGCTGGAGAGGATTCTGCAGCCCCAGAAAGACCTAAGTTAGGACGGTCTCATGGTGCTCATTTTAGCAGACAGCGTCCACAATGTGAATTCTGCACTCCCCAGTCTGCCGCAGCTGGAGAGGCCTTTGCCTCTGAGACAACTGAACTTTGCCAATTACTGTAAATCCAAATAAATATCCAGCTTCCAAAACACCCCCCCATGTTGCCAGTAAGACTCCTGGAACGTCCTCGCCCAGTGGTGCCGGTGAGACCTGAGTCCTGCCTCACCGGCCCCGAAGCTTCCTCCCGTGCTGTGTCCGCTGCCCTTCCACAGGAGCCAGCTGCTGCCAGAGCGCAGCCCCAGCCCGCGCGTCCTCCTCCCACTCCTCCCACGGGCGGGCCGCCCGGTGAACGTGTCCCCTGCGTGGGCAGTTCGCACGTCCTGCTTCCAGCTGGGCCTCACAGGAGCACGCGTGCGTCTCCCTGCACAGGGTGGTCTCAGCCCTCGCAGCGTGAGTTCAGTGAGTGGCGTGGGTGATGGGGTGAGGGCAGCAGGCGGGGCGGGCGCGAGGGCCTGCTCCACTCCTCACCTTCCGGCAGGTTCCAGACTCCCCGTGAGGCAGGTGCTGCCCGGGGTTGGCTGTACAGGCAGGCTTGTTTTTTTTAACACACCAAAACTATTGTTCAAGAACGATCAGAATTGGGTTGGACATGTTTTCTCATTAACACATGGGCCTTGGTTCCCTCTTCGCGCGAGTCTTGTGTATAAATCCACACGGACGCTCTCGGGGCTGTGCTGTGGCCAGCCGGCACCCGGAGCACCCGCTGTCCAGGGTGACACCGGGCTGCCGCTCGCTGTGGAGGCTGCCCCTGCCGTCCCACCGCCACGCCACGCCATGCCACACATGCAGCAGACCACCCCGCACCCGGCTTCCGACCGGGGCAGAGACTCAAGACATCTGGACACAGAGGCAAAGCCTGGCGTGTACTTTCAAAATAGGTTTTAATTGTACGCTTTATGTACAAATTGCTGTACAGTCATCCTAATAAAGTGAAATCGTAAGTAAAAAGTAGAAAAGTCCGCTGGTGGCTTCTGCTTGCTGACATGTCAAAGGACCGAAATCCGGGCAGCCAGCGCGCAGGCTAATAAGGCAAGTGTGGTAAACGGGCCGGTGAAGACAGGCAGGCTGCCCTGCGATCAGAGCCGTGCGCGCCCCACCGACAGGCAGGAACATGGGCAGGCCACAACTTTCCCTAAACCTCAAGGTGCAGGCTACCCTGGAAATGGTTTAGCAGTAGTGAGTTCTATCTGCTCTCTTCATTGAGTACCAACAATGTAATACACAACTCTGAAGGCTGTGAAGCTGCTTATAGCGTTAGTGAACTGTGAGCATATTGCACTAGGTAAGTGGACATTTGCTTGTCCCAGATACTTGAGTTGCATTTCCCAGGACAAGGCCCTGTGGTGCTCGGGCAGGGGCAAGCTGCTGGACCGGTGACCAGATGCCCGCTGAGCTCTGCTCCACACGTGGAGTTAGCTATTGGTCCCGAGATTCATAGAGGAGCTTGGCAGCCTGCAGAGGGACCAAAAATAAAATCACAAAGCACCATCGGTCCTGAGCCTGGTGACAGTTGAGCCTGCGTGCCTTCTACAGAAGCTGCTGTGTGTACCTCAGATATATGACAGAATCTTCTAGAGAAGGCAAGCGTTTCTGTATGCCTACTGACCGGCCTCCTCCTCCCTTCCCCTTCCCCAATGGTACCTTGTGCATGGCCGCCAGCCATGCTGTCGCCTGCCTCTTGCTGGCATTCGCATCCTCTCCGGCCATCAGCCGCAGCTGGGTTGTGCCCTCTGCCCCCGGCACTGTGTACTGCAGGCACATGCCTGTGACCCGAGCACTGCCTGCTAGAGGAGGGAGATGGAAGTCAGGATGTCCAGCGGTGGCCTGGGCACCCACCTGACCCTGTGCTGCTTAAGGAGAGGCCGTGCTGGATGCGTGCACCTGCTCTACAGCAAGCTCTGCTCGCAGGAGGCAGGAAGAGGGGGCAGAGCACCGGGCCGGGCCCTCGTCTAGAATAACTTAGAAACTACCAAGCCTGCCGAGTCCTGCCCTCCACCACGGACAGGCATGCACAGCCAGGGTCGGGCGGGTGGGGGAGCCGGCTTAGGCTCTTCCTGGCCATCAGAAGATACGCCAAGCAGATGGCCACGCTCTCCCGGGTCCACTGCTAGACTCAGCTGGCCATCGCCATCCCTTGCTGAAGCCGGGGCTAAAGCTCAACAGACCACTGATGATGCCCTGCCAGGTGTCACTAGGCCGTAGGCACCCACACAGGCCCATCCTGAGGGCCGGTCTGCCAGACACACCCTCCGACTCTGGACTGCTGCCAGCTGTCCCAGTCACAACTACACAAAGAACAAAAGCGACTGCTGCACGTGGCTGCACCTGCAGCGGCGCCCCGCCTCCGGAGAGCCCTTCAGGCAGACGCAGCTCACCAGTGCAAACAAGGCTGACGCAGCATCGCACTGCGGGGTCTCCCACATAGCCCAGCCCACAGGCAGATGGCTCTGCATCTTGAGCACTCTAAGAAAGCACTGGATAGAGCAGGGCAACAAGTCTGCATGCCCACACTACGCTAGGGCACCAGGCCAGGACTACAGGCCTGCCCTGCAGAGCAAGCGAGAGGCTGTGTGCCTTCACAGGACCAGCCAGAGGCCATCCCTGGAGTGGCCCCTCCTGAGCCTCAGACCCCTGCCCCTGGCAGCAAGCATCTCCAGCCAGCGCGGCACCTCTCGCACACACCACCAGCCCAGCTCCTGCCTCTCCTTCAAGAAGTTGGGAGGGAGCTGCGAGAGTCAAGAGCCCCAGAGGCTGCCGCGGGCGGAGTGAGCAGCTGTGCAGGCAGCGTGGAAGAAGTCTGCTGTGCCCACGCACACCAGTGCCCGCTGGGCGTGGGGCCAGTCACACCTGTGGTCTGCCTTCTGGAAGCTGCCAGACACTGCCAGAAAGCTTCCAACTACCCAGTACTGCTGTGCTCCAGGAGATCACTGAACAGACATTTTCTTTCACTTCTGCTGTATGGCCCGTGTACCCGACTAAAAGAAGGGACCCTGCGTTTCACAGGAACACGGGCATGGACGCCTCATGCACAGAAGCCAAGGGGCGGAGGAGCAGGGCCACGGCATGCTGGGGGAGCAGAGGAGGATGCAGCTGACCTTCAGAGGCAGGAGGGCTCCCTGGGAGGCTGGTGTAAGCGGGAGAGTCCTTTTCTACGTCAGAAGACAGCCAGCCAGTGGAGAGAAAACAACCAAGAGCCAGTCAGCAAACAGCAAGGTGAGTGAGGTCAGGTGGGTTTTCAGGGCCACTGCAGCTAGGACGGGACGCTTCCAGGAGCTGCACGGGACGCAGGGCGCAGGCACCGTCAGGCTGCTACAGCAGGTCTGAGTGCTGCTCCTGGCGCCGGCATGCCACGTCCTCCCAGACCTGTTACCATGAGCGAGGGGCCACAGGTGCGGCGCACCAGGCACGTTTCCTCTCGTCCTAAGGCCACGCACGGGTCAGTTCTAAAACCTGTGACTCAGCTCGGGGCCCCCCAGACAGCGGGCCATTTCAGGTGCAAGTGCAGAACTCGGTCCCCAATGGCAGACTCCCCAGCAAAGAAAGGGCGCGGGCACGCACCTCCAGGAGCGAAGCCTTCGGTGACAATCTGCACCGTGGAGATGTTGGCGATTTCAATTTCATGGTGGCTGTCCCCACCCAGAATCAAGTACCTGTACCAAACCAAAGTGCGGCGGTCACGTGACCGAGGCCTAGGCACTGCACTGCACCGCCCCGCCCCGCCCCGGCGCCTGGGCTCTGGCTCTTACCTCTGGTTGTTGGAAAGACGGCAAACCATAGTTTCGGATTTCTCTGAATTTCCCAGCGTTACGTGGAAAGTGGCTCCTTGAGAGAAAGCAGATGTCCACACATGACCTGGAGCCGCCGCACTCCCTCCCCAGGCCAGACCCCCCGAAAGCCCATCACTAGCCAGAGAGGACACTTCAAGGGCAAGCAAGAAGCCAGCGACCGCTGCTCCAGCTGTGCCTTCCACCGGGCAACAAGGCATTGCTGGGTGAAGGGCCGACAGGTAACAATGGTGCTGCTGCCTGCAAGGCTTTTGCTTTTGCTTGCTCACAAAGCCAGCTGGTGTTTCTCCATCCTTCAAAGAAAAGGCCCCGACCAGACTGAGGTAGCGCCTATTCTTTCCAGCTCACCACTCCAGGACCAAAGTGGCAGAGGAGGCTCTGTGACCCCATGGTGGGGCCCAAACACCACGCGAGGGCGGCGTGCTCACCGCTCAGGAGCACCTTCAGCTGCTTGTCGTAGAACTCCGCCTCCCGGTGGGACACCAGGGCGCACTCGGCACACTGGCGCACGGGGTCCACAAAGCACATGCGCCGCAGCGGCACCTTCTGACTGCAGCACCTGTCGCAGAAGCACTTCCCGCACCGGCGGCAGTGGTGCTGCGCGCAGGGGGGAGGGGCGGTGAGCACCCAGGCCAAGCGCAGACGGCGCTGGCGGCCCACGGCAGCAGGCCTCCCGCCCCGGTACCCAGCTCTCCCCAGGGGGTCTCGCCAAGGCCCCGCTGCCCACCTCACCTTCCTGGTGATGAAGTCAAACTTGGTGTCACACTGCATACATCTTGGACACTGGAAGAGAATGCAGGCAAGTGTTAAAGCCAGCTCCCGCTCAGGAGCTGCTGAGCCAGGCCCGAGGGCACTGGGAGAGCAGAGCCGTCAGCGCCAGCCTCCGCCGCACACGGCCGCACCGCACACGGCCGCACGCACACGGCCGCACCGGCAGCTGGCAAGTCAGGACTGGCTTCGCAGGCTCTAGTCGGAGGCTCATGGGCTGGGTGGGCGGCTCTGGGTCAGCCTGGGTCCTGGCGGAGGGCCCAATGGCCAGACTTCCCACCGCCTCCCTATCACAGTGCCAAAGGCAGCTGAGCCTAGCTGCCCCATCTGGCCTGCTCCTCCTACGGGAGCCACGTCAAGCCCGTGAACTGTCTTGACATCCCAAGCAAGTCACTAGAGCAGGAGAGGCGAATGAAGGTGGAGCAGGAGTCTGTTAATGCAGGGATTCCACAGACAGCCCACGGGAGCCCATGCAGGGAGCTTCTGTTGAGTCCTCGTGTTCATTCCCAGCCTGGCGCTGAGGGGATTTGTGGAAGAGGCTGGAGAACAGGAGCGGAGGGGGTGCAGCATGGTCAGAGCCAGGCCTGGAGGCCGCCTCGAAGATGCCGCTTCATGCAGGGAGGAGACCAGGCCGATCTCCCTCGCTTCCCGGGTGACCTTGCAGATCAGCTTCACTCGGGAGCAGGAAGAGGTGGTCCCCGGCAGGAGTACTTGGCACGTGGACCTGGCACATGCAGAGACGTGCGTGCGTGTGTGTGTGTGTCTGCACTCCGTGCTGCCACCAAGCAGTGAGGCGGGGTCATGTGCCCATACCCCCTCCCAGCCAGTGGGCCTCGGTGCAGAGTGAGCCCCCCTTCAGCTTCTTCAAAGGCAGACCCGCAGAAGCACATTCAGCAGAGTCCTGCTCGGAGGACTGAGTGCTCAGCAACACCTACAGCAGGAACCCTGTTTCCTGGAGATGCTGCTGGGTGCGGTGCAGTGTAGGAGGGAAGCGTGTGAACACTCCGGGCCCTGTCCCCGGGCTCCCTGCCAGGCAGATCTGCGGTGCCTGGGCCTGCGGCAGGCCTGAGAGGCTCAGGGCTGCGACTTGGCCCGCGGGGTCCTGTGCGTCCACGCAGGCCATCAAGGACAGCCCCTGCTCTCTACATCTACCTTCCTCCGTGATCTGTCTAAACACAACTCACAGGCCTGACACGGGCGGCCCAACTCAGGAAGGCTTGTGGTGCTGCCACACAGAGACGGGGGTAACCCAGAGCCTGAACCCAAGAAGCGGACCGCAGCGCAGCTGAGGACGCCCGCACAGGACGCGCGGGCCACGCGGCTCCACAGGCGAGGCGGAGGAGCGCCGGCACTGGGGACGGACCGCCCTGCACCGCCCCCTAGTGGCTCAGGGAGGCAGAGCCCAGGTGAAGCCTGTGGGCGGCGGGTCCTGGCTCTGGAAGTGTTCCGGCCACCACGTGTGCCCTGAGCCCCTTCGCTGAAGGGGTCTGGCCATGAGCCATGAGCGTAGGGCACTCTTATAGTGACAGTGCTGACTGTCCCCAGCTCTGTGCACTGGCGCCCGCCTTTCCACAGCCAAGACAAAGCCTCCAGCCACGGGAAGGACCCGAGTCCCAGGGCAGCCCCTGGCACTGGGGGAGAAGGGCACCCATGAGCAGAGCTGCTGGGTGCCCCCATGTCGGGGACTGGCCCTGGCAGCATATAGTGTCCTGGAAACAAGTGCAAGGGAAAACCCACAGTGACCCAGCCATGGGGGGTGGGAGGGAAAGGGGGACCGGAGGAGCTGGAGGCCAGGACTCAGCTGAGCAGCTGGGGAGAGGAGCCACAGCTTCGTTTCGCTGTGGTGGGCGGAACTGGGCAGACAAGACCTGAAGTAGGGGTCACGCTTTTTTCCGTTGTGGTAGTGAGAACCAAGGTGCTTGTGTGTGACTGCAGCACGGTCCACAGCCGCCCCTCCCCCACCCCTCCCCTCCCCCATCCCTCCCCTCCCCCACCCCTCCCCTCCCCCACCCCTCCCCTCCCCCACCCCTCCCCTCCCCCACCCCTCCCCGGCAGAGGTGAGAGCTTGACTTTGGGGCAGTACTTGGGCTTGAACTCGGCCTCCAGCCTTTTTTTTCCTCCTTTCCTTCCTTCCTTCCTTCCCCCTCGCCCCCCCCCTCCCCCCCCTCCCCCTCCTCCTCCTCCTCCTTCGGGTGCTGGTGTTAAGGCTTGAACTCAGGGCCTCAAGTTGATGGTCTTTTTATAGCTAAGGCTCTACCACTTGAGCCAAAATCCTGCTTCAATCTCCAGCCCTTTTAAGAGCTATTGTGTATATGTGTCTGTCTGTACTGGAGCTTGAACTCAGGACCTGGACCCTGTCCCTGAGCTTTTCTGCTCGAGACTGGCCCTCTACCACTGAGCTACTGCTCCATTAAAAGCCATGAGGCTTTACTGCCAGGGCTGGCTCCAAACCTCGATCCTCTGATCTCAGCCTCTGAGTGGCTAGGATTGAAGCGTAAATCACCAGCCCCCAGCTAGTGAGTTCCTATCTTGAAAACATAAAGGCTGCGGTATCTCTCAAATGGTGAGAAATGGCTCAATCCTAAGTACTGCCAAAAGAAACCAACTCAAAAAGACAAGATTAGAAATGGCCACTGTAAGACAGAGCCCAACAAAAGGGCTCAGATCTTTTATCAGAGTGATGGGAGTCCCAGCGTTGATTCGGCGCAGGGAGCTGGCGGTTCCCGGGACTGAGGCTGCAGCGGGACCCCGGTTCTCCCGGCTGTGGCAACAGGGCGGGCAGGAGCACACCAGCGCCCGCATTCTCCCAGCACAGGCCCTCTGGCCTGGAAGGGCAGGTCCTCACAGAGCAGGGCCTGATCCTGAGCCTCCGCTTCAGCTGTCACCCGCCATCTTCACTGTGGCTGGCCAGAAACCCCACGTGTCCTGGAGACCCCTACGCGGCCCCATAGCCTCTCAGCCAAGTACAGGGCGTCAGCTGCTTCTCTGCGCCCCTCTGCGCTCTGCCCCCGGCCTGTGGACCCCTTGGACGGTGGAGTTTCTGGGCCAGCGGTTACACAACACCATGGGACAAAGGGCAGCATCGCAGAAACTCCCAGTATCAACCAGTGATTTTGTTTGTCCAAGATGGAGATCTGCAGCCCCTGGGCCTGCAGGTGCCTCTGAAGGTGCCCAGGTCCACCGCACAGTGTGCGGGAGGCCGGGAGGCCAGAGGCGGGCTCGGTGGCCCTTGCGCCTGAGGCATCGCGGTGGAGGTGTAGCACTCTAGGAGGCTGGGGACCAACTCAGCTTCCCTGGTTGCCCTCCCCTCCCCTCCCGCCCAGCCCTGGGTGCTAAGCCTTTCTGCTCTGCATGCTCGGCATCCACAGGCTTTGCCTCGGCCCAGGGCCTTCCTCCCTTCCCCCCACCCCTCCCTACGCCAGCCCAGGCCAGAAGAATCTGCTAAAGCAAACTCCACAGAGCTGACTAGCTCCCCGAAACCACGTGCTTGTGTCCAGGGGAGACACGGAAGCATTCCCTGGGCAGTGTTCTATTATTCTAAATGACTTACTCAGAAAATGAATAATTTACCAGGTGCAGGTGGCTCCCGCCTGTCATCCTAGCTGCTCAAGAGCTACTCAGGAGGCTGAGATCTGAGGATCACAGTTCAAAGCCAGCCCAGGCAAGAAAGTCTGTGAGACTTCTCTCCAATTAACCAGCAAAAAGCCCCAAGAGTGGCTCAAGTGCACTAGCCTTGAGCAAAAAAGTTAAGGGACAAGGGACAGTGCCCAGGCCCTGGGCTCAAGCTCCAGGACTAGCACAAAAAAAAAAAAAAAAAAAGGAAAGAATTTTTTAGACACTACTTTTCTGTTGATTTTATTAATGAAAAATTTTCGCTGGGTACTAATAGCTCACACTTGTCATCCTAGCTACTCAGGAGGCTGACACCTGAGGATCTCGGTTCAAAGCCAGCCCAGGCAGGAAAGTCTGTGCGACTCTTATCTCCAATAAACCACCAGAAATCTGGAAGTGGCGCTGTGGCTCAAGTGGTAGAGCACTCGCCTTGAGCTGAAGAGCTGAGGGACAGCGCCCAGGCCCAGAGTTCAGGCCCCACGACCGACCAAACACAAAGAAAAAATGTGTTTGTCAACAGCAAGTTAACACGCAAAGGGGACGAATCGAGGGTGACGGGAAGTCCCGCCCCACAGCCACACCGGAGTCAGCGACAAGCAAGCGCGCCGGCGGCCAGCGGCGGCCTGCACTGCGGCGGCAGCCAGGCGCAGCAAACGCCGCCCGTGTCACCGGGCGTCACCCTGTCACCCGTCACGGGGCTCTGGCGGGAAGGCCATCCCAGCAGCACACCATCTAGAACCGACGCCTGCACGCTGACCCAGCAAGACAGACGACCGGTGCACGAGAGGTGGGTGGACCAGGGCGGGCGCGCGCGCGGGACGGCGGGGGCGCGCGCGGGGGGACGGAGGGGGCGCGCACGCGGGACGGCAGGCGGGTGCACTGCACGGCGGGGGCGCGCGCGGGACGGCGGGCGCGCGCACGGGACGGGACGGCGGGCGCGCGCTCCAGTGAGGCTGGCTGCTCTCCCCCCAGGCCAGCCGGGAGGGCGCGACGGCTGCGCGTGAAGGCCGAGCGGGCACAGCGCTGTCCCTGCAGGGTGAGGGGCGGGCAGCGGGAGCCAGACGCTGCGGGAGCCAGACGCTGCGGGCTCAGCTTCTGCCCGCACCTCCACCTCCACCCCGAGGACGCTGCCTGCAAGCCGGAGGCGGACACGGCGGAACCTCGGCCGCAGGCCCCACAGAAGCCAGTCGTGTAATTTTTAGATGTATTTTGATGTCCCTTTATTGAAAGACCATCATTTTCAAGGGCAAGAACGCAACTTCTACAAATATAAAATGAAATTTCAAACCCTTACTAGCCAGTGTGGGACCAACCCCGTATTAAAGGCCCAGTTCAAAGTAAGATCCCACCAGTGTGGCGGCGCACACCTGTAATCCCGGCTGCATGGGAGGAGGGGGTGGGCTTCAAGCCAGCCAGGAGAGAACGTTCATGAAACCCCATCTCTGTCAACAAGTGGGAGTGCAGTGGCACCTGTTATTTCCAGAAATGGAGGCAGTAGATAGGAGGATCTCAGGATCTAAGCCTGGCCCTTCACAAAAGCCTGGGGGCGTTGCTCAAGTGGTAGAATATAGGGCCTGTGTAGTTCAGGGCCCAAGTTCAAACTAATGAACAGACACATACAGGGGCCATAAGGGACGAAGCCATGGTCTCGGCCTTTATCTGGCCTGGCCTCCTTCCCAGGACAAGCTTCGTTTGAGTCTCCTGGACGAGGGCCATTGGCCTTGGTATTGGTTGTCAAAATAATTCACAGTAGGAAACCCCTCTCAGCCAGAAGGAACAGATACCCAGCAAGCCTTTCGGCTGCGGCAGAAACTCCGGGCCCAGTCCTCAGGCGGCTGCACCTGGGGCGGCTCGGCAGCCTCACAAGGTAGCCACCAGGCACACTTCACCGAGTGCAAAGTCCCAAGTCCCAGCCCTGCCCCCGGCCCCAGCGCCCCACTCCGCAGGGGGCTAGGTCTGACACAAGCTCCAAACCCCACTCTGTCCCAGCAAGCTGGCTCGGTGGGTTCTCAGTGACCAAGCAGAGCAAAGGCCTGGACTGGACTGGACTGGACGGCAGAGCTCGCTCTCCCACTGAGGGCCGGGCCTCCAGGCTGCCCCCACCGGCCCCTCCCACCTGCCAGAGCCGCTGCAGAACTCCCAGTCCGCTACCTCTCTCGGTGCCAGCTTTCTCCTCCCCCGGCCTGGGCAGCCTTCCGTCCCCTTCCCTCCTCAGCCTGGCCCTCCCTTCTCCTCCCCTCCCCAGCAGCTGGGTGCCACCTTCACAGCAAAAAAAAAAAAAAAAAAAGCAACAGCAAGCCAGGCTCACGCCTGTCATCCTAGCTACTCAGGAGGCTGAGATGTGAGAATCGCAGTTCAAAGCCAGCCAACGCCAGCCCGGGCAGAAAAGTCTATGAGACTCTTACCTCCAATAAACCACTAGAAAACGGGAAATGGTGCTGTGGCTCAAGCGGTAGAGCACTCACCTTGATCCAAAGAGCGCAGGGTCAGCGCCCAGGCCCAGAGTTCAGGCCCCATGACCAACCAAAAAAAAAAAGCCCAAAGTAGAGACAGCTGGAGCGGTAGAGCGCCAGCCTTAAGTGAAGAAGCCAAGTGAGAGCTTGAGACTGAGCTCAAGGCCCAGTACCAGCACAAAACAAAAACGTAAAACAGCCTTGTCGTCCAAACTGCACCTATTCTAAGTTCCCCAAGAAAACACTTCAGCAATATCTGGGCCTCTATGTCCCCCCAAAAACCATCAAATCTAAGACTTTCTGCAAGCTAGGCAAGCCTTCTACACTGAAGTACATCACAGCCTTCAAAATACACTTTCTAAATCTTAGAGTTTCATGAACTCAGATTCTAGGGCTTTCTTCCTTACTCATAATCAGGTTGGGGGGCAGGGGGTGTGGGCACACTGCACCCTTCCAAGGTGGGGACACAGTCTGTCACCGAGGGGAAGCATGCGGCCCGTCCACCTCTGCAGCCACCCTGGGCTCCCGAGTCTGGGTGGAGCCCCAGGCCCTCCGCCCAGATCAGTGCCCACACCAGCAACAGAGAAAGGCAGCTTCGGGGGAAAATGACGCGGTCACCCAGGTAATGCTGCAGTATGACCACTGTGAGCCCACGCACCGTCTGGGCCACGCGTGTGTCTGTGCCATGCAGCCGAAACCACGAGTGCTCACGCCGGCACGTGTAAAATACATGCTTTTCCTGTCCACTTCACTTATTTATGTTGTCGGTCATGGGGCTTGAACTCTGGGCCTGGGCGCTGTCCCTCAGCTCTTCAGCTCAAGGCGAGCGCTCTACCGCTTGAGCCACAGCGCCACTTCCGGCTTTCTGGTGGTTTATTGGAGATGAGAGTCTCACGGACTTCCTGCCCGGGCTGGCTTTGAACCGCGATCCTCAGATCTCAGCCTCCGAGTAGCCGCCGGCGCCCGGCTCCGTTTGAAGTTTTCCTTGAAAGATTTCAGCGGCCCAGCCGCGACGTCCCGAGTTCAAACCCAGCACCGCCCAGAGAAACAAGGTGCTTAAACGCCCGGCCGAGACGACCGTGTGCGGAGCCGGGGAGGCCGGGTGCGGGTGGCGCCCCGGTCACCCCGGCTGCTCGGCAAGACCTCGGTTCAAAGCCAGCCCGGGCGGGAAACGCCGACGACGTCCCCAGCTGCGGGTCCTCGGTGCGAAATGCGCCCCGTCCCGGGCCGGGCCTGGGGGGCCGGCGCAGCCGTGACCCGGGCCCGGCCCGCCGCCCGCCGCCCGCCGCCCGCGCGCCAAGCCCGGGGCGGAGGAGCCGCGGCCGCGCGAACCCCACCCGCTGGCACCCGGCCGCGGCCCCGGGCGCAGCCAGCCCGGAGGGCCCGGGCTTCGGGAAGGGCCCACGCGGGACGCGGCCGGGCGAGCACCGAGGGGCCCCGCGGCCGCCCGGACCCGGGCCAGCGGGACCCGGGTGGGGCGGCGGGGCCGGAAACCCAGCCGCGGCCCGGCGCCCGAGAGCGGGGGGGAGGCCCGCGGGGCTCGGGAGGGGCCGGGCGCGGCGGCCGGGACGCACCTCCTTGTCCGGGACCCACTGCGGCTCCTCCAGGCCGAACGGGCTTCCGAAGGCGCGGTGCTCGGGCACCATGCGCAGGCCGCTGGGAGAGCGCACCAGCTTCTTGGCGTCGCGGCGGGCCGCCACCCCCGAGGACATGTCGCCTCCGCCACCCTCGCGCTGGGCCCCGCTTTCAGCCGGGCGGCACCGGACGGCACCGTCCGCCCCGCCCCGTCCGCGTGCGCGCGGCTGACAGCACCAGCGCCCAATCGCCAGCCCCGGCCCGTAGCGCGGACCAATCGGACCCCGGAATTCTCCTTAGCACCGCCTTCTCCAGTCGCACCAGGGACCCACCCCGCTACCGTGCGGCCGTCCGCCAATGAGCGGCGAGGACCTGCCGGGGCTAGCCCCGCCTCCGCAGAGGCGATTGAGATGTGCAATTGGTCAGCTACTCGGCTCCCTCGGCGCTGCCTTGCTCCTGATTGGCTTGGCCTACTCAAAGTTCTGGGCACTCATTGGACGAGGAGGCCGAGAGGGGCCGGCCGCGCCAAGAAGTTGAGGAGCGCCGCAGACGTGGAAGTTTGGGCGGCCGGCGCTCCGCGCGTGGCGGGCGGGAGCGGAGCGGAGCCGAGGGGAGTGGGGCGGCGGGCGAGGCTCCCTGAGGCGGCACCGGGCGGCCGCGTCGGTCCCGGCGGCTGAGGCAGGCCCCTGGGCCGCCGGTGAGGCCCGGGCGAGGGCGCGGGCCGGTCCCGGCTGCCGTCCCGGGGAGGGGCGGGGCCTCCCCGCGGCCCGGGCCGCCGCCTCCGCGCCGCTGTCCCGCGTGCAGCCCGGCCGCCCGCGGGGCTGAGCCGGTGCTGAAGAAGAGGACTCTCCGAGAGGGCAGCAAGGCCTGGGGTCAGCGCCCGGCACACAGAGGTGGGGGCCGGGCGCGGGGAGGGGTGTCCCGAGGAGCGGGGGTCCCCGGGGCGGGGGGGGTCCCGAGGAGCGGGGGTCCCCGGGCCGGGGGGGCTCCCGAGGAGCGGGGGTCCCCGGGCCGGGGGGTTCCCCAGGGGCTGGGGTCCCCAGGGGCGGGGGGGGTCCCGAGGGGCTGGGGTCCCCAGGGGCGGGGGGGGTCCCGAGGAGCGGGGATTCCCCGGGGCGGGGGGGGGGTCCCGAGGAGCGGGGGTCCCCAGGGGCGGGGGGGTCCCGAGGAGCGGGGATTCCCCGGGGCGGGGGGGGGGGGTCCCGAGGGGCTGGGGTCCCCAGGGGCGGGGGGTCCCGAGGAGCGGGGATCCCCGGGTCGGGGGGGGTCCCGAGGAGCGGGGGTCCCCAGGGGCGGGGGGGTCCCGAGGAGCGGGGGTCCCCAGGGGCGGGGGGGGTCCCGAGGGGCGGGGGTCCCCAGGGGCGGGGGGGGTCCCGAGGGGCTGGGGTCCCCAGGGGCGGGGGGGGTCCCGAGGAGCGGGGGTCCCCGGGCCGGGGGGGGGTCCCGAGGAGATCCCCGGGCCGGGGGGGGTCCCCAGGAACGGGGTCACGGGGCGGGGGGGGGGGGTCCCCAGGAACGGGGTCACGGGTCGGGGGGGCTCCCGAGGAGCGGGGATCCGCAGGGGCGGGGGGCACGGGGTGGGGGGAGTCCCGAGGAGCGGGGATCCCCGGGGCGGGGGGGGTCCCCAGGGGCGGGGGTGCCCAGGAACTGGGGCACGGGGCGGGGGGGGGGGTCCCAGGGGCGGGGCCCTGCGGCCGACTCCGAGGCAGGGGCCCCTGGGGGGGGAAGGGCCGCAGCCGCCCTCCTCGGCCCGCTGTCCAGTGGATTTGGAGGGCCGCCAGGCCTGGGCCTCCGCGCGTTTCCTGTCCGGCCTGGGCACCCACAAGGTCTGCGGGCCCCAGCAGGGAACGCGCCCTCCAGGCCTGCGGCGCTTGCCGGTCCTGCCCACAGCGGCCTCCCGGTGTGTCCCCGGCCGGCTCAGCCCAGCGTTCACCGGCCACCCGGCCTCAGCAGTGCTGGGAGGACGCAGGTACAGGAAGTCTGCCCACGCGTGCTGTCCAGGCCGGGCCACATCTGCACTGTCAGGACCCCTCAGCCACCACCCAGCCGACCCCATGCCTGCCCCCTCCCCGCCAGCTAGAGGTTTGGGAGCACAATGGCTTTGTGGACAGGCTTGCCAGACCGTCGTCTCGTCGGAGTCCCGCACAGCCAGCCTAGGCGGGAAGGGCAGTCCGTGGGCGCCCCAGGCCTGCCTGCAGGAAGCACCCTGCAAAATCCCATGCTTCCTGTTCTTTCCAGAAGCCCCAAGGAGACATTTGAGACACCACACTGGGGAATGCCACGCACACTGGGGAATGCCACGCACACTGGGTGGAGCGCAGGTGTGCATCTCTCGGCTTCCGTGTGGCCCACTGGCAAGGTGAGCAGGCGCCAGAAGACGGGCACTCAGTCCGCTCTCCTTTGGGGAAGCGTGGTCAGCTGGTTCTCAGGCACCAGAGTGTCCCAGGCTTCTGACCTGGGAGGTCATTCTTGGAGGCCAGAGACACTGACCACGGTGTCTTGCTGCCCACAGAGAGAGCGAGGAGCACCCTGAAGGTGAGCACTCCCACAGGGGGTCAGTCTAGCCCCGGGGAGTTAGGGGCCTGGCAGGCGATCCACTGAGGAGATGGATTTGGATCAGCTGGACCTGAACCCCAGAATTATTGCTGCAGTCAAGAGAGGTATGCTTGGGCCTGGGAAGGTGGCTCAGTGGTAGAGCGCTTGCCTTGCATGCCTGAGGCCCTGGGTTCCATTCCTCAGCACCATATAAGCAAAAAGGAAAAAAGCCGGAAGTGGCGCTGTGGAGCTGAGGGACAGCGCCCAGGCCCAGAGTTCAGGCCCCATGACCGGACCCCCCCCCCCCCCAAAAAAAAGAGAGAGGTATGCTCCCTTGCTGAACTGCTGGTGGCTTGGCTGTTCCCCAGCCTTGCTTGTATGCTGCCTTTTCTGTGTGTTTCCTGCTGATTCTCCCCCTGCACTGTAGAAGGTCTGTCAGACACAGTGGCCTCAGTCCAAGCTTTCGAGAGGCTGGACAGGTCACCTGCTGGGTCCCGCCAGGGAGCCTCCCTCCTGGCACACCCTACCTCTGTAGCTCCCGTCCACCGGCCCCAGGCTGGCACGTAGCTGCGGTTCCAGCCCCCCGCATCTCATTCATCTCCCAGGGTGGCTGTTGGGATGACAGTTGCTTGCAGGTACAGACACTACACCGTGACCAGCACAGTGCTGGTGGCAGAGTGCCAGGTCTGTGCTGCACTCAGTCACGTCGTTGGTTTCCTGTCCTGCCTATAGCATGATTGCAGCATGGTTGCTGCAGCTATAAACACCTTGGGAACAGAAGGCCCTTGTTTCTCTCCTGTATCCTATCTATCAGAAAATGAGTCCTGGCCGGGCGCTGGTGGCTCACGCCTGTAATCCTAGCTACTCAGGAGGCTGAGATCTGAGGATCGCGGTTCAAAGCCAGCCCGGGCAGGAGAGACTGTGAGACTCCTATCTCCAGTAAACCGCCAGAAAACCGGAAGTGGCGCTGTAGCTCAAGTGGTAGAGCGCTCGCCTTGAGCTGAAGAGCTGAGGGACAGCACCCAGGCCCAGAGTTCAAGCCCCACAACCAACCAAAAAAAAAAAAAAGAAAGAAAAGAAAATGAGTCCTGAGGGGCCAGCCAGGGCACCTACGCCCCACTCCACCCCCACCCCACTCCACTGAGCCGTGGCTCAGTACTTTTGACTGAAAAGCACCCCGTGGGCCTCCATGCTGCAGCCGGCTGCATGGCTGCTGCTTGCCCTTTCCAGGCATCCTGTGTCGTGGTCCGGGCTGACAGTGTAACTGCAGCCTTCGACATGTCTGTTAGGAAGGCAGTTACAGAACCGTGTTTGCTTCTATTCTCCTGCGAGCCCTGCGCTCCTCCTCAATGAAGTTGTTTCATTTTGCTACTTTTTGGATTGACCAAATGTATTTGCAACATGTGTCTTTCTATTTGTTTAAAAGTAGAAGACTGGGGATGTGGCTCAGTGGTGGAGGCTCGCCTAGCATGCATGAAGCCCTTGGTTCAGTTCCTCAGCACCACGTACACAGAAAAAGCCAGAAGTGGTGCCTTGAGCAAAAGCTCAGGGACAGCCCAGGCCCTAAGTTCAAGCCCCAGCACTGGTGAAAAAAATTAAAACTTAAAGAAAAAAAGTAGAAGTAAATCTAAGCCCAGGATGAATTTATCACCTAGCGCATGGTGCTTTGTTCTGACCCTGGCCCAGTGCTCTGTCTGGTCCTGGCACCCCGCCAGCCCCTCCCTGCTCAGCCAGCCCCAGGTGCCTCCGGCCTGGCTTGCTGATGCAGCACTGGTTCCCTCCCTGCCTCCCTCCCTTTTCTTCTAGGGACCGGCCCTGGGGCTGGCACATGCAAAGGCTACACCAGGCCCAGAGCTCTGCTGGTTTGCTTTTTTTATCCTGTTTTGCTCGACTGGCTTGGAATTGCTCAGACTAGACTAGAACTTTTTTTTTTATTCTTATTTTTTTATTACCCCCCCCACCCCCACCAAAGTTAGACTAGAACTCTTGAGCTCCGGTAATCTTCCTGGGCACCTCCCAAGTAGCTGGGACTGCAGGTGCCCAGCAGCGTTGCCTCTTATGGCTGGGACGGGGGGGGGACGGCCTCTGGGACTTCTCCACCTCTGGTGGTGGCTGCTGCACGTGGTCACAGGTGCAGGGTGCACGGCTGGCTGTCAAGATTTCCTCGGGCCTTGAGGGGGGCTTGGACCCCCCACCCCAGCCCTGGGTCTCAGCTCCTCACCAGCTCCAAGCTTGCTATTTTCCCCATGGTGCTGTAGTCTGACCTTTCCTGTGACTGATCTGTGTAATTTCAGCCAAACTGAAGTCAGTAAAGGAGGTTCTGCATTTTTCTGGACCAGACTTGCAGAGAATGACCGGGCTGTCCAGCCCCGACGTCCAGCACTTGCTCACAGCAGCCTCTCTATGGCTCCGAGGACCCCACACCCTGACAGGTAAGCTGGAGGGCCGCCTTGCTGGCTGACATGTGGACCCGTCACCAACCTGGTGTGGGTGCATAAGCAGTGGCCTGTGGCCAGTCCCGGCCTCCTCACCCTGTGGCTGCAGGACTGTGGTCGCAGCGTTCTGTCAGGACGCTGCGGGTGGGAACGCAGCGTTCTGTCAGGACACCATGGGTGGACAGGGGGAAGGCTGAAAGGCCTGGCCCATGGTCCCGAGGCTGTTTCCTCACTGTTCTCCGGTGCAAGGAGGGCTGGGGCAGTACTGAGTGAGCTGCTGGCTTGGTGGGGGGTAGAAGGTTGCACATCTGACCCTGGCCCACCCCACAGCCCTGCACCTGTTCCAACAGAAGGAGCGCTTCCCTGTGCAGCACCAGCGCCTAAGTCTGGGCTGCCCCGTGCTGGACCGGGTCCTGGGCGGCGGCCTGCCCCTGGGCGGCATCACGGAGCTTGCGGGCTGCAGCTCGGCAGGGAAGACCCAGCTGGCACTGCAGCTGAGCCTGGCTGTGCAGTTCCCACAGCAACACGGAGGCCTGGAGGCTGGTGAGTGGCGAGCCCTTGAGGAAGGCAGGGCTCCGGCCAGGCCCGGTGGGTCTCAGCCCTGTCCTGGGTTGCTTCTCCTTGGTGGGTGAGGACCCCTCCAGGGCTGTTTCCTCCTGTGAATGAGGGGGAAGCAAGGCTGGCCAGGATTACCACCAGCACTCAGGCATGGCCCTGGGGTTCTTGCAGCGTCAGTGGAAGTGTCCTGAACCTGTGCTCACAGGCTCACGTGGCCTGCAGAATACATGGCCACAGCATCAGAAATGAAGGCAAAGACGGTGACATTCTCCCGCGGGTGAGGACTGAGGGTGGCTGAGGCAGCCGCCCCACGGTGACACTCTGAAGCCTGCAGCAGCCAGCGTGGCTCAGCTCCCCACCGCGGGGCCAAGATCCTCGCCACTGTGGATGCCACTGTATCTGAACCCTGAACGAGGCTCTGCCCCACACAAGCCGGCCCCTCTCCCAGCACCATTCTGTCCCCCAAAGCCACGGCAGCAGCTCCCACGCCCACACGGTGTGGGGAGGGACCCACACTTCTGGCTTTAGTGAGCTGAACATCTCTCATACATGCTGGCCACAGCAAAGTCGTCTTTGCAGATGTCTGTTAGGTCCAATGCCACTTCAAAACCACCTTGTATTGAGTTTTATGAACTCATGTGTTTTGAAGACAAATCCCTTACCAGGCGGGTCTTTTCTCTTCCAGAGGTTTGTCTTATCTCAGTAGGGTTCTTTAAAGCACTTTTTTTTTTCCCCAGTCATGGGGCTTGAACTCAGGGACTGAGTGCTGTCCCCTAAGCTCTTTTGCTCAAGGCTAAGCCACAGCACCATTTCCAATTTTCTGGGGGTTAATTGGAGATAAGAGTCGCAAGGACTCTCTTACCCAGGCTGGCTCTGAACCGCCATCCTCTGATCACAGCCTCCTGAGTCACTAGGAGTACAAGTTGGTGCCACCAGCATCCAGCTATTTTTCATGTTTTGAAGTTCGGTTCTTTTTCATTGGTCCCTGTGGCTTTTGGTGTCATTTATTTAGAACAAACTGCACTCAGGTCATTTTCTTCTATAAGTACTGAGAGCTTGAACTCAACCTCATCTATTGGAAGAGACTGTTTTTCCCTGCCCTGGATCACTGTGGCATTCCCATACTAGATCCCTGTGACATCCCACACTGGATCACTATATCCTCACCCTAGATCACTATGACATACTACAGTAGATGACCGTGACATGCCACACTGGATCACTGGCACCAGATCACTGCAGCACCCCACACTGGATTGCTGTGTCCTCCTCACACTGGGTCTCTGTGGATCATTGAGACATCTTCACTGAGCGTCCCTTGCCCATGAACTCAGGGTTTCTTGATGAGCTGTCAGCTGCATGGCTCCCCACGTCCTCTGATGCCGTTTCTGGGCCCAAGCCGTGCATTGCTGAAACGCTGTTCAGGCTTGGTGTCCCATCTGAAATCACCACGAAGACCTTGGCCTCATGGAGTGGCTGGAATGGCAGGGAGCCTTGCAAGGTGCAGAGGGAACACAGGTCCCACTGGACTCTCCCTGGGCCTGAGGCTCTGGGGGAGGGATGTGGCCTGAAGCATTGGTAACCAGTCCACTCCCATCCCCGACCAGGGAGGGGAAGCAGAACTAGGCAAGCAGGGCAGCCTACCTGTGGCCATTCTAGCCAGGCCAGGGAACATGTGCCCAGTACCAGAACTGGAGACCTATCTATTGCTACCAGAGGACCACCTGGCCCTTGGGGGCCAGCTCTGGCATGACCTTCCTCAGGAGATGGAAAGCCAGAGGTTGGGACTGGAAACAAGGCAGCACGTGCATTTGATTTGGTGGCAGCAGAGGTATAGTTCGGGTTCCTGGGCTCATCACTCTCCGCCCCCCAGGGGCCGTCTACATCTGCACGGAGGATGTCTTCCCCAGCAAGCGACTGCAGCAGCTGATCGCACAGCAGCAGCGGCTGCGGATGGATGTGCCAAGCGAGGTGGTCCAGAAGATCAAGTTCAGCAACCACATCTTCATCGAACACGCAGCAGATGTGGTAAGTGTGCCCTGCCCGCTGGGGCGGGCGCGGCAGACCTGCCGTGGTGATTATCAGCACAGGAAGAGGTGACAGGGTCGGGAGCAGGCAGGGTGGGCCGACGAAGGGGCACAATTCAGATGGTGAAGGGAGTCCTTCCTAGGCAGGAAGGGAGCTCTATGTGCAATATGAACACAGAAATGACACGGTGCAGGGTACACCCACCAGGTACATCGCTGTGGCTGCAGAGCCACTGAGAAGAGCTGTTATGAGAAGACGTTCAAGTCAAAGAATAAGGTGTATAAACTTTTAATTTTTAAAAAATGTACAGTAAATACATTATCACACAACATGGGGGACCTAACACAGCTGACACGGAGAAGCCTGGCAGATGCAGGATACAGATGTGTCTGGTCTCCTGGGCAGGTGGCGGGCCACGTCCGACGCTGTGCTTTCAGGACCTCCTGCCCCAAGCAGAGCGTTACTGAGCCCTGCCTGCATTCCGGTCAGGAGAACCTAAGTGAGCACTGCAGGCTCCGGGCCCAGGGCCCTCCCAGCCTTGCCCTGGCCGTCACGGGGCCAGCTCCAGGGCCACACATAGCGCCACCATCCTGGCATCCTACAGCAGGCCAGGCTGGGTCACTGCAAGAGAAGACCATAGATGAGGCTGGGCTGCTGCACGGGGGGGGGGGGGGGGGGGGGGGGGGCTCCCCCTCTTTCCAGAATCTGCTCAGACCCACAATGGCTAGATGCATTCCTCCTCACAGTCAGCCTTGGGGCCACACCTACCCCCCTAGCCACCTGTGCGCTAAAGCCAATGGCCATCCCCACTGCCTGGCCCTGGCGGGGAGAAGACACTCACGTTGGCATCTTCTAGGCTGCTGCTGTCGTTCTCCACACACAGAGGGTCCGCTGGGGACGCCCTGAGGAAAAGCACAAACTGAGTTTCACCCCGGCCCTCAGCAGCCCTCAGCACTGCCTGGCTGGTTGGCCCAGATGTATCTGCAGGCCTAAAGCGTGAGGCTCCTCCGCTGTGTCTCAGGCCTGCTCTCCTCCGTGGGGGCCACCCGGCACTGGCCATGCCCTGCTCTCCAGAGTGGTCTGAGCCTTCAGTCAGGGCTGCCAACCTGGACAGCAAGAGGCTGGCGCCAGGCGGGAATGAGAGCAGCCTCAGGGCACTGGCACCGGCTTGCAGGGCCTCCCCTCACCCGGCCTCCCTTGGAGGTGAGGCTAGGTTCAGGGGCCCCCAGCACCTGGTGTAAAGCTCCCCCCAGAGACGGGTGAAAATTGCATGGACGGGTACAGACCCACAGGGAATGGGGGAAATGGTTCCTGGCAGCTGTGCCGACTGCCCAAGGGTATCACCAGGAGGCCTCACATCCTTGGAGCCTTTGGGAGGAGCACGCAAGCCCAGGCTCAAGGAGCCATAAAGCTGCAGACCAGAGGGCCAGCCGGTCACTTAGACAACACCTGGTGAGCCAGTGGCAGCCGTGCTGTCCCCCCTTGCAGGACACCTTGCTGGAGTGTGTGAGGAAGAAGGTCCCCGTGCTGCTGTCAAGGGGCATGGCCCGATTGGTAGTCATCGACTCCGTGGCAGCTCCGTTTCGCTGTGAGTTTGACAAAGAGGGCCCCGCCCTCCGGGCCAGGCATCTACAATCCCTGGGGGCCGAGCTGCGCAGGCTGAGCAGCGCCTTCCAGGCCCCGGTGCTGTGCATCAACCAGGTGGGTGAGGCGGCAGTTTGCCCAGATGCCCAGGGCGATGGGGAGGGGGTGCAAAGGGGACTTCAAGGGGCTCTGGTCATGATATGGAAAACCAGGGGACCCTCAACTACTGCTGCCCCACCCCATTGGACTCTTCCAGGTGACGGAGGCTGTGGAGGAGCAGGGCTTGCTGCCCTGCCTACCAGGGTGAGTGCCCATACCTGGGGGGGGGGGGGGCAGCACTGGGCGTGGCCAGCAGTGAGTAGGCACCTGGGGGGCGGGGCGCTGGGGGAAGAAGGGTTGCAGCCAGCCTTTGCCAGCAGCTCTTCCCTGTCATGTCTCAGACCCTGGGACCCGCGCCTCTCTCCAGCCCTTGGTATCGCCTGGGCTAACCAGCTTCTGATGAGACTGATGGCTGACCGTGTCCGCACACAAGAAGCCGTCCCGGGCTTGCCCGGTGGCCTGACCCGGACCCTGAGGGTGCTCTTTGCCCCCCACCTGCCTCCTTCCTCCTGCTCCTACACAGTCGGCTGTGAAGGGGTGCGAGGGGCCATGCCCAGCTAACACACCAGTATCTGTGGACAGCCCAACCAAGCCTCAGGGCCCTGGATTGTGGCCAAGCCCTTAGGGGCTGAGCAGCACAGTTCCCAAGGGTACCGTCCCTCCTCTCCCCAAGTTGTTCCCTCCCAGTCGACTGGCCCTTGGAAGACAAATGACTCACAAGCACTAGCAGCACTGCAGGGCTCTGCCTCTGCAGGGCAGTGCGTGGTGCCCCGCCTCCGCCCACTAAGGTGGCAGGGAGCCATACTGGCACACTCTGTCGTGAAGGTCTATTTGGGCTCAAGGTAGAGGAACAGACTGGCATCTGGCCAAGTCTGGAAGTGGTAAAGGAGCTGACCTCACCTCGGCCGCCTGCAGGCAAAAGCAGCCCTGGGCAGCTGATAAAAGAAACAGGAAATGAGAAGCCCTGCCTCCAAGCCTGGCCTTGCTGGGCTCTAGGCTGACAACAGGAGGAGCTGTGGCCTAAGAGGGCAGGGCTGTGGCCCCGGGGGGGGGGGGGGGGGGATGGGGGGGCGGGGGAGAGGTCCTGTCTGCCTGCAGGGGGGCTGCCTGCTGACTTGGGGACAGACACTGTCCCTGCCTCCACCAGTCCCCCTGGGGCAGGATAGCACTCAGAGCTATGTGTGGCTCCAAAAGGTTAAAGACCTGGTGTGGAGGTGGCCAAAGCTGCTTGGCTTGGTTATTTATAGACGTTTTCCAGCAAATATGAAGGAGTTTACAATAGGAAATAAAATTACTTTTGCAACATGAGTGATTCTAGATGATGTAGGTGAACTGCACAGACCATTAGAGAGCGTAACCCCAAGACAGAGGGACAGATAGCAGGTGCACTCTTGGGGACAGAGGGATCCCACCCCATCCTCCAGGGGACAGGTCAGCGGGAGGGGAGAGCACCTCCTCACATTGCGGATTCTGTCAGAACTTCTGTCACCACTGAGACAGCCCTGGCCCGTGTGCAAGGTCAAGCCCCAATAAGCACCCCAAAATTTACATCTAACTGGCATCCTGAAGGCACCTGGCACATGAGCCCCCAAGCCCACAATCAACTGCTACCCAGCAGGAAGACGCCGTTGGCACACGTCTGCCTAAACCCATCCTCTGCTGGGTGTGGGGCCAAGGTGGGCCCATGGCTGTGGGCCAGGACAAGCAGGCGGCAGGCTTACTGGGAAACCATCTTCAGTAGCCTTGACATCCAAAGTACATGCATTCGGAAACAAGCACACTTCCTGCTACAGCCCAGACCCAGACATGGACAAAGGCAGGGCCCCAGCTGCGCCCTCTACCCCTCAAAGACTGCTGCCACCACGCAGGGCAGCTCCTGGACACCACAGCACTAGCAGACCTCACGCTTGGCAGCACATAAAGACCCCAATGCCTCATTTGCAGCAGACTGCACACAGCACAGGCAACGCCATGGGGTTCGCCCACGGCGGCCGCCCAGCCTGCTCAGCTGGGCCGGGAGGCTTGGCAGCACACCACCACCCCTGCCCCACAAGTGACTTGGGCCAGGGCTCCACAGACCTCAGCACACCCAAGACCTGGTCTGGAAGGCCAGAAGCACAACTAAATCCTATCTCCAACTTCCACCTAATGTAGGACAAGAGAAAAGCAAGCAGCATTGGATAATCAATCTCTGTACTTAGAAAAGCAACATGTAAAATGTATTTCAAGCAGACACTGGGAGCTCACCTCTGCCTCCCAGCTACTGAGGAGGCTGAGATCTGAGGACTAGGGTTCAAAGCCAGCTCAGGCAGACAAGTCTGAGAAATTCTTATTTCCAATTAACCAGCAAAAAGTCAGAAGTGGAGGTGGGGTCAAGTGAGTAGAACAGCACCAGCCACAAGTAAAAATGCTAAAGGAGAAGGTGAGCCTTTGGATTCAAACTCCAGTACAGGCACAAAAAATAAAATACTCCATAACATGTTAAAGACAGGGATTTATACAGGTATTCACTTTCTTTCGCCTTCTTATAACTTGTTGATAAAATGCCTGCAAATTACCTGTAGTCTAAATTATGGAGACTTATAAAATCCTTGTAATTTGTTCATCTTGACTAAAGACGCCCCTCAACCCAAGGCAACCCAAAAGCTGCAAGAGCCCATCCCAAGGGCCACTGCAGCAACCCCATAGGGGCCCAGGGCCCTGACACCGCCACCGCCACGGCCTGTGCTACTGCAGGACAGGGCCTGTGCACACAGCACCCAGCAGAGTACCCCACAGACCTCGCCCTACAATATATCAAAACAAAACTATCAGTGAGGGGCTGTGAAGGTGGCTCAGCACCACATAAGCAGAAAAGCTGGCTCAAGTGGTAGAGCGCTCGCCTTGAGCTAAAGAGCTGAGGGACAGCACCCAGGCCCAGAGTTCGAGCCCCAAAACTGACCAAAAAAAAGTGTGGGGGGGCCGGGAAGGTGGCTCAGTGGTAGAGCGCTTGCACTGCATGCATGAGGCCCTGGGTTCAATTCCTCAGCAACACATAAGCAGAAAAAAAAAGCTGGAAGTAGCGCTGTGGCTCAAGTGGTAGAGCGCTAGCCTTGAGGTCCAGAGTTCAGGCCCCACGACTGGACTCAAATAAAAAAAAGTGTGTGTATGATATAAAAATGTATATCGTATATATATGAAACAATCATAGGGTGCTAAAATCATAAACAAGTTTACCTACAACTACTCAAGAATAAAGTATAAAAGCATACTAAACTCTATTCTGACACATGGAATTATTCCTATCTAATTGGCCAGTTTACCTTTCCTTACAAAAGCTAAGACCTCTCACAAGGACTCTGTTGAACTCTCAAGGCAGCAAAACCATGATGAAACAGGACAAGCATATGCAACCTGTGGGCACGAGTGAGAGGGGAAACGGGGAAAGGAAGGGGTGGCATTGTCCAAAAAAAGAGATGAACTCATGACCTGACTTATAAAATGGTAGCCCCTCTGTACAGCACCTTAATAATAATGAAGTTGGTGCTGGTGGCTCACACCTATAATGCTCACTACTCAGGAGGCTGAGATCTGAGGATCACAGTTCAAAGTCAGCCTCAGCAGTAAAGTCCATGAGACTCTTATATCTATTAACCATGAGAACACCGGAAGTGGTATCCTGTGGCTCAAGTGATATAACACTAACCTTGAGCAAAAAAGCTCAGTGACAGTGCCCAGGACCCGAGTTCAAGCCCAACAACCAGTAAAAACAAAAATAAAAAGTTAACTGACCTTTCTCAACCAATAAAACTGGGCATGGTGGCACACACCTAACATCCTAACTGTGTGGGAGATTTAATAGGAGGATCCCAGTCCAGGTCAGCTCAGAAAAAAAATGTGAGATTCTAATAAAAAGTAACTGGAGCAAAAAAAGGCTGAGTATGTGGCTCAAGTGGTAAGGTGCTTGCTTACAAAGCTGAAGTCCCTGGGGCTGGGAAGGTGGCTCAGTGGTAGAGCGCTTGCCTTGCATGCCTGAGGCCCTGGGTTCGATTCCTCAGCACCACATAAGAAAAAAGCCAGAAGTGGTGCTGTGGCTTAAGTGGTAGAGTGCTAGCCTTGAGCTGAAGAGCTGAGGGACAGTGCCCAGGCCCAGAGTTCAGGCTCCACGACCAGACCCAAAAAACAAAAAAAACAACAACAACAAAAAACAAAGCTGAAGGCCCTACCATTAAAAGAAGAAAATGGGGAAAGGGGAGACAGAGGAGAGGGAGGGGGAAAAAAGAGGAGGGGAAATACAGGAGGAGAAGGAGCCAGGTGCCAGTGGCTCACACTTAGAATCCTAGCTACTCAGGAGGCGGAGATCTGAAGATCCTAGTTCAAACCCAGCCCAGGCAGAAACATCAGTGAGACTTAGCTCCAATTAACCACCAAAAAAACAGAAAGTGGCCTTGTGGCTCAAATGGTAGAGCACTAACCTTGAGCTGAAGAGCTGGGGGACAGGGCCCAGGCCCAGAGTTTAAGCCCCAAAACACCAAGGGAAAAAAAAAAAAGCCAGCCCAGGCAGAAGAGACTCTGTGAGACTCTAATTAACTACTCAAAAATCGGAAATGAGGCTATGACTAAAAGTAGTAGAGCACTAGCCTTGAGCTAAAGAGCGCAGGATAACTCACAAGCATTGAGTTCAAGCCCCACAATGGAGTTAACTATAGTTCTGGAAATCTGCAGGGCAGGTAGTACCTGCCTTTAGCCAGCAGAGGGCAGTTTGTTGCACAGCAATGTTCAAACGCTGATCTCGGTTTTCACAAACATAAGCATCCCAAAACTGCTTCTGTAGAGGCAGGCCAGTGAGCAGTTATAAAGAGAAGACTTGTGAAAACCTCTTTCTCGCACTAACGTGAGTCTTCTTCACTGGCAAGCAGGCATCCAGGGCAAAGCCACAGCCAGGACCAAGCTCAGGCTCCACAAAGCCTGCCTACAAGGCTGTGGGGTAGCAGGTCTCGGAATGAGAGTGGACACACCTTTAAAATGCAAAAATCACCAACTAATCAGGCACATAACTTAATACTGCCAACAAGTTCTCCAAAGCCACCTGGTACCTTGGTGAGCAGGCTTGAAGCTCAGGGTTTTACTAAGGAATCTGTCTCTCGTGAACAGGGACACACCGGAAGCAAGACAAAGGGCTGACAAGAGGCTCTGCAGAGCCTCACCGAAAACAGAACAGGCAGCTTCACAGCACAGCACAGAAGGTCGAGCCCACTTTGTGGAAAATCCTTCAGGCAACGTGGGCATCCTCACCCACCCACCCCAAGACCTGGGATTCACACTTTTCTTCAAACACATGGAAACCTAAGCTTTTGAAAAGCTGAAAATGCCTCATGTCCCTATAATTGAAAACTACCCTTTCTACCTGCATGAGAGTTAATACAATCCACAGCTCACATATGATTTGGAAAGACCAAACATTTGAGGGATTTAAATGAATGTTAATTTAAGAATGTATCAGTATATAATGTAAACGCACCTCAATGTTCCGTGTTACAATACTGAATTTCCCACTTTCCACAGCAAAAGCTTTCTCTGAACATGTAACAAAATCAAAACTTCCATGAACTTTTCTTTTTGTCAGTCATAGGGATTGAACTCGGCTTGGGCGCTGTCCTTGTGCTCTTCAGCTCAAGGCAAGCGCTCTACCGCTCTACCACTTGAGCCACCACACCACTTCCAGTTTTCGAGTGGTTTATTGGAGATTAGAGTCTCATGGACTCTTATCTGCCCGGGCTGGCTTTGAACTGCGATCCTCAGATCTCAGCGCCTAGCCAAACGTCTTCTTTTGAAGGCACAGCCCTCTCAGCTGTTTCCCGATTCACCAGACACAAGCTACTCCTCCTTCCCAGTGTGGAATCTGGGCTCACCAGGAAGGGGGGCGGGGGGCGGGAGGGGGGGGGGGGCGCGGCCCAGGGATGCATACTGGCAGGGAGGGAGGGCGGGCTGGGGAGATAGTTACCCAGGGTTTCTCGGCTCACTGTCTCTTGAACTTCCTCCCTTCAGTTTCCTAACCAGCTTCTCACTGCTGCGTCTAATGGAAGCCCGGAGTTTGCTAAAGGAACCACTGCGTTTTAAAGATCCAGTGCCATCCTGAAAAAAATGTGAACAAGTGTGAAGCTGCTGTTTCTCCCTCCCACACCCAAGGAACAGCAGAGGCAAGCAGCAATTCCCAGCCCGCCTGCCGCCAGCAATGGACACCACCAGTCTGCCATGTACTTATGTAAATGCAGGCCTCCCAGAAATCTACCCGTTTGAAATTTCATTAAAAACAACCTAATAATCAAGGAAGTCCTTGAAGAGGAAATTCATTCAAACAAAAGGAAGCACATCCCCAAGAATTAAGACTGTTGTCTTAAAAATAGCTGCAATAAAAACTGAGGTAGCTTCCACGAGTATCAGCAGAAGTTGAGTCCCGCTGGACACTGTGCGCATCGGGCCGAGGTGACAGCACGGAGCCTACTATCCCAAAGCCTTCCTCCTGACCATTTCATCTAAAAGCCATGCTTAGATGAACTGTCAATCAAGTTCACAGTGGTCTTATTAAATGTTAGCTATAAATGTGGCTGGAAAATTAAAATGTTTACTTCATAAAGTAACTAAGAATCCTCAGACCTCTTGTAGGAAGAAAGGAGTGGCCAGCTGTCATAGCCCAAGTGAGAGTAGAAATAAAGCACGTGGCAGAGCTCAGATAGGAAAATCAGAAGCAGAGTGGGAAATATGTGTGCAGCACCATTTATTCTCAGAACAGATCCCCAGTAAGACAGGAACCGGCTCCTTGCAGAGGTTGTGCAATTCTGCATCCCGAGGAAGAGTGAGCAGTGTATCGAGCAGACAGACACAGACACAAGTCAGTTGGAGTGAGTTTATTAGAAGTTAGAAAGACACAAATACACACATCACTGAGCTTTTGAAGATTAGTAGAGAAAAGCAGAATTACACAGGACTACACAGCAAGTCTACTTGAGCATGTCCAGGGCCTCGGGCAGGCGTCCTGGCCAGATGTTCTCTAAGTACCACAGACGTGCACACATGCCTTACTCCTACAGCTCAGCAACTGTCCACAGGTCACTCTCATGCCACTGCGGTAAACCTGTGTGACACTTCTAACTACCTGCTAGCAGAGTGTACAGCTAATCGCTCTTAATCGTTAAATGTGTGTTACACAGTAAATGGGTTTTATTAATACAGTTGATATTACTAAGTACACATCTGGCAAAGCTACATGTATACAGAGATCAGGAACCCCAGGTCAGCAGCACCGAAAGGAATGACCAGGCCCAGAGGTGCAGCTCTGACAAGCTCCTAGGGGCTGCTAGACACAGCGGGCAGCGCTGGAGGGGGGGGGCCGGAGGAGGCGCTGCCCGTCATGCAGGAGCAGGGCGGGAGGCACCCGGGCAGCTAGGCCTGTCGGACAAAAAGGAGAGAACCAGTGAGCCCACGGGAGGACAGGGCGCAGGCCCCGCGCCACACAGCCTGGTCTACAGTATTTCTAGGTCACAGAGATCATGGCTTCATCCTGGGCCTTCCCTTCTGTCACTCTGGTTCACCAGGCCGGCTCAGAAGTGGGGCTGGGCCCAATGTGTCTTGAAGCATCTAGGCTGGCCTACTCCAAACAAGCATCAGAGTGGAAGGCAGTATGAGACTAGCATCATTCTAGGAATCTTTTACTTACTGCAAGACACAAGTAACTGTACATAAAGGAGAGTCATCAATGAAAAACCAAAATAAAGGCTACCCGCAGAAGACACATTCATTTAACTTTTCCTGTTCTGCCATATCCCCCAAGTGTAGTCCTTCCTGAAGTTTGTATGTGACTCTCATCTCTTAAATTAAAACACTAGCATCTTAGACATTTCAGAACCGTAAGACCCGGCGACTTGAGGGGCAGCGCACGTTGTAAGCATGCAGTTGACCATCCAAAGAAAATGGGTTTCCCTGGGCACAACGCCTCCTGCGTCCTGCCCGAGTGGCAGCCGACATCTCGACAGGAGCACAGACAGTGGGGCCTGTCCCTGCCCGCTCGGACTCACCATGGACGCTGAGCAAGTCATTTAACCAGCCCGAGCTTCATCTTTCTCATCTTTAAATGGAAAAATAAAACTTGTTACCAAGGCCTCGTGAATGCTGGGAGGACAAGAACACATCAGTTCCCACTGCTCTGCACAAGAAGGGACCGAGATCTTGTTGCCCACCACCCCCTCCCAGGTCCCAAGGGAGCTCACTGGGCACCACTCACATACCCTGGGAACCACTCACTCAAGTGGCAGGTGATGTGGGCACTGGGGCCAGCCATCGCCTCCCTGGAGCCTCAGAGATCTAGGCAAGCAATTCTCAGGGCCAGGCTGACCAACTGGCACCAGGCAAGTTAGTCTGCCCTGCCCAGCACTCGCCACCTGGGGGAGGTACAGCAACTCCCCAGAATGCAAGCCAATCCCCTTCGACCTGGGCTGGAAGGGCCACGGACACGTCTTTAAATCCTCGTGTCACATATTCATATTACAAAGTAGAGTTCTGAGCAGAAACTAATCACATGGCATATTGGTTTAACATGCACAGTGGCAATTATTAGCTATGTACAACAGGACTGCAGATGTTGCGGTAATTCAATTTATTTTTGGTACATTCTAGTTGTCTTCCTAATGTAACTTTTCAAAAATAAAAGCTAAGCTATTTCTAATTAGCACCGTCACATTCTCCAGTGATCCTTGGTAAAATTTTAGTGCATTATTGAAATGTGTAGAAATCTCAGTGTGGAAAGAGAGACAGGAACAGGTGCTTCAGAAGGATCCTGGGGAAAGCCCTGGTATTTGAACATGGGGAAAAAAACATGCAGACAAGAGGCTGCCCTTGGGCGTGGAGGTCCACAGACACCCGAGTCATGTGTCCCGAAGGACCTGCCATCAATGCAATGACTTCCCACAAGAAGCCCCGAGGGGCCCCTGAGACCCTGTGACCCCACGTGCACGGCACACGGTAAACACAGTCACATGGACCAAAGCTGAGGAAACCTAGTTTCATTTGTACAGGCTCAAAGCAGGATCCAAACAGGACAGAGTAACTACAAAACCTGCCCTCACGCCCTGTTCACAGCGCAAAAAGCAGCACAGACTGCTCTCCCTGCACTGCATCTCCTGGGTCCCCACTGCCTCAGCGCTGCTGTCGCCTCTCTCTGCTTCCTAACACACAGCTCCACTGCACGCAGGGTAACCCAGGGCAGCTGGTCTATCTCTCTATTTTAAATGCTACTTCTGAATATTAAGAAAAAACCTGAAATCTTGTGAGATGGCTACTATGATGTGGTCAAGCATGGGCCAGCAAGTCCTATAATAGACTGTCAGCCGCAGCTCTGTCTGCATAGGAGGGCACCCGCATCCTTGTCGATGCACGAGTTCTAAAGAGCACTTACATCCTAGTTTTAAAATCTCATGCAGAACTACAATATAACTGAGAGCTGAGTGGCATTTTCTCACTACAAATGCGTGTCAGCCTAGCACTTGGGAGGCTAAGGCAGGAGGATTTTGAGTTTCAGATCAGAGTCCAGACTAGGCTAGACAGCAAGTCTCTATCTCAAGAAGAGAAAAAAAAAGTGGATGACAAGTTCTCCTTCTAATAAACTAAATCAGTAAGAACAAGGAAGGCACCTTTATGAAAACCAGAACTTAAAATCTGAAGTTGGAGGTAACATCATGACATCTACTCAACATTCACTTTCTTATTTCATCTCAAATACATAATGATAAAAAAAAAAAAAAAAAGCCTTTTTCCCCCCTTTTCCCAATGCTGGAATCAAACTCAGGGCCTCATGAACACTAGGTAAGCACTCTACACTCCTACCCCTAAAAAGAGCTTGATGCACACAAACAAGTGGTTGCCAATGGTAACCATTTTTAATGGTACCCATCTTTAAACTGCTGACAGAAATCTCAGGGACTCTTCAACAGAAACAGCATAAAAAATCATTTCATTGCCAGTGAAGAGACAAGCCAGCATTCCAGACTTTAGTGTACTCCTATGAACCAAACCTGACACAGAAAATGAACTCTTCATGTACCACAAACAGCCAAGTCCCAGTACAGCTAATTAAAGAAACACCTAAGTATATAACACTTGTTTTAAATAACAAAAGTGTGCTCGAAAGCTGAGTGTGGTGAGCATGCCTAAAATCCCAGTACTCAGGGAACTGAGGCAGGAGAATCACCAATTCAAGAGCTTCACAGCAAGAGCCTGTCTCAAAATAAAATAACAGAGGTGAGATACAACTCAGAGATATAACTAGCTTGCATGAAGCCCTGTGTTCCATCCTCAACACTGGCAAGAGAAACAAAAAAAAAAAGAGGAGGAAGTAGCCCGTGCACAGAGGCACTGCTGCGCCCTGTGGTGAAATCACTGCACTCCTCCAGGCCCCTTCCTCCCTGGTGGGAGGGGACTTGGGTTGTTGACAATTCTACTGTCATAGAATTTTCATACATATGGACCTAGAAATACTGTCTCGAGAGAAAGTTCCTCCAGAGCTTCACCCAGGAGTGTTAGATCTGCGAGCAGGCCTCTGAAGGCCAAGCAGGAAGGCCCTCAAGACAAAGCATGCAGGTGCCAGAGCAGTGAGTACAGTACACAGCTCTGACAGCACAGCCTCTCACAGGCATCCTGGGCCTCACTGCAGTTTGGGGCCACTGCCCACCGGAGCTTATGCAGTCAAAGCAGATGCTGATTGGTTGTCATGGCATGGAAAGAAACAAAGCAAGGTACCTGCTGGACAGACAGTCAAGAGAATGCTCTCTCTACAGTCTGGCTGAAAACATGTTTTACAAAATGTTTAGTCAGGATGCTGACTCCTCCCAAACTGCTACAGTTATAGCAAATTCTAAGAAATAAATCAATTCTGAAATTAAGACAGGCCCCAAAGTGCACTTGAACACAAGTGCACTACATGATGGCTGATGTTCAGATGCCAGTGGCACAGCTGGAGTGCTTCCAACCCACCTCCAGCTCCCTTGAAGGAGCACATTTCCACAGACACCAGCCCAGTCTACAGAGACCTTGTCCACCTGCTATGGAAATGTCTAGAAGCCAGGCACTGTCTGTGACCTGGAGTAGGCAACAATGGAAACAACTTCCCAGAGCAAGCAAATGGGATAGGCAGGGCCCCTGCAGCCCCTCCATGGAAAAACAGGGGCAGGCAGAGTGAGGATCAGGGCTGCCGGCAGGGCTCAAGCAAGAGAGGTAGAAGAGCAGCCACCACCCCAATGCCTTGCTCAAGTTGTTCTTTTTGTGTTTTTGGTTTTTTGTTTTTTTTGGGGTGGGGGTAGGGGGTGGAATGGGAAGCCAGTTCTGGGGCTTGAACTCAGGGCCTGGACGCTGTCCTTGAGCTTCTTTTGCTCAAGGCTAGTGCTCTACCACTTGAGCCACAGCTCCAATTATGGCTTTCCTGGTAGTTTAGTGGAGAAAACAATCTCAAAGACACTCCTGCCCAGGCTAGGTTCAAACTGTATCCTCAGATCTCGCCTCCTGAATAGCAAATACTACAGGAGCTAGCCACCAGCACTGGCTTGAGTTGTTCTTTTCTAAAAAGAAATTCCAGTTCAAAAGCATCTCCATTTAAGACAAGCTAATTAATTCTAAAAAAAAAAACCTAGAGCAGCCTGCACAGTGAAGTCAAAAGCACGAGTTAGCAGTGAACTGGGCAAGTTAGAGAAGCAGTTAGTTGTCTGCTATACTGATCCCAGTAGTGACTATGGATTACGTTTTACACAGCCAGGACACTCAACCAGCATGTGCGCGCTCCAGGGTTGCCAGGTAGCTCTCATGGGTTCCTAAGGAAAGGACAAAGACTACTCCAAGCAAGCAGCAGCCTCCAGTATTAGCACAAGTTAGGAATTTATAAGAGGGCTTTCCTGGCACTTAATTTGAGAAAAGTAGAAGGAATAGCATGTGAGACAGAGAAAGCCAGTGAGCAGAGCCGGCGGGTGCGCCGGCAGCTACCCTAGTGCACGCCGGCTGTGTACTGTACTTACCCCATTCCATTCTACGCTCATACTCACTTCCTCCCCTCCGTCAGGGCCACTCTCGTACTTGACCACGTCCACATGGAGGCTCTCCCGGCTCCTCCGCTTCTCCATGTTTTCAGGGTCGTTTAGGACTTCAGCCACTCTCTGTTTGTGAGCAGTGTCAAGACCCTGTGAGCCAGCCAGGGGGAAAATGGTTTGACCCATTAGCATTTACATCTTACAAGGGATTTCTCAGATACCTCAACATCAAGGGACAAGCGACCAGAAGAAAAAAAACAGCGTAGCCGGGGCTGCCTAGGTGACAAGAGGTTAGGGTTCCACCATGTCCATACCACTAAAACTCAGGAACAGAAACATAGGTGAGCACACTATGCAAATGTTTTTCTCAAAAAGCTGTAATAAATTAGGCTGTAGTTCCAGTTAAAGTCTTGGTAAGTAAAGTACTGATGCCTACAAATTATCTGAAATGCTTAAAAAAAAAAAAAGATTGGTAGATGAAGAGATGTGATCAAGTATCTAAAATGGCTCAGCACCAACAGCTCCCACCTGTAATCCTAGCTACTCAGAGACTTAGGAATCAAGGTCCAAAACCAGCCTGAACAGATCAGCCCCGATCATCTCCAATTAATTAGCAAAATAGCAGACTGGAGGTATGGCTCAAGGGATGCAGCCCCAGGCATGAGCAAAAAAGCCAAGTGAAAGCTGGGTGCCAGTGGCTCACGCCTGTAATCCTAGCTACTCAGGAGGCTGAGATCTGAGGATCACGGTTCAAAGCCAGCCTGGGCAAGAAAGTCCGTGAGACTCTTATCTCCAATAAACAACTAGAAAATTGGAAGTGGTACTGTGGCTCAAGCGGTAGAGCACTAGCCTTGAGCTGAAGAGCACAGTGACAACACCCAAGCCCAGAGTTCAAGCCCCACTACCAACAGAAAAAAAAAAAAAAAAAGCCAAGTGAGAGCTCAAAGTTCTAAATTAAAAAAAAGTAATACTGGTACAAAGGAAGTAAACCATGAGCCAGTGGCTCATGTCTGTAATCCTAGCTACTTCAGAAGCTGAGATCTAAGGATTAAAGTTCAAAGCTAGCCTGAGCAGGAAAGTCCACAAGACTCATCTCCATTTAACCACCAAAAAGTCAGAAGTGAAGCTATGGTTCAACTGGTAGAGCACCAGCCTTGAATGAAAAAGACAAGCAGGAGCATGAGACACTGAGTTCCAGCCCCAGTACAAGCATAAAAAAGGAAAAAGTTGTGATGCCTAAACAGCTAAGGCACTGGCACTTGGATGTGCAGCCAAGTGCTTTGGAGAGCATAGCCTTCAGCAATGGGAGGATGGAGACATTCCTCTCCTTGGGTCAGAGTGCTTTAGACTCTAACTCTGCAGATTAGCCTCAACCAGATCCAGGGGTCTCCACCCAGAAGGTCCATGCTTATGGTCAGGGGAGGGTACAAGTCTTCTGTCCTACAGTATCCTCATACCATGCGTTTGAGGGAAGAAAGTTAAAAGTGCTCCTTAGCATAGGATATATGATAACTGACTTCTAGGGAGAAAAAGACCTGGGCAATCAATCTTCAACTAAAACAATCTCTCAAATAATACCCCGTTTTGTTAATGTTGCTTTAGTTATCTGTTAAGACACTCAACATGAACGATCTTTTATATGGTGTATAACCTGTTATATACACTTTATCTGTATGAAATGGTTGGTAGTTGTCTATGGTAGACATTTGATTTGATTATTATCTAAGCCAATATCATAGCTAACCCCACACTAGGAAAAAAAAAAACCCAAGGATTTTATTAATGCAATCTTTTAATGAATATGTGTGCCCGCAGAAATGGGCTTTCCCAACCTACATGTGTGAACCACCTGCACTCCTTGCTATACAGGAGGCAGAGATCTTGAGGATAGAGATCTGAAGCCAGCATGGGCAGAAATATCCAGCAAGCTAGGCACAAGTGGCTCACAGACACCTAATCCTAGCTACTCAGGAGGCTGAGATCTGGGAACTGTGGTTTGAAGCCAACCCAGGTAGACAAATTTAAGACTCTTATCTGGAAGTGGTACTGTGGCTCAGGTGGTAGAGCTCTAGCCTTGAGCTGAAGAGGGCAGGGAGAGCACCAAGCCCAGAGTTCAAGCCCTACAACCGACACACACACACACAGCCAAACAGAAGTGCTGTACTCACCTGTTTACGTGACCTCATGGCAGCTTCTTCTAATGTTTCTGCAGCTTCAAATTTCCCTTGACGACGATAAAGTGCGCCAAGGTTTTTTAAAGTCGTTGTGACTGTTGGACTGTAAGAAAGCACATAATATGTGGAACTGTTAAATGTAGGTCCTAAATAGAACCATTAAGTGCAGGTCCCAGGTTAACCCCCATCACAGCATGTGATCTAAAGGTCAGACATGTTATGATGAAAATGTTAACTTTCCACTGTACAATCTCCTTCAATGCCAGAAGCTAAGAGGCATAGAGGCCAGACAACCTCTCAGGGTCAATCTGTTCTGGAAGAGACACCATGAGAGGACAGTCCTTTGTTTTGGCTAATGAGTGCTTCTAACTCAAGATGCCCTTCCACCCAGAACTGTCAGACCCCTCTGGCCCCTGTAGCAGGTAGATGCAGCATCCATCCAGGCCTCTCCATTGCCACAGACCCCTGATCTCTGTCCATAACAGTATGTGTCTATCTGTCTAGTAGTCAGCATGCTATGTTTGCAGGCAGGAGCTTGACCTACGAAAGCAGGAGTGTTGTGTTGCTGGACACATCCTGTCACTTGCACAGCAAGCTAGAATCTCCCACCATGATATCACTAAACAGAAACAGTGTGTATGAAGAGACTAGACAGGGACAGCAGTGTGACTGCATACCTGTCAGAGTCTTTAAAAAGTTAGAAACAGCCAAGCATAATGGCATATGTCTACCACCTGAGCATTCAAGATGCTGAGGCAATAAGATGAGGCTGTGAAGCAGGCTAGCCTGGAACACAGCAAGACTGTGTCTCAAAACAAAAGGGGGGGAGGGGGGACCTGGGAAGGTGGCTCAGTGGTAGAGCGCTTGCCTCGCATGCATGAGGCTCTGGGTTCCATTCCTCAACATCACATAAGCAGAAAAAGCCAGAAGTGGCACTGTGGCTCAAGTGGTAGAGCACTCGCCTTGAGCTGAAGAGCTGAGGGACAGTGCCCAGGCCCAGAGTTCAGGCCCCACAACCGACAAAAAAACAAAACAAAAAAAAAAGCATATATATTCCTTCTAGTACAAATCCACTCTGAAAGGTGTTTTTTCTCTCACTAATAATTACAGGAATAACATGACTTTGAGACAACTATCCAATGAAAGCTGTAAATTTCACATATTACAGTAAGAATGGGGAGTCAAGAGGGAGGAATCTATTACAAACCAGGCTCCAGTAACTTTTCCTGAACCCTGAATGGGAAGCTGAATGCTACAGGAAATTAGGGCAGAGAAAATGTAGCTAAGCAGGCAAGGTGTGCTCTCCACAGGAGGGCCGGCTGCAGCCATGAAGCACGTGAGGGCAGGAGGTAGGAACCAGCTCAGGGTTGGAAAGCACACGGGAGAGGCGTGGCAGGGCCTACACACACCCCCAGGGTGAGAGAGACAGAGAGAGAGAGACAGACAGACAGAGAGAGAGACAGAGAGAGAGAGACAGAGGGAGAGACAGAGAGCGTGCATGTGCACAGGCAGCACGCCTGCTGAACATCATACTGTGTGCCACTAGGGCAGGTTTCCAGGTTTCCTCAGCACCGGCTCTCTAGGCCTGCTGCATACTGGCCCTCATGGGCTGAACAGCTACCTTCAACACTGTTTCATCATTTGAGCATTTCTTTTCCTTCAATTAGATAGGTAACCTTGACAAAGAATCATTAATGGACAGAACCCATTCTATTGCCAGTAAGTTCTATATATGAAAATGAAAATGACCTCATTCACAAAAAAGCATAGGATGTGTCATCAGAATTTGGGAAAATGTGAGCCTATGTGACCCCAACACTAAGGAAGTTCACACCTATGTCCTTCCTAAGCTGCTCAAGACCCAATATGTTGCTGGGCTGCCTTGTTTTCAGAGCAACAGACCTACCTATCAACTTTGCAGGCTTTGTACCAGCCACCATACTCCCCAAAAGACGTCCCGTCCTTCTGCTTTCCCTAAATTATGAGAGACAATTCCAAATGAGTGATGGCTGTGAATGCACATTGCATCAAATTTAGAAAGTCCCTCAAAATAGTACAGCCTTACCTTACACTCTTCTCTTTCTTCCGCATGCATCCAAATGGGTTTATTTTCGTCTAGAGAAAGAAAAAAACAACACTATATAAAGTGAAGACAGGAGCTGTTAAGTCTCAGTAACTGCAAGGCTTTTATGTTTTATTTTTTTTGTTTTTTGTTCACTACAACCCTTCCTAGGTGTCATCCTGGCCAGACCAAGTTCTATTGGAAGCCAGGTGCCAGTGGCTCAAGCCTGTAATCCTAGCTACTCAGGAGGCTGAGATCTGAGGACCACTGTTCAAAGCCAGCCCAGGCAGGAAAATACATAAGACTCATCTCCAATTAACCACCAAAAAGTCAAAAGTAGAACTGTGATTCAAGTGATGAGTACCAGTATTGAGCAAAAAAGGTCAGGGACAGTTTCTAGGCCCTGAGCTCAAGCCCCAAGACCAACACCAAAAAATAAAAAAATTATTCACACTAGAGGAAAAGCTCATGGATTGGTTTTTTGTTGTTTTTTTTTTTTGGTCCGGTCGTGGGGCCTGAACTCTGGGCCTGGGTGCTGTCCCTCAGCTCTTCAGCTCAAGGCTAGTGCTCTGCCATTTGAGCCACAGTGCCACTTTCCAGCTTTTTTCTTTTTGCTTATGTGGTGCTGAGGAATCGAACCCAGGGCCCTCATGCATGCAAGGCAAGCGCTCTACCACTGAGCCACCTACCAGCCCCGGAAAAACTCATGGATTGGAAGACATAGGAAGAAGACAACCATACATGACTAGCGCTGTGGAAGTGAAATGAAGAATCCAACATGTCTACATAGGTGCTAGGCCTGATAATTTTGCTCACAAAACACTTGGAAGTATTTCCCTGGGCTATCTAGAGTGTCAGCAAAGCCTATGAGGCTGAGTACAGCTTAAATTCTCTTTGCCCAGCATGATGCTCTAACAAGAGGCTAAGACTCCTGCTCTGCTGCCCAGCTGATCAGATCCCCTTAGAACAGAAAACCAGAGGCTAACCACCCAACCCTCCTCCATTCCAGTTACTTTTCTTTTCTTTTGCAGTCTTGAGGTCTGAACTCAGAGGCTTCAATGCTCTACCACTACACACACACAGAGCCTTTTTTTTTTTTTTTTCAAATTTTTTTATTGTGATTTAAGTGGTTACATAATTTCCCAAATTTCACAGTATTGTGGGATAGTGATGCTCAGTTAAAGTCACAAACACATTCTAACTTTCCTGGAGCAAATTGTCTATCACGGTCTATAACATTTATGAGTTCTATGAGCTTTGCAATAGTTATTTCTTCCATATTGGGTGGTATGTACATTTCTTTTGTTTTGCATAGCATCAGCTGTTCCCTCTTTCCCACTTGTTCCCTCCCTCCCATCACTGCCATTAAGTTGCTTAGTTCATTTTGGTCAATGTCCAGTGCAGCTAATGGGTCCCACTGTTATGTTTTTCCCTGATTCCCTCTAGTTCTGTGTCGTCTTCCTGTTCCCCTCCAGTGTACACATATATACCATACATGTGATCAGCAGCATGGGGTTATTTAGTAGTGATTCAACCAGATGAGTGTAAGTTATTTGTTTCTTAAGTCCTGTTAATTTTGTCGTATCACCTAACATTTTGGATTTAACATCCACTTATCAGGGAGACCCTGTACCTACTGTTTGTCTCTTTGCTCTTGGCTTACCTCACGCAACATGATTTCTTCTAGTAGAGCCTTTACTTTTAAGATATGGTTTCATACTTCCCTCCATGGCAGACAGAGTCTTGAAGACTTTTTCTGCCCAGCTAGCCTATAACCTTAATCCTCCCATTCTCTACTTCTCACCTAACCTGGAATGACAGGCATGTGCTACTGTGCCCAGCTATGGGCTGAGAAGAGGGTCTCACAAACCTTTCTGCCTGAGGTCTTTTTTTTTTTTTTTTTGGTCGGTCATCAGGGCTTGAACTCTGGGCCATGGGCGCTGTCCCTGCACTCTACAGCTCAAGGAGAGCACTCTACCGCTTGAGCCACAGTGCCATTTCCGGTTTTTCTAGTGGTTTATTGGAGATAAGAGTCTCACGGACTTTCCTGCCTGGGCTGGCTTTGAACTGCGATCCTCAGATCTCAGCCTCCTGAGTAGCTAGGATTACAGGGGTGAGCCAACACCCGGCTTCTGCCTGAGGTCTTAAACTTCAATCCTCTAGTTCTCAGCTTCCCAAGGATCTAGGATAACACATCTGAGGCACCACACACCCAGTTGAAAAATCACTGTACTGCTAAAAACAGGAGCATATTTCTTACCATCCACGGAACCAAATTCCCGCTCATGTGCACGAGTAAGGATCTCTTTGTACAGTGTTTCTGCTTGCTTAAATTTTCCTTGTTTCAGATAGCAGGATGCCTTGAAATAAAATAAAAGTATTCAGTGCCTTCGTATGTAAATGAACCACACATTCTATCTACAGATGAAATTACAAAGCCTTCAGACTTTGGAGAGCAAGAGACCCTAGCCCACCCAACACATACCAGGTTGTTTTTCGTCTTGGCCACATTGGGGTCATCTGGCCCCAGTTTTGTCTGGTAGATCTCCAGGGCTCTTTGATAGTAATATTCTACTTCTTCATACTTGCCCTGATTCTGGCACAGTAAGGCCAAGTTATTCAACTGCTTGGCAACATCAGGGTGATCTTTCCCCAGAACCTGAATATAAAAAATCAGTGTATGAAAAATGCTACTCTCCCACAAAAACACCACAGCCCACATAAATCTGACCATTTTACTTCATAAGACCATGCATATAGCAATATAATAAATTATTACCTAGATAATTTGATTTCTTTTTTGTCTGAGACCAGGACTCAAGCACAGTATCTGAGACTCTCACTCAGTGGCTGACGCTTTACCACCTGAGCCATACCTCCAACCCCCTATATAACTTGACAATTAGTCCTTTTTCATTTTTTCTTTCTCAATTCCTTGTCATAGAATTTTTTTTTTTTGGTCAGTCATGAGGCCTAAGTGCTGTCCCTCAGCTCTTTGGCTCAAGGCAAGCACTCTACCACTTGAGCCACAGCGCCTCTTCTGGTTTTTGAGTAGTTTATTGGAGATAAAGAGTCTCACAGACTTTCCTGACCAGGCTGGCTTTGACTGCGATCCTCAGATCTCAGCCTCCTGAGTAGCTAGGATTACAAGTGTGAGCCACCAGCGCCTGGGTAGGAGAGACTTTTTTATGGTTAAAGATAAGAGTCTTGCTGGGGCCAGGAGATGGTAGCTCATACCTGTAATCCTAGCTACTCAGGAGGCTGCGGGCTGAGGACTACAGTTCAAAGCCAGCCCAAGCAAAAAATTCCATGAGACACTTATCTCTAAACATAAAAGCCAGAAGTGAGGCTATGGCTCAAGTGGTAGAGTGATAGCCTTGAGCACAAAAGCTCAGGGACAGTCTCCAGGCTCTGAGTTCAAGCTGTAGGATCAGCACAAAAATGTCTCTCAGGGGCTGGGAAGGTAGCTCAATGGTAGAGTGTTCACCACACGTGCATGAGGCCCTGGGTTCAATTCCTCAGCACCATGTAAGCAGAAAAGGCCAGAACTGGCGCTGTGGCTCAAGTGGTAGAGCACTAGTCTTGAGCTGAAGAGCTGAGGGACAGCACCCAGGCCCAGAGTTCAAGCCTCATAACCAACCAAAAAAAAGCTCACAGGTGTGAGCTACTGATAACTGGTAATTACTTCATTTCCTTAAAGGGCATGTGGTGAACTCAGTTCTAAACTGAAGCATCTTCTTTGACAAGCACATACCACTGTCAAATGCAATGTCCCTACACTGTATATGGACAGCTCAGAGCCTCCTTGTTTCTGGGCCACTACAGAAATAGCAATCTGCACAGTGAGTGTACCTTTCCTCAATACACACCCCTCTCATGCACTCAACACGGGCCTCATGCACTGATTGAGCAGGAGGTAGACTGACTGGCCTTTGGGGACTATCTGCTTTTTCTTTTTTCTTTTTTTTTTTTTTTTGGGGGGGGGTCCAGTTGCGGGGCCTGAACTCTGGGCCTGGGCGCTGTCCCTCAGCTCTTTAGCTCAAGGCTAGTACTCTACCACTTTGAGCCACAGCGCCACTTCTGGCTTTTCTCTTTTTGCTTATGTGGTGCTGAGGAATCGAACCCAGGGCCTCATGCATTCAAGACAAGCGCTCTACCACTGAGCCACCTTCCCAGCCCCACTATCTACTTTTTCAAACGAGTTGCTTTCAGACAAAAACTGGTAGTGACACATCAGTGTTCAGAACTTAAACACAAAAATCTCAGAGAAGAATCCTTCACATGTCATACCTTCTCTCTGATCTCCAGGGCTCTTTTGCACAAAGGCTCAGCCTCCTTGTACTTCCCTCGTTTACCATACAACACAGCAAGGTTGTTCAGAGTTGCTGCCACCTGCCAACACAGAATGCCACAAAGAACCACAACACACTACATACAGTGAAGCCTCCTCATGGGATAAGAGGGTGAGGTCACTGCAATGTGAGGTAGATCACAACAAGTACCAATTAGAACATGTTCTAAAATTAAACAAATCAACATGAACTGGATTTCTTTTAATTTTCCAATCAAAACAAGTCTGACCAGATTCTAATAAAGACACAATACAAACTCTTGGGGAAAAATCTAAAAAAGGACATGCAATTTGATTATAGATCAGAAATACAGCTGGTGACCCATTCAAAGCAGTGGCCATCAACAAATCAGAAGTGACTAGCGTATGTAAATATCAGAGTAGCTGCCATAGAAGCTTGTCACTACCTGAGCCTGCTGGGGACAAGGTTGCTCTCAGACTCCCTGTTGAGCTTGATGTGGGATGAACTGGACAAAAAAGTACTAGGGAAAATCAAAAGTAAAAGACTGAATCAAGTATACCAACCGCGGGATGATCTTTGCCCAAAGTTTTTTCACGGATAGCCAAAGCATCATTCAGTAGATTAGCTGCATCTTTGTATTTGTTCTGATCCCTAAGTTGAAAAATACATTAAATGCTTAGATGTAAATTACTAAATCAATCAATCTAATCTAACTAGCTATTTATTGGTACTAGGGATTAAACTTAGGTTTATGCATGCTAAACTCAAGCTCTACCACTAAGCTATATACCCAGACTCCCAAATCCTTTTTCTGTGTTTTAATTTTTTTATTCTTATTTTAAAGGTAATATACAGAGGGGATACAATTATACATAAGTCAGATAAAAAGTACATTTCTTTTTGGACAATATCACCCTCCTAATTTTTCCCTCCCATCCCTATCTTTTTTTTTTTTTTTGGCAGATCCTGAGGCTTGAACTCCACCTGGGTGCTGTCCCTGAGCTCCTTTTATTCAAGGCTAGCGCTCTACCCCTTGAGCCATAGCACCACTTCCAACTTTTTCTGATTAATTGGGAGATAAGAGTCTCATGGACTTTTCTGCCCAAAATGGCTTTGAATCTCGATCTTCACAACCGTGCCTTTATTTTTACCAACTTTCAAACATCCCTTTAAAAACCCACCCATCCTGGGGCTGGGAAGGTGGCTCAGTGGTAGAGCGCTTGCCTTGCATGCCTGAGGCCCTGGGTTCGATTCCTCAGCACCACATAAGCAAAAAGAAAAAAGCCGGAAGTGGCGCTGTGGCTCAAGTGGTAGAGTGCTAGCCTTGAGCTGAAGAGCTGAGGGACAGCGCCCAGGCCCAGAGTTCAGGCCCCACGACTGGACCCAAAAAAAAATAAAAATAAAAACCCACCCATCGCCGGGCGCTGGTGGCTCACGCCTGTAATCCTAGCTACTCAGAAGGCTGAGATCTGAGAATCGCGGTTCAAAGCCAGCCCGGGCAGGAGAGACCGTGAGACTCCTATCTCCAATAAACCACCACAAAACCGGAAGTGGCGCTGTAGCTCAAGTGGTAGAGTGCTCGCCTTGAGCCGAAGAGCTGAGGGACAGCGCCCAGGCCCAGAGTTCAAGCCCCACGACAGACCAAAAAAAAAAAAAAAAAAAACCCCACCCATCCTTACAGATGGCAGCAAAGTACTGTTCAAGCTCTGGGCCAATCTCTCTTTCTCCACACTGCCCCACCCCTACTCTGCTCAGGACCCATCTCCAGACTCCTGCCTTCACATATGCTCACACAAGCCCCCACACAGCATCCTGCCCAGAGGCCAGACTTGTTCTATCCACAGGGCTCAGAACCCACAAATCCTCATGGGTGCCCATCCACAGGGGTGAAAGAGGCAGAGGAGGCAAAGGTTTTGTAAGGAGAATCCAGGATTTCAAAAGGAGAGAGAGTCCAGGCCCTCAGGAGGGAGGGACGACACTGATAGGCAAGGTAGAAAGGCCATCCCAGGCCAAAGAAATCCTGGGCCAAAAGTCACACCTCAACTGGCCCAGTTGGGGATACTATAGGCTATCTCAGAAAGGCATGGGTGCAGGCATAGGCAGCCTCTGTTCCTGGTCAGGATGACCTTTACCATAGAGCTGGCTGAGTATTTGGAGGTTAAGGCTACTTGAAGATAAATATCATAAGAATGAGTCACATGATTTCTAAAACCTATTTCAAAGTACAAGTTGGCTAAAGTTGTCTCTAGTTTCAATTCAGCGCAAAAACCAAAGGACTACCTGTACACCAAGGCCAAGATGTTGAGCATGGTGGCCACGTCAGGGTGGTCATGGCCCGAAGTCTTCTCCAGGTCCTCCAGGGCCTGCTTGCAGAGTGGCACAGCCACTTCGTAGCGCCCCTGTGATGCATACTGGATCACCAGGTTGTGGAGCGTGCGCAGTCGCGCAGGAATCTCATAGCCTCCTTGCTGGGCGGCGGCAGCAGCACTGCTATGCTGCTGCTGAACTGCTCAGAGAAGACACACTTCAGAGGGTGCAAGAAAAACAGTGCAGGCCAGCCAATTCCACACTTCCCCACTACCTGGTTCAAGCTGACCCATATGCTAACATAGTCTTTTCTGGGTACCTCTGCACATGCTGGGAAAGAGGAACAACTGGTCAGGGACGGCACTCTGTTGGTTTACAATGCCATGAGACTACTAGGTGTCAGACTAAGAAGCAGCAGCACTGACTCCTACCTTGCAAGGACCCACAGCCACATGTACACTGTGCGTGCACACTACTATATCCTTTCATGTACGAACACTTTAAATCTTAGGGGAACAAAGGCAATCCAATCAGGCATGGTGATATCCACCTATAATCCCAGCATTTGGCAGACTGAGACAGGTGATCTCAAGTGTAAGGCTAGCCTAGACTACACACCAAGACTTTGCCTTAACACATGGTCTCCCTGATATGTGGATGTTAAATCCAAAATGTAAGGAGATAGTAAGGAGAAAATAAACAAGACTGGAGAAACAAAGGACCTCCACTCATCTTGTCGTATCATTACAAAATGACCCCATGCTGCTGACCACATATATGGTATATATGTGCACATCTGAGTGAAACTAGGAGGAAGACACAGAAACAGAGGCAAACAGGAGAAAACATACAACAGCGGGACCCCAACAGCTGCACTGGACAATGATGAAAACAAACTAAGCAACTCCAAAGCAGCGATGAGAGGGAGGGAATGAGATGGATAGAGGGAACAGTTGACATGAAGCAAAGAGAAAGAAATGTATGTATCGGAAGTGGCGCTGTGGCTCAAGTGGTAGAGCGCTAGCTTTGAGCGGAAGACTGAGGGACAGCGCCCAGGCCCAGAGTTCAAGTCCCATGACCAAACCAAAAAACAAACAAACAGAAATGTATGTATCACCTGATGTGGAAGAAATAGCTGTACTGTCAAAGCTCATAGAATTACCAACTTTATAGACCATGATAATGACAATTTGCCTCATGAAGGTTAGAATGTGTTTGTGATTTACTAAGTATCACTATCTCACAATACTATGAAATTTGTGAAATTTATGTAATCACATAATCAAAATAAAAATTTTTGTAAAAATTAACTCTTCATACTGAAAATTAGTATCATGTTTGTTTTCAGTACAATTAAATTCTTTAATTGATAAGCAAAAAACAAAAAACAAAAACTTTGCCTTAAAAAAAAAAGGGGGTGATCCTGTTCTTGGAATCTGTGCAGCAGGCGCCTGCGTTAAGGCTTGAACTCTGACAAGTGTGTCCTCAAAGGTAAGGAAAGCACCACTCAACACAATGACACACCCAACCTGACAGCACAGCACACCACTTGCCACTCACTTCCTTGGCCTGGGTCATCCTCATCATTCGGAAAGAGATCATCCAGTGGCTCTTTGGTAGAATCAGTATCTTTGTCCTCCTACAAAAGAGACCAGAGCACGTTTTATTCTCAGTATTACATATCTTGCCTGAAAAATCTTTTTTTTTTGTTTGTTTCTTTTTGGTAGGTCATGGGGCCTGAACTCTGGGCCTGGTCCCTGTCCCTCAGCTCTTCAGCTCAAGGTTAGCACTCTAGTACTTGAGCCACAGTGCCACTTCTAGCTTTTTCTGCTTATGTGGTGCTGAGGAATCAAACCCAGGGCCTCATGGCATGCAAGGCAAACACTCTACCACTGAGCCACCTTCCCAGCCCTGAAAATCTTTAATGTAAAATTAAAGACTTTAAAAAAAAAAACCCTGGAAAAGGCTACAAGTTTTTAAGATCAAAAACAGGATCATGATGATGGCTCACGCTTATAATCCTAGCTACTCAAGCGGCTGAGATCTGAGGACAAACAGTTCAAAGCCAGCCCAAGCAGGAAAGACTGTGACTTTTTTTTTGGGGGGGGGGGAGGGTCCCGTCGTGGGGCCTGAACTCTGGGCCTGGGCGCTGTCCCTCAGCTCTTCAGCTCAAGGCTAGTGCTCTACCACTTGAGCCACAAGGCCACTTCCAGCTTTTTTTGTATGTGGTGCTGAGATATGGAACCCAGGGCCTCAGGCATGCAAGGCAAGCGCTCTACCACTGAGCCACCTTCCCAGCCCTATGAAACTCTTATCTCCAATAAACCACTCAGAAAACCAGAAGTGGAGCTGTAGCTCAAGTGGCAGAGAACTAGCCTTGAGATTAAGAGCTGAAGGATGGCGCCAGGCCCAGAGTTCAGGTCCCACAACTGACAAAAAAAAAAAAAAAACAGCCAGGTGCAAGCCTATAATCCCAGCTACTCAGGAGGCTGAGATCTGAGGATCAAGGTTCAGTGCCAGCCCAGGCAAAAGTCAGAAGTCCATGAGACTCTAATCTCCATTTAGCCACCAGAAAACTGGAAGTGACGCTGTGGCTCAAGTGGTAGAGCACTCACCTTGAGCTGAAGGGTCCAAGCCCAGAGTTCAAACACCATGACCAACTAAAACAACAACAACAGCAACAAATAAATAAAATAGGCTGATTTTGGTCCACATGGACACCAGGCAGGAAGCAAGAACCTACCTCAAAAATAATCTACTCAGGGGCTGGGAAGGTGGTTCAGTGGTTGAGCGCTTGCCTTGCATGCATGAGGCCCTGGGTTTGATTCCTCAGCACCACATAAGCAAAAAGAGAAAAGCCGGAAGTGGCACTGTGGCTCAAGGGGTACAGCTCTAGCCTTGAGCCCCAGGCCCAGAGTTCAGGCCCCATGACTGGAACCAAAAAAAAAAATCTACTCAAAAAGCTGTAGGCATGGCTCAGTAAACAGTACCTGACTAGCAAACTGAAGTTCTAATCCTAGTACCGCCAAAAAAAAAAAAAAAAAAAAAAAAGGAAAAGAAAGAGGCTGGGAATGTGACTTAGTGGTAGAATGCTTGCCTGGCATACATTAAGACCTGAGTTCGATTCCTTAGTACCACATACACTGAAGTAGCACTGTGGCTCAAGTGGTAGAGTGCTAACCTTGAGCAAAAGAAGCTCAAGAGCCGGGCGCTGGAGGCTCACGCCTGTAATCCTAGCTACTCAGGAGGCTGAGATCTGAGGATCGCGGTTCAAAGCCAGCCCGGGCAGGAAAGACCGTGAGACTCCTATCTCCAATAAACCACCAGAAAACCGGAAGTGGCGCTGTAGCTCAAGTGGTAGAGCGCTCACCTTGAGCTGAAGAGCTGAGGGACAGCGCCCAGGCCCAGAGTTCAAGCCCCACGACCGACAAAAAAAAAAAGAAGCTCAAGAGTTCAAGCCCAAAGACTGGCCAAAAAAAAAAAAGAGGCACTCACTGAGGGAGAAATATCATCATCGTATTTCTTTAGCTGGTTCATGAATTCTAAGTGCTTCTTCTCTTCCTCCAGCTGGGCCACAGACTGCTCGCTCTTCTGTAACTTCTGCTGCGTGTTGGCCAGTTCATCCCGCAGCCACTGATTCTCCTGGCACAGACGACGAACCTGAGCACGCAATTTCTGCTTCTCTGACTCAACAGCATTCAGGTGATTTGATAACGCCATCATGACCTAAGCAGAAGAGACACTGACATGTTGCAGGAGGCCACAGGACAGGTTCCCCATCCATACACGATGCATAAGCTCTAGCGGTGTCAGTGGTTAAGTACAATCTGCTGCTTGCTTCTCCTTCCCTTCACTCTTTCTGAATATCACATGTTCAAAGGATCAACAAAATACATTTGTTCATTCTATATAGGAGCACAGCAAGGACTATCATAGACACCTCTCCTCTGATGTATGTGACTACATTTTCTATTTTGGGGGGCAATTTGAACTCAGAATCTTGTGCTTGCGAAGAAATGTGCTCTACCACTGAGCTATGACTCCAGCCCTTTTCAGTACTGGGTTTCTTTGAGCTAAGATTATAGATGTGAGCCCCTATGGTCCAACTTGGTTTACTTCCGTTATGAAACTGCTCTTCCCAGCAGTCCCTCTTCTGCCTCATTCATTTACTACCTAAGCTCAAGGTTAAGAGAGAAGCCAAGGTTCAATGTGCTGAGCTTTACTTAAGAATTAGTGGGAGGGGCTGGGAAGGTGGCTCAGTGGTAGAGTGCTTGCCTTGCATGCACAAGGCCCTGGGTTCGATTCCTCAGCACCATGTAAGCAGAAAAAGCCGGAAGTGGTGCTGTGGCTCAAGTGGTAGAGAGCTAGCCTTGAGCTGAAGAGCTGAAGGACAGTGCCCAGGCCCAGAGTTCAAGCCACACAACCGACAAAAAAAAAAAAACTTTTCAAAAACAAATGAGGTCTCCATGACATTCACAGTCACACTGAGCTGATCCTACCGTACCTGTGCCTCACTCAGACCAAGCTCCAGCATCTCCAGGGACTTCCGGATCATGTTGGATTTCTCCTCCACCAAGTTGCTCTCATCATCTTTCTTCAAACACTTCAGTGTCTCCAGCAAACTCTGTAAAATGGAGTTGTGCTCATTCTTCAGAGCTTCCAGCCCCTGAATGACTTGCTTCGTCTTAGAGATGATTTCATCTTGTGTAAGCTTCTCCAACTTGTCTTCCTTTATATATACCATTGTGGACATGTTGTCATACATTCTAGAATGGAAAAAGAAGAACATCAGACACTTTATTACAAGTTACATTGCTGTCATATCTTTAAACAGCAAACATTTGTGAAAGCTGCATTTATAGGTGAATATAAACATGTTTCCTGCTTTCAATCTTGAGTATATATTACATTCGGGACTGTTGTTTTTCCTTTGCAGATACATGGGGTTACTTTCTAGTTTACGTCTGAATTGGGTTTTGGTGGGTTTTTTGGTCAGCCATGAGGCTTGAACTCTGGGCTTGGGCACTGTCTGAGTTCTTCAGATCAAGGCGAGCACTCTACCACTTGAGCCACAGCGCCACTTCCCGTTTTCTAGTGGTTTATTGGCGATAATGGGCTGTGAAGGTGGCTCAGTGGTCGTGCGCTTGCCTTGCATGCTTGAGGCCCTGGGTTCGATTCCTCCGCACCACATAAGCAAAAAAAAAAAAAGCCGAAAGTGGCGCTGTGGCTCAAGTGGTAGAGCGCTAGCCTTGAGCTGAAGAGCTGAGGGACAGTGCCCAGGCTCAGAGTTTAGATCCCATGACCAGACCCAAAAAAAAAAGTCTCATAGACTTTCCTGCCCAGGCTGGCTTTGAACCGTAATCCTCAGATCTCAGCCTCCTGAGTAGCTAGGATTATAGGTGTAAGCCACCAGCACCCGGCCTGAATTATTTTTGTGTGTGTTGGTCCTGGGGTTTAAATTCTGCATAGGCGCTGGGAGCTTTTTTTTTTTTTTTGGGGGGGGGGGGGGGCAGGGGAGGGCCGGTCACGGGGCCTGAACTCTAGGCCTGGGCGCTGTCCCTCAACTCTTCAGCTCAAGGCTTAGCGCTCTACCACTTGAGCCACAGTGTCAACTTCTGGCTTTTTCTGCTTATATGGTGCTGAGTAATCAAACCCAGGGCCTCATGCATGCTAGGCAAGCATTCTACCAGAGCCACCTTCCCAGCCCTCCCTGAGCTTTTACTCAAGACTAGCACTCTACCACTTGAACACACCTCTACTTTCACCTTTTTTGGTGGTTAATTGGGATAAGAATCTTACAGAGTTTCTTGCCTGGAATAGCTTCAAATCAGATGTCAGCCTCCACAGTAGATAATAGTATTATAGTTATGAGTCACCAGCACCCAACCAGACTTGGTCATTTTATACACTACCCAAATGGGACAGAATGACAGAAGCCAAGTGTCTGTGTGTTTTTTCCCAAAAGGTTTGTCTGCCTATTAGAAACATAGAAAAAATAAAGTAAAAGATAAACAAGCCAGATACCAATGGCTCACACATGTAATCTTAGCTTCTCAGGAGGCTGAGATCTGAGGATTGTGGTTCAATAAATAAATAAATTCTATATGAAGATTTTTCTTTTTAAATGTACCAGATACAGTGACTCACACTTGTAACTTGAGTTATTCAAGAGACTAAGAAAGTCAGCTCAGACAAAAAGTTCACAAGACTAACTCAAATCAATAAAAAAAAAATGGGGCACAGTAGACCTGGTGGCTCATACCTATAATCCTAATTACACTGGGGGCTGAGATCTGAGGATCATGTTTCAAAGCCAGCCTGGGCAGGAACATCTGTGAAACTCTTATCTCCAACTAACCACCAGAAAACCAGAAGTGGAACTGTGGCTTAAAGTGGTAGAATGCTAGCCTTGAGCAAAAAGAGTGCAGGGATGGTCCTAGGTCCTGAGTTCAAGCCCCAGGGCTGACAAAAAAAATTAAAAAAAATGGGGCACAGCCATCCCACTACACAGGAATTATAAATAGCAAGACCATGGTCCAGACCAGCTCAGGCAAAATACCAAGACCCAAACCCAGCACCAGTGGCTTATACCTATAATCCTGGCTACTCAAGAGGATCGAGGTTGAAAGCCAGCTCAGGCAGGAAAGTCTGGAGCAAAGCCTTGAGCAAAAGGAGCTTAGGGACAGCACACCCAGGACCAGAGTTTAAGGGACCAAAAAAAAAAAACAAAAAAAAAAACCTGAGCAGGGAAGAAGATCTACAGTTGAGAAAAGGTAATTGTATTATCTTTGCATTTTGTATTATAAAAAAAACACACTTCATGCGTGTATGTGCGCACGTGCATGCACACCCATGTGTGTATGTCTGTGTGTGTACTGAGACTTGAACTCAGGGCCAGAGCACAGTCCTTTAGTTTTTCTACTCAAGGCTGTCATTCTACTACTTGAACCACATCTCCACTTCTGGCTTTTTGCTGGCTAATTGGAGAAAATCCTCAGTGACTTTCCTGCCCGGGCTGGCTTTGAACCCTGATTCCCAGATCTCAGCCTCCTGAGTAGCTAGGATTACAGGTGTGAGCCACTAGCACCCGGCTGGCTTCCCTGAGACTCTTATCTCCAATAAACCATTAGAAGACTCTTATCTCCAATGAACCACTAGAAAACCCAAAGTAGTGCTGTGGCTCCAACTGTAGAGCGCTCGCCGTGAGCTGAAGAGTGCAGAGCAGTGCTCAGGCCCAGAGTTCAAGCCCCACAACCAACCAAAAAAAAAAAGAAAAGAAAAGCCTTCAGCATGGCAATTAACTGCGCAACAGCATGGATGGACAACCAGCTGCTTACAAAAGTGTGACTGCCTTGTACAGGAATGCAGGCAGGAAGAACAGGAGCTCCTCCGGGCAGAAAGCAAGAACCAGAAGACCCTGGTAGAAGCTGTCAGGTTCAAATGGAGTTACTTGGAGTGGATCAGGGAGGAGTCTAATAAGCACAAGTAGACTGACAACATGAACTACTACCCCAGAACAGCTGGCCTCTCACAAAAACACTTGCCTGACTGTCTCAGAACTCATTCCACAGCACTGCCTGAGAACTTTGTGACCTTTAACAGTGACTTCTCCAACTTCCATAGCTTTCCCTTGTGTTGTGAATACAAGGGGGACATCTCTTGACTGCACCTACTTGTTTATTCCCAGACACTTAATGTGAAGATGTGCCTCTATTATTCTGTCTGATTTGCACAGCCTCTGCCCTCAACCAGGGCCTGGTTTGCAGAACCAGACCTTCACTTCATAGAGAAAAATGGGTGGATCCCAAAACTCATCAGACACAATAATACCATTCGTTCAATAAATGTTTAGTGAGCTATGCCAGGCACTATTCTACGAATAGAGATAGGACTTTGCCAAAGAAAGAAAAAAAAAATTGTACTGAGGCTGAACTCAGGACGCAGGCACTATTCTATAGGTTTTTCATGCAAGGCTGGCACTCCACCACTTAAGCCACAGCTCTACTTATGGTTTTTTGGTGCTTAACTCAAGATAGGAGTCTCATGGTCTTTGCTGCTGAGACTGACTTCAAACTATTCTCAGATCTCAACCTCCTGAGTATCTAGAATTACAGGCATGAGCCACCAGCTTCCAGATGGAAAGAAAAATTTAATAAAAATAGTGTGACTTGCCGATCACTGATGGCTCACACCTGTAATCCTACTCAGGAGGCTGAGAGCTGAGGATCAGGGTTCAGAGCCAGCCCGGGCAGAAAAGTCCGTGAGACTCTTATCTCCAATAAACCACTAGAAAACCGGAAGTGGCACTGTGGCTCAAGCAGTAGAGCACTCGCCTTGAGCTGAAGAGCACAGGAACAGCGCCCAGGCCCAGAGTTCAAGCCCCACGACCGACCAAAAATAAAAATAAAAAATAAGTAAAAATAAAAATAGTGTGACAAAAGAGCACCCTGGCTGTTCCCAGAGAGGGTGACACACCAACCAATCACATAGAAGGAATAAGACTGGCCAGGCACTGGTGGCTCACACCTGTAATTCTGCTATTCAGGAGGCTGAGATCTCAGGATGGGAGTTCAAAGCCAGTCCAGGCAGGAAAGTCCATGAGACTCTTATCTCCAATTACCACCAGAAAACCAGAAGTTGTTTCACATATCACCTATCTGGAAGCCAGAAGCAAATAAATGCCTCCAAAACTATGAAGGGAAATTGTTTCTAGTTTAGAGTTCTAGAGTCAGTCAAATTCTCAATGTAAGAACAGACACACCACAACCCAAAACATTTTATGTCACCAGCAACCTCCAACTGCTAGAAGATGTGCTCAATCAGAACAAAGGGACCCAGCTGAGAAGGAGGATGTCACATGACACAGACAACTCATAGGACCAGCAGGCGGGGAGACGGCCTTCAAGGCTGCACCAGTCACACAGAAACCAAGCTAACGATTGGGGCTGAGTGCATGCCAAGTCTACAAAGGAGGTAAAAAAACAGACAGTGACTCGCTCCCAACAAAAGACTGCACAGGAAAATTTATTACATGACTCAACTCTGGTATGCAAAATCACAAAGACATAAGAGTAAAAACTGATCTAACATAAATGACAGCCCCATTACTTTCGGGAGGTTGTGGAGAGGCCATAAAGTACAAGCATGGTGAGGAGAGCAGAGAAATAGGCCTCCAACATCTAGCACAGTGGTCCATAGCTGAGAAACTGAGAAAGGAGGCATGCTAAGTAGAATTGCAGATGAGCGTGCGACAACCACAATCTGCCCTAATTCCTGTAAAGTCCTGCATGGGTGCTCTTGGCACCCACAGGGGCCAGCCATCCTCAGCACCTCCAGCTCACAGGGCAGCCTTAACCACTAAAGCGCTGCCCTACACCTCCTGCCACATACTGTCTCAGGAAGCAAGTCACCAAGCACAGACCACAAGTCCAGGAGAGAGGCATTTATAATTACTTGGAATTCATCTGTATGGCTGATTTGTCTTGCCTTATTTTAATCATTTGCATCAATACGGGCTTAGTTTTTTTTTAGTTTAGTTATACTTAAGTATTCTACCATTTAAGCCACAGTGCTACTTCCAGTTTTCTGGTGGTTTATTGGTGATAAGGGACTCACTGTTGGGCTGGGAAGGTGGCTCAGTGGTAGAGCGCTTGCCTTGCATGCATGAGGCCCTGGGTTCGATTCCTCAGCACCACATAAGCAAAAAGAAAAAAGCCGGAAGTGGCGCTGTGGCTCAAGTGATAGAGCGCTATCCTTGAGCTGAAGA